GAAATCCCTAACTACCTGTCAAGTTGCGGCATGTTTAGTTCAGTTTGAGGGAAGATGACAGCAAGAGAGCTTTAGGTCTTCTGTCTGAATAGAGAAAGAATAGCTTTAAACAAGGTTTCTGTGGGCCGCGTTGACTCATTGGAGGGGTAATAAGGCTTACTGATGCCCGCCTGCCTCAGGTTAGTTCGGTAGCAAACAGCAGAAGTGTCTAATTGTTGGGGACAGACTTGGCCCTCTATTCGTTTCCCCTTGGCTGCAGTGCTGGTCGGTGCCTGAGAAGCTCCTCTGTGGCTTGGCCCCGGCCCCAACAGATGACCGTTTTGTACCCGCGCTTTCTCAAAACGTTTCCCTTCTCTGGTCCGGTGCCAATGATTGGGCTTGAACCTTTTCAGAGGTTGGGGAATCGGGGAGTGCACGGACACCTTTTTCTCGTCACGGCGCTGACCGGTGGTTCCACACTGTACCTCAGAAAGGAGCTGTGAACATACTCGCTGTGCTAAGTGGGCTCTGTGAGTACCAGCTGATGGAATTAAGGTACCCGGCATTGAATACAAACGAAGTTCCAAACACTCTCCATAAATTCCAGTTGTAAGCCTCTTTAAATCATGAATGCGGAGCTCTCGTGTTTAAACAGCTGCTTTTACTTGTGCATGTTGAAGTCTATTATTTTGCTGGTCTCTTGGATTTGGCTCTGGTACTGGAGCATGGCAGACACTACATTTTTTTTGGACCATTTATACAGTACTCTTTTCCTGGCCCGCAGCAGGTGCTTTGGCAATCGAAACAGGGAGAACTGGTCCTGATTAAGCACCGACTTGGAACCAGCTCTATAACCGCTCCCAAGTAACACACTTTCCCCCTCTGCCAAACTATGTTTAAAGTTCCAAGACACCAACTCTGGCAGGATCTGTTTTGTTTTTTTTAAGGTCAATGAATACATTTTTTTCCCCCCAAAATTCAGTGTGTAGAAAAAACAAGCAATTAATTTCCGTCCACTTGCATTATTCTGTTTTTCATTTTTCTAGTCGGATGTTGAATTCTGGAACACAGCGTGTGTTCAGGTTCAAGCTTTTTCTGGTGACCAACCTGTTTCCATACTTCCTCTTTTTTTAACCTGTTTTTACTCTTAAGCTGACCGGAGCTGCGATCCATTTTTAGAAGAGGCGAGAAGCGGTGTTTTTGAGGCGATCCGGCTTCAACAAACATGCGTGCACTATTAATAAATCATGGCTGCTCTGCCCAACAGGGTGCAGTTGGCGTCTCTGTGTTTGTGTGTCTGGGTGCTCATGATTACGTGCAGGAGTGTAAATCACACTACAAACCAACCTAACCTTATATTTAAACAGGGCCTTTCTTCACATTCTCATGAGGAAGAAAAGATATAGGGTCTCCTGTGTATTGGAGCTTCAAACTGCACACACATTTTTGGGCTCTTGACGTTTATCTTGGTTCTTCTAATAAAAATGGCTTTAAAAAAAAAAAAAAAAGGCATACTTCTATAAATAGTTGCCAAAAAACGTCAAATGCACATTAACACCAAGTTATTTATTGTCGTCTTTCCTAATCTGATCCTCAACTAAACTGATTGGTGGCGCCTACTTTTAAGACTCCTAATCTCTGGCATGAATTTCCACAAAGCGAGCTCCCAAGAAGTATGGACAGAGCTACTGCAGCACAGGAGGTGAAGGGAAGGGCTGAAGAAGACAAACGACATGAAATGAGAGATTTAAACAGAAAGGAAGTGAGGTTAAAGAGAGATGGTAAACGTTGTGATTTGTGACCCACAGGAAACGGGCTCCTTCTCTCTGGGCTCTCGGAGACCATAACAGGACCTGCCGCTGTGTGTTTCCTCTTGATAACGCAGAGGAGCCCCAAGTTACACTGCCATTAGGCCCACTCTGGCTCATCCTGATGGCCGTAGAAGCTACAAATGTGTAGACTTCCAAATGTTCATAAGTCCCGCGTCTTTCCTCATTCTGCTGCGAGGGGAAAAGCCAACCAGATTCCCACTCTTGTTTTGTCTAGCACGTGGAAACACCAAACGGTGTGTGTGAAGTGATGCTAAAAATCAGGGCGAGGAGCACTCGTAAGACGAAACGGGGCCACTTGCATGGTGGGTTCTTTTTTTGTTGTTCCTGCTTTCTTTGTGTCTGGCTGCCAGACAGCTGACAAATTCAGCACCAGAGGCCTCTGAGCGGAATTTAGGTTCACACACCCTCATTCTGATTAGACACAACTGCAGGCTTAAGAGTTGATATGTGGATTTGCCATTGTTTTGTGTGATTTTTGGCTGTTTTCCTCCATCTCTTGAAGATTTTGGGAGGAATGTTCGGCATGTAAATGCAGTCTGCAGGAAGGTCCTTCGGAGGGTGGGGGGTGGGTTGGGGTGGGGTGGCGGCGGTGTTGTGCTCGGACTGCAGATTCACACTTTCAGCCAGAGGATGATGTTCTTAAATCTGGACAGTGAGAGGCCAAGGGCCTCGCGTTAGCTTTGAAGTTAATTTGACAGGTGCTTCCACTATAAGCAGCATCAACTGGGAATGATGGAGTCTGCTGTAATGATCTGTCACCGCGGAGGCAGGCAGCCGTATGTGTGTGTGTGTGTGTGTGTGTGTGTGTGTAAGGGGGAGTGGCGAATGAGTCGATGCACCGGTGTCGGAGCATCATTACCTGCGGATCTGGGTGCACAGCCAGGCATTTAGGCGATAAGGAAAGAGAGTCTCCCGGGCTCTGGGAGACCGTGCCGTCTGTCTGACCCAGCAGACACGACCGGCAGGCAGGCCGTTTAAGATCATTTATTTGGGCTGCAAGTTTTGCTCCCGTGTGGGTTACTGTGCGTGTTGCATCCTGTCTGTGTGTTTGTGGGCTTGTTATTTATTTATTTTTTGCCTGGTAATATGCCCGAGCCTTCATTATAGCAAGAGCCATAACTTTGATAAATCACTTGGGCTCGGGGCCCTTACTGCTTTCACAGTATTAGAAAACTAATTGAAATTCTCCGCCAAACCACCCCCACCCCCCCCAAAAAACCCTTACTTTTTCCTTTTCTCGCTGCCTCTCTGTGTTTTCACCCTTTCCCTCGTTTTGCCTTCCTGTCCGTGTCGCGGGGCCCGAACAGTGCCATGTTTTTTTGCTGTGGAATGGAAGCCAAGAGGGGGAAAATGTCATCACTGATTTAATAGGCACGCTCTTACCCAGAAACACACAGCAGGCTCACTCACTCGCACACAAACACACACACACGGCACTCTGGGGAGTGTTAGGAATCCTGATAATGTCATCATAGGCATCTCCATAATGTACCCCGTTCTCCTGCAGGCTCCAGTTCGACTGCGCCTCTCCTCTGTTTCTGATTACGTAAGGGAGGGGGGGGGGTTGGGGGGAGGTTTTAGCTTTATAGGTTGATGGGATTTTGACTTCACCAACTTGTGTCCATGGCTGTGATCCCCCCTGCCGTCCCTCGGATTGAAGGCCGGTTTGGTTTGTTGCCTGGAATCTCCCAGCTGCCACTGGATTGAAGGTTTAGTTGTTTTATTGTCCATGATCCCCCGGCCGGTGCTTGATTTGTTTCATTTGCAGGGATCAGCCTGCGCCGCAGCGAAATCAGGGTGGAGTTGTTTTGTTACGCTGGAGTTGCCAGATGAAATTTGTTTTGGGGGCTGTGCAACTGTCCAGGATCTCTTCGCCGTTGCTAGATTTAGGATTTAGCTGCTCTGTTATCCAGGATCTCTCTGCCGCTGCTGGATTTTTTTTCTTTTTGTTGTTTTTTTTTTTAATATCCAGACACTGCGACTGTTTGTGTGACACTTGGGGCTTTGTGTCCACCCAGCAACCCCTCTTCTCCTGCCAGGCGAGCATTGTAGTGTGAAGCCAAAGATTTAGCGATGAAAGCAGAGAGACTGTGTGTGTGTATGTGAGGCGATTTGGTGGTGTCCTGTCAGCACACAAATTTCCCTCTGCAAACATTCCTGTGACATGTTGCAGGAAAGAGGGGGGGGGGGGGGCAGCCTTATGCGCCTGTGTGTTTTCCACAGTCGGCGTGCATCTGTTGCCCACACAGAGCCATGCCATCGCTCTCGGGCGCGCTGTACGCGTGCATGAGCCAGCACATGCTGGTGGATGGCGTTCGTGGTTAAAGAGGATGTGTTGATTGATTAGACTGCAGTAATTAGCTGAAGTGTGAAGACCTGGAAAGGTTTCCGTTCAAGTGGGAGTGTCTCCTCTTGAGAGACGTTGAACTGTGTGATGCACCACTACTTTACACACTCTCGCATGTACACACACACACACACACACACTCTTAGACACACGCCACGGCAACAGTCCCAAAAAGCTCAGATGCGGGGTGAGTCATCTCTGAAGCAGAACTAATATTGGGTGCCAAAGTGAAGCGAGAGTAAGGATCCTGAGACAGAAGGATGTTTGCTGCGTGGAGATGTGTGTCGCAGAGGGAGATGTGCTTGTGCCAGCAGTTTTCTGTTTCCGCACAGTGCGGGCCCCAACACTGATTTGATCATCTGCTGTACAAATCAACTCCCACCCCTCCCCTCCCCTCCCCTCTCCCACTTCCTTCTCCTCCTCTTCTTCATTTAAAGTTTCACTTCCCACTTCTCTTTGGTGCTTCGCAGATTACAGAGCCGCTTCCAATCAATGCAAATAAAAACGCAGTCGGTCTGACGGCGTCAGCCTTTTGCCCTCACTGAGCAGAATGTGGAGAATAAACCATTGCAAACAGCGACACCACATGGTCAGCTATAGAATTGCATGTGACTCTAATCTTTTTGTTGCATCAATTTCGCCCCCTCCCCTCATCTCTCCAGTGCCACTATGCTTTAATAAAACAAAAAGCTCGAGTCACTCATACACATCAAGTTAGCTTTTTTTGTTTTACCTTCTTACTAAAAACTATTAAGCCTCCACCATATGCAAGTTTCCATTTAATATAATTTTTAACATCAGTGTTCCTTTTTCCCCCCCTATTCCTATTTCTCCTCAAACAGAAAGTTCTACTACATCACTCTCTTGAGGGACCCCGTGTCTCGCTACCTCAGCGAGTGGAGGCACGTGCAGCGGGGGGCCACGTGGAAAACCTCTCTGCACATGTGCGATGGACGGACCCCCACGCCGGAGGAGCTGCCGTCCTGCTACGAGGGCTCTGACTGGTCGGGGTGCACCCTGCAGCAGTTCATGGACTGTCCGTACAACCTGGCCAACAACAGACAGGTACAGAGAAAAAAAAAAAAACGTTTTATTTAATAAAGTCCTGCTGCGGGGTTAAAACTGTCCATCAGCCTATGAGCTTTGCTTTGGGCTAACAATATATATTCTTCAATGTTTCAAACCAAAAAAAGAAGCCAAGCAACCCAGGTAATTCACCCCGTCACAAAAAACTGTGGATCAAGACCTAAATAATGCATGGTTTTTGTATTAATTTGTAGTGAAGAAAGAAGAGCTAAATGGGGTTTCATCATGTACATTCAGAAAGAAGGTAATGGATCTGATGAATGGAAAACAAATCGGAACACACTCTGCCACACAAACACACACCTTCACAGCAGTGTGCCTGCTGGCCATTTACAGCAAATTTGCACCTTCCTTTTTTTTTTTGGTGCCATCTCAGTCTACCACCTCAGCATGTTGACCAGCTTAGCTCATCTGAGCCCCAGGGTGTTATTACAAAGGGTCCTATGACTTGTATATGCCACACACACATACACACACACACACACACGCACACACACTGTAAGGTGTTATGATAGACCAGCAGGCTTACTTTTACTCTTGTGACTCTCAATTATCTGATAATCCCACTTCCTTTGCTGAACACTCTCAGGGCCTATGATTAATTTTGTGTCAGATGAAACTTGATACTGTAATTTGTATTTATAGCTCACAATTAAATTGTGTTTAAGGAGAATTTCTATTGTGGAGATATAAAAATTGGGCAACGTTGTCTGTCCTCATCCACAGGTTCGCATGTTAGCAGATCTGAGTCTCGTGGGCTGCTACAACATGTCGACGGTTCCAGAGAAGAAGAGGGCTCAGCTTCTGCTGGAGTCAGCCAAGAAAAACCTGCGAGACATGGCCTTCTTTGGCCTCACCGAGTACCAGAGGAAAACCCAGTTCCTCTTTGAACGAACCTTCAGGTTGCGCTTCATCAGGCCATTCATGCAGTACAACAGCACCCGGGCTGCGGGGGTGGACCTGGACAACGCCACGGTCAGTGCTACTACACACACAACAGGTGGTCAGCGATGCTGATCAAGCCTGTTTCTTTTTTTTTTCTTTTTTTTAATTGTGAGTTTTCCCCACCTCTTTTTGGTGCTGTTTACATAATAGTGCTTCACAAAAACTTAAAAAATGTCCTGGAATAAAAGCTAAATGAAATTTAAAAAAAGATAGCACAGAGAAGCACGGAATAAACAGTTTTTATATTGCTGTGAAATGGGTTGGGTTGAATGTTGCTGTTTAAAAGACGGAAGCTTCAAACGTGTTCTTCACACTTTGATTGGTCCAGTGTGGGAGTTCTTAAGCTCAATTTCCCACCCAAAAAAAAAAAAGATAAATAAATAAATAATTTCTCCAGTACACAGCAGGGACTAGTGATTTATTCATCAAACCTGGCCGCTCTGAGAGAAAATAGAATATGCACAGCTGCCAGACTCTGTGAAAAGGTGCACCGATGGTTATTATCCCAAAAAAGAGAAACATTATGCGCTGTTTGGGTCTGGAGTCTGACATGTGGGATTTTGTGTTCGGCACCTGGTGAAGTTTATAACGCCAACATTCATATGCAATTTCCAAAAGTGCTGTGTGAAACTGTGACATTATTAGATTTAAGAAAAGGCATTCTGATAACTGCAACAGTAGCTTTTGAGATGAATATTTACTCAAGACCCTCCAGTGAAGCTCCTCAAAGAGAATGTGGGCTTCTGGTGGTTTAAAGATCCCTGTGAGTCTTACCTGATAGAAGCCGGCCTCTGCACAGCGCGGTGGCTCCTCTTTGATAGATGAAGCCTTTGTGCTGATGACTTGAGCCGAGCGCCGTCCTCCTGGCTTTGTGCTGGTGCCCCTCGTGGTGCCGATCACAATCTCCCCTTTCCTAACATCACGTTGCTTCCCTCTGTTGTCACGCGCATTGCCCACAAATGGCATCCAGCACTCCATCACAGGTTTCAAAGAGGTTATCTTAATTAAACACATCTCCCCCCCCCCTTCATACCGGATTCACTCAAAGAAGATGAGAAGTTCCAATAAAGCCAGCTGCGTTACACAGGCAATTATGGAACCTCTCTCTGTTGTCTCTTCCTTGTCAAAGAAGTCTTTGGGTTCCATTTCTGTGTCGACGCCGGCAGCCAGGGGCGTCGTTTCTTTGTGTTGCGTGTCCGTCTTCATGGACAGACCGCCTGAATTCTGGAATTATTCTTCTCACCAACACAAAGGAAAGCAGCTTGCTTTTTTTTCAGAAGCATTCTTAATCAAGGCAGGGTCATCCGCTCTGCCCAACCCATGCAGAAAGTCATTTCTGCCAAAAGACTTGCGGGGACACCCTGAAGGTAACTGGAGGCTAAAAAGCTTCTGGCTTGAGAATCGGATTGCTGCAAGGGATTCTCTTCTGCATTCCCACATCACTGGCTGTCAGAAGAGACTTTTCGTTGCCCAATATTTTCTTTATCCTAGAAGGGTTTGAGGAGCTTTACTGTTCTTTTTTTAAAGTTCTCTCGCACATATATATATAGTTTAGTTAGTCAGTCAGTTCATAGTTTACTGAGACTCGGCTGTTTAAGATGGAGCTTGCAGTATATTCTGAGGATGTATAATGTTAAAGATCTGGGTTTTTATATATTTCATTTATTTATTTATGTTTCATTTGGATTTTACCAAATTTATTCTGCATGTATTCTGCATTTCCGTTTTCCACAGTTCAAAGTCTGCTCCTGTAATGCTTACACCAAAAAACGCTCTGCCTCAAACAGGTACAGAATAAACAACTAAAACCTCAGAGGTGGTAAATAAGCTTATATAACGTCTCCCATGATGTTTGGGGCTTTTATTGTTGCTGTTTTAACAGTTCTGAATTTAATCCGTTTTTAGCTTCCAGACTAGTTTATTATTAGTTTTTTAAAAATTCCAAATAGGTGTTCGGCCTTGTTGAATTATTATCGGGACAGGGAATTACTTGATGTGTATTCATGCTGTGAGCTAATTCAGGCTTTGATGTCATCACCTGCTTACTTTAAGTAAGTAAGAGATTGTGATGGGATGACTAAGTAAAGTAGAAAACTCCCGTGTCTTTGTGTTTTTCATGCTACTTCTGTTGCTCCCCCCCCCCTCTTCCTCCTCCTCCTCCCTCATCCCTAAATGTTTCTCCTGCTCCCCTTCCTTACAGATCCAGCGTATAGAGGAGCTGAACGAACTGGACATGGAGCTCTACGACTACGCCAAGGACCTGTTCCAGCAGCGCTACCAGTACACCCGGCAGCAGGAGAAGCGGCAGCAGCGCATCAAGAACCACATGCAGCAGAGCCACCTGGGCCTGGGGGTCAGCCTGTGGCCCTCCCGCAGCCGGCAGGGCATGGCGTCCACACTGGAGGAGGACGGGGAGAGAGAGGAGCGGGAGGACGGGGAAGAGGGCGGCAGAACGGAGGAGGCGGGCAGCCGGCTCCCTACCGAGGACTACATGAACCAGATCATCAACCGCTGGTAGCAACAGAATGAGAGCAAATAAGAGACACGAATATGTAATGTGAAACGCATACTCATCTACACGCACACAGTTCCATCCACCCAAAGTGGCGCCTGCCTCAAAGACCCAAACCACTGACAAACAGACTTTTTACCGGGGAGTTGGGCTGCGGGAATTGGAGTCCAAGTGGGTTGCCACGGCAACCCGAGCCCGTTCGATTGCATCAGCTCCTGTTATTAGGGCTGGCCCGGTTGTTATTGGCGCCTGCTTGGCCTTTCCGCCTCTCCGCATTTGTCTCTCCCATCATCATTACATCCTGAGCAGCCGGGAGATCATTTTTGAAAGTTGCTGACAACTGAGTCCCTCAACCAATTTGCCCGCCTCTGCTTCTTTTTCCCGTTCTCCCCGCATTCCTCTCTGGCCTGATGTGGAGCATGAGAAACTGAAATTAAGGCTGTGAATTCCCACCTCTTGCAGAAGGACCTGGTCGCTCTAATTTCAAAAGAACTCCGACGGCTCGGAACGCGCGCTCACGGCTGCGCTGAACAGAGAACATGATGGAAGTGCAAGGAAGACTATACCAAGAAAAAAACAAACACGGAGAAAAGTCGGACTCAGTTGCGTAATAAAAGCTTTTTGCTTACATAAATCAGCCATTTTCATCCACGAATGAGCTTTGGTCCTGAAATATTTTTATTCTCATTTTTGATGATGATTTCATTTGTATTTTTGCTTTTGTGTTCATGCTTTGTTAGAAGCAGAATTGTAATAACACTGAGACCAACATTGCTGCCTAAAGAAAAGTGATTCCTTTACTTCTTTAATTTCAGTTGTTTTAAAAAAAAAAAAAAGCTGAAGGATCGGATTGATGAACAATGGACCATAGCCATTACTGAAGCGTAGTTTCTTAGGGCAGGGGCAGTTTTTTCAGTAAAAAGGTTCCCAAAGCTCCTGTCGCTTAACAAGTTCGTTATTTCTCCCTCTTGCCTTATATTTGTGGGTCTCAATCCTGCAGAGAATGGCAGCCAATTACAGAACTGAATCTCACACAGGTGCGAAGAAATCAAAGGCGGGGAGAGGTGGGGGAGAGGCGGGGGAGAGGGAGAGCGGGGGTCCTGCTGTAGGTCGTTGCCAGGAAGTGTGCAGCGTGAGCGGCAAGCGCTTTGGAAGCCTTAACTCAGACAAATGCTTGAGATGTAAGCTGTGGAACTACTGGTCACCATGGCAATGTGAGCTCTTAATGTAGTGGGTGGCTTTTTTTTTTTTTTTTTTTTTTTTTTCCTTTGACTGCGTTGTGAAAGCAGCAATCTCATACAAGCCTCCGTCCCACCTTCTAAAGGGCACACACAGAACTGGTGATCTGTGGTTCATTAATGTGAGCTCTGTTTTAACTGGTTTCACCCTGAGGAACGGACGGGGCGAGGTAGCAGTGCCTCTATGTACTGGGATCATAGTCAAAATAATTATTGCAAGATATTATGTCTGCATTATAGTACAGTAATTTCTCTGACTACTCATTGGTCTGTGTGGGGAGAGTGTCGTGTGTGTGTGTGTGTGTGTGTAAATAGTATGTACAGTATGCCTTTGACTGGTGGAAGTGTATGCCTTTGTATATAGTGTGCCTGACTGACAGGACGTCTGATGAGTTTTGTGAATGACTGGTTCCATGACCAATTACCTTTTTTTTTTTTCTTCTTCTTCTTTTTAATTTGGTGGTTGAGAACCTCAAAGTTGCTCCAACAGCATGTCACAGCATTGTGACTATCAAAGCAATGCAATTCAATCATTTCCCCCCCATTACTCCTTTTCATTCTCCGTTTTCTTGTCTCCTTCCCATGACATGATTACATTCAATTGCAGTATTTCAGCAGTTCCTCAAATTTACACTTGTGAAGAAAATGAGAAAAAATCTATTCTTAATCCTGCACAAATCTGCTCAGCATGTCGCTCTTTGATTCGCTCGTGTCATCCACCATATATCAGCTTTTTAAAGGAAGAGAAAACGTATTAACCCATTGGTCAGATCTTTCTCAGAGCGGTTCGATTGTTTACCTGGACAGATAAATGTTTGCACAGGGCAGAGCATTTAGACAGACTCGGCCTGCTGTTGGCACAGCTTGGCCAGCCGCTCCAGCCCTCGGCAAACATTTTATTATTATTACGTGCAGGAAACAGACGCTTGAGATATTTGGGTCTGGTAGATTTGATAGAGCTATCAAACTGATTTTTCACTTTCCCAGGTTTGCGCAGGAAAACCTGAATAAATAAGAGACTAATGTCCAGAGCTCTGAAGTTCCAGATGGATATGACCGCCAGCCGTAGGTGATCCATGTTAAACCTATGGACAGCAAAGGTCAATCTTTTGAATTCTGCCAACGACCGACTGTCAGAGTTCTGAGTGAAGCTGTAATTATAAGTATCTGCAAAAATTAATTTCAAATATTTGATCAGTGTTTAAGCCGATCAGCATAACATTTCTGTGCACGGGAGATAAGAAAAAGGACGCTAGAAGTCTTCACTGTCAAATGCTTTTTAATCGAATACGTGAGCATTAATCTTGTTAAATTGCGAATCTGTTTCAACTAAAGATAATATTGTTGGAGTGTTTGATATTTCATACTTCACTTTCAAATGTTGTCTAGTTAATTGAAATGGATGCAATAAGGGATTTAAGAAGGATTCAGGTTCATTAATGATTTTTACTTTAATTAAAACCCTCAAGAGTTTTTTTTTCAAATGAAAAGCAGTCAAAAGCAAAGGAGACTGTAGAAAAAGTGGAGATGAGAATGTAAAGGTAGAAGGGTGAGAAAATGTTCCACAGAGCGATCAAATTTAAACTGAATGTAGCTCGGATTCTGTCGTCAAATGATGCGCGTGCATATTCTACTTCCTGTTAACAGTTTTTTTTTTTCTTAAAGTCTTAAATGCTTGTCAGCCAACCATTTTGTTTTTTAATCACACTGGATCCTGTCATGCTATGATCAGTTCTTTTTAAATCAGGAATGACTCATGATGAGAGGGAGAGGAGAACAAGGGGGGGAGGGTAATAAAAGTTATTGGTGCACATCTCTGTGTTTAGCTTTCATACTCATGCAATAGAGACATGGATATGGGAAGACAGGTCCTCTCTTTTCATATCAGCCTCCCCGTCATTGTGTTTTTGAAACTGGAGACTTGAAACTACTACAGCTCCAGGCATTTTTTAGCCCACAACTTCTTTTTGGAGTCAGACTTGCACCAGGCTGTCTTCAGGCTCCACTTCTGTGGCTGGAGAGAACAACCCATATTTTTTCAGCATCCCAGTTTTGAGTGGTAATCAGACTTGAGGCAGTCAAAAATGATCTCCGTACCTGAGCAGTGTTTCAGATTATAAAGCTTTCACTGACATGATTCCAGAAGCTGATGCTGTCAAGGTCAACTCAAGTCTTTAGTTTTGTCACTATGTGTATCTGATGTCTTAACAGCTTTTTCTTTGTGACAATGAATCAACCCCAGTGTCTCGCATCATCTTTTTTTTTTTTTTAAAGATGTGTAAAAGAGAATGTGATAGAGATTTTTTTTTTAATTGGAATGCAGTCTCTCCCTGCATTCCTCTGTATGCATCTCTCTGGGTTTGTTTTGTATGAGTGCAAAAGTGAATCATCAAACTACCGATTAAAAGATTTCTTTTTTACAGAGCTGACTCTGTCATGGTTGTTGATGCCTGTCATTTCTGATTGTGTGTGATGATGGTGATTACATTTGATTTACAGAACTTGTAAACAAGACGTATATTCATTAAAGACGCACTGGTTGATCGTTTTGACATACTGTGTGGACGTTTTAGCCCTCGAGTTTCTACGCCTCCTTTCACGCGCAGATGTGCATCTCGAGGACATTTCAACCCCCCCTGCCCCACACGAAACCATGGGACCATGACCCCATAAAGCAGCCTGTTCCCCATCTAATGACAGCCTCTCTCCCTTCAGTTTTGATCTATTGCCTAATTCAATCTGCAGACACCCTGGGCCAGCTGAATGTGCTTGCATGTAAAAATGCCTCTTCGTCTGCTGTAGCAGGTGGAAGTTTGACAACGGCAAACTGGCATAAATACAATTTCCTGTCCTTGGATACATAGAAGCACAGCCCAGGCCATGACCCTGTCTAATCAACACTCCAGTACCTTCAAACCTGACCCCTCGAGGCAGGGCAACAACAAAAAAAAAAGATTTGCCGGTCAAAGGCAACCAGACAGCACCAAGGGTAGGTAAAGTGTGAGGAAATGATGAATCCAAGTGGGGCTCTTAAGTAGGACAGGAGAAAAGATAGATTGGATGTGGTGGTTTTTTTGTGTCAGACATGAACAGAGAATAATAGAGAAAGGAGCTAAGCAGAGGAGAAAAAGAAGACCTGTGCAACCTCTCTGGCAGCTGGGAAACTGCATATTAGACTGAACGTAGTCTTTAATCCTCCCCATAGCTCTGGGTCCCTGTCATTTCAAGTGCAGCTGGACTAAACGTACAATAATGACTCTGCTTCCGCAGAGGGCTGAGCAGCTTTTGTTGGTCTGAACATGTGCATGTGAGTGTTCGAGAGAAAGTGCTCCCTCGCTCCTGCAACGGGAATCCAACTCTGAGTGATTGTACAAGCTCTGGCTGCAGTCCATTATTAGGAGGTCAAACTGGCTGTAGCCCCTCAGTGCTGGTGCCATGCTCCTTTCATGCAAACAAAGAGGCACTGGCATGATTATTGCTTATTTTTGTCATGGAATTCTGATGATAAGGTCACACCGAGTCTCCCCTACATGCATCAGAGAGCAGCCATTGTAATTTTGGAGGATTGCCTTGTAGGCGCTGATTATGATGGAGTTTAGCCTTTTGTCTGTGGTTGAGCTGTATCCAGCAGATGGCATGGCATAGACCTTCCCCATCAAATACATAATGTGGATACATTTCAATGCCTACACAATTTGCAGAGATCCAGTGCCCAGTGTTGTTATCCAGTGAATGCAGAGGCCAACCACAAGTGCATTCTGTTGTGCACATTTTTTTTCATGTGCAGGACAATAGATATGATTAGATTGGACATCTGGGGATGTTATCTGACCCTCCACTCGTGGTCTGGCTAATCTCCTAGGTCAACACCAAATCATCTCTGGTGATGATACAGAACTGAACATAAGAAGTCAAGCTCTCAGGCAGAGCTCTGCTGGTTGCCACCGGAGGGAGTCCAATCTGAGGAATCCCACAATCCTATTAAGGTTTGAAATATGTGTTTTTTTCAAGTTTGTTTGTACCTGCTTCAGGCCAGGAACTCTGATCTGCTGCAGACTTATTAACTGCACCATGAAAGTCTGATAAATGTTGATGTGGGAGAAATGCACAGCCACGCAAACTACGGGTCAGGGCCAGAAAGGAACGCTGAGACTATTAAAGGGGTAATACATCCTTTTTATACTCACCAAGTGACACGTGCACACACAGAGGACTATAGAAATAAGATATTGCACTGCACTTTCTAGTTTTTTAAGAAAGTTGTTTATGAATGTGTGTAGGTGTTAAAAACATCAAGCTCAACAAAACCCCTCTCCTCTCTGGCTGGATGTGGGACTTATGCTCAGACCAGTGTTTGGTTGCCGTTGTATGAATTAGCTTCATGTAAGAGACCTCGACAGACCTCCATTATACAGCCAGGGACACATTTAATTAGCAGCAACTCACGTGAAACGACAAAACGTATTAATATTAATGGGGGTTTAATTGAGGTCGTTTTGGTCCCCTGTCGAGGCTTTCAACCTCTAAAATGCCTGACGTGTGATATTGTGAGGAGAGGGGGCCCTGAGCCCAGGCTCCTCATTTCATATGTGACCCCGGAGAAGATGACAACCATCTCCTATAATTCATCTGAAGATGTCACCTTCTCGACAGATGAACAGGCGCTGTGGGCAGTGTGTGTGAGGGTGTTACTGACCAGGTTTAGTTATACTTGTGGGGGCTCTTTTAGTTAGGACAGTTTGGCCAGTCCTCATAGGGATATGACTAATTGTGTGAGTGAGCGCGTGTGTGTGTATGCGCACAGCGTCTACATGTGAGGTGTCCACACGTGTGCGTCAAAGTGAAGGTCAAATCCAGCAGGATAATTAATGTTGCTGCTTTTTATATAAAGTTAAATCAAACCTTGGAACTGCTCCCTCTGGAGGATCAGCTGTCCAATTTAATTTAGGCTGCAGAGCGAGTAAATGAAAAAAGCAACAACCATGTCTCTGCACCACGGGACTCTGTCTCTATACCTTTCATCTTTTCTTCTCCTCCTTCTTCTCCTCCTCCTTCTTCTTCTTCTTCTTCTTCTTCATCTTCTTTTTCTTCCTCTTCCTCCTCCTCTTCTTCTTCTTCTTCTTCTTCTTTTTAACAAGACCACACAACAGGTAGACAGGGAGTCTTTCACATTTCACCAGTCTGCCCCAAGGGAGACATCACACAAAGTTAAAGTAAAGATTCACAGAATGATCCCAGGTGCTTTCTGCAAAAGGGTAGAGTTAAGTTTCTTTACTTTTTCCGAACTAAGTGGCATAAACTAACAACAAAAGAGACAGATTTAGCCTATTCTAAATGAAGGATTTATCTCCCCTGGCTGTTAGACAGCACATCCAGCTAAGCTTATTTGCATTTGCTTCACACTTTATTGCAGTCCTAAATACATGTTGATCATCACTGCAGTCATATCTTGTTTTCCTGCTTTCCATTGACTCCTCTTTCTCACTAGGCAACAAATATGATGAGCATTTTTTTTTTCTGCAAAGGGTTTCAGTCACATCAAAGACAGCATATGCAGTTTAGAAGGCTTTCTAATAGATCTAATTATTTTTGCGTTTCCATACAGTGGTCAGAAGGGACATTGTAAAATTGACAGCTTTTTTCCCATCCATTTCCAAATTCTTCACATATTGCTTTCTCTATGGGAAATGTGCGATTTGTGTTTCAGTCACAATTTCTTTTTAAAAATTTTGTTGGTGAGTAAATAAAAATGTCAAGGAAATACTTTTTTTCCAACAATTCGAGCTACCAGAAAACTAAAATGTGACCATATCCGGATACAGTCAAATACTTAAAATAGTGTACCTTTGACTTTGAGCTTTTCAATTTATTGTTTTTATTTGATGGAGACCCTTCAGTACATATTCAGTCCCAGTAAAATCTATTGGGCTGAGCCTGTTCAAACCAAATTTCCATTATCTAAACCGTACATGCATAAAATACTGTTTTTGTTGGTGTTGGTTTTGGCTGGACAAGTGACTGATTAAAAAGTATGTATGTTCAGACAACAGCTAAGTCTCCTCCCTGTAAGGCAATCTAATAGCAGTGAAGCACTTTATCCTGCTTTACAGTTTTCTTTTGTTTTTCAAGCCAATTAAGCAAACATTTTATTTATGTATTTGTTTTTTTTATAAAATCTATAAATCATAAACTGAACATTCAAAACAATTGTTATTTCAGAATATTCAACTAATAGAGGAGACTTACATTAACGCATATATAATTTTTTTTTGTTTATCTTTATTTCCTTAAGTTTTCACTGAATTACATGCAATAAATATTCATATATTAGTCCTTGAAAGTTTGTTTTCATTTAGTCAAAGATAGTTGTAGGTGTTAATTATTGATTTCGAACAGGCACCATTGTAGTCACCTAATCCTGCTCACAAGACCCTCCCACTCAGTGGATCATGATAACAGGAAGCTACGGAGCCGGCTTCGGTGAGAAGAAATCGTGCATTTTGTATTATTTTAAGCATTTGAAGGCTATGGTTGGAGTTTGATTGAATAGGTTTATATAAATTGTCAAACTGCTTGTCTCTGAATAAACATAGATGAGTGAAAAAAGCTTTTTTTTCCTTTTGTTGCTGGAGGCGTTAGCTAGCCCCGCGGTCCTTAAACTAGCATCAGTGGTCATTTAGCATTCGTGACCTAAGAGTTTTCCGTCTAACATGCTCTGGCTTTGTGTGTAATTTGTAACGAAATGTTAAGATTATTGTAAAAACCATGTAGTCTAAGTCGTTATAAGGGTTTGTATGGAGCTCATGGCAAACGCTAATGTGACAGCTCCAAAGATCGTCATTGAATCTGTCCGGATGTCAAAACTGTCTGTTCATTGGACGACAGAGCCACGATGAAGTTTTCTATTGGATAGAGTTTGTGAACCGTTTTGTTTACTAGTCAAAATCCTGCAGGTGCAGAACACTGTTTTTTACTTTTAAAATACCTTAAATTATGCTTTCACTAAAAGTATCTGCTCTGGTTTAGATCCACTTCAATTCAGATTATGTAACAAGTAGAGTAAGAAGTGTTTGACAGGTCCCTAGTCCTCTGTCTTTGCATCTTTTTGCATGTTGATGAAGTGTGGTGAACAATCTACATTAAATATATAGGGATTTGGTAGGTTGTATAATTAGTTGATAACCATGGACTTACAAAGGACAGGAATCGTGTTGAACGTTTACTGTTTGACATCAATGGTCAAGCAAAGCTCAAAGAGTTCCATTCCTGTAGCTGTAAAATACATCATTACCCCTCGATTGCTGTGTCTGACCATCATTATGAGCATTTGTGCTAAAATACTCTATCTAGCTTTATCATATGTTATGATCACATCTCCACTGTGATCTTGTCTATCCAAGCACACTGAATACACGAGATCACCTTCTTTTTGTTTGTTCAGATGAAGCATAAACCAAAGACATGCTATGTTCTTTTTAGAGGGAGGAGACTTCCCTTTGGAAATTCTTTCAAACAACACACAGGCATTCATTGTACGTTTTAGAACTTTAACATTTTACATGTTACCAGAGGCCAGTAGAGTCTCTTTGGGTTTTCTTTTTGCTTTTTCTCTGAACATTGCCCAGTCTGACCTTGGGATGAACTACATGCATTGTCCCCCCCTGGGTAGACTGGAAACTGTCTTGAATTTTTTCCATTAATTTCCATTCATGAATAATCTCTCCCTGTTAAAAAAGTTGGACTCCAAAATGTTAAGAAAGAGCCTTAAAACCCCTCCCAGGTTGAAGGGCGGTAACCATTGCTCCCCTAAAATAAATTCTGGTGTCTTTCCATTCATACATAGTGCTGATTTGGCAGATTAGCCAAAAGCTAAATTTGTAATTTAAGTAATTGTTTTAATTATATTTTATTTGATGTTGTATTCACCTAACCTTAAGATCTTTTAAATGTTTAAAAGTCGATGTAATTTATTTTTTAGCTGCCTGAACTTTTTACTATAGTCATTTTGGGAAGATAAATGAATCTATGTTTTATCATTCACTGGAGATCCAAAACACCGCTGTTATATGCACATTCCCACTAAAAATGCTGTAAAGCACTAATGTGGCCTCTGGATCTCATAAAACTTATTTTCCTGACAAACATTTTGGGGCCCTGGTGTACAAACCTAATCCTCCTTTTTATGATATCTCTACCTCCTGCAGTTTCAAACAATGCTGGGAAGCTATTTAGATTTTTATATCATAGCAGCTGGAATTTTTTAAAAGTATTTATTTAGCACTTACATAGCTCTTTGTACCTGATCTGTTATAAGTTATCATAGTTTATCATACCCTCTCCTAATACACTTCTAATTTCCAGAGCTTAGTTTTCCATTGATGTGACATAGGCTTTTATTTGGCATTGGTTTTTAAAAATCAGATTTCTCCATCCACACAAAGCCTCCGGCTTTTTGTTTTTTATTTGGACCTCCTTGGCTAACTTTTCTCTTTTTGAAAAACTTTGGAAACATCTGATTTGATTTTCATTTTGTTTGTTTTTACTGTTCAATGAATATTTTCTTGGCTTACCTCTCCAATGTTAATCTCATTTTGCCTTGTTTTTTTATGCTGTCTCTGGTTTGATTTCTTTTTCAAAGCACTAATTGATCTCCCTCGTTTATTGGCTTTATTCCCTAAATAGTTATTATAAATAGGTTTTTTTGACACTCATCTTTGAGTTACAGTCCTTTCAGAGTTTGCTCTTTAAGTCTGAATGCTTCAGAAGGGAGGGGGGGGGTAAGTAATTACCTAAAACAAGATCTTTTTTTTTTGTGGCTTTCAGGTTTTAATAATTTATATTCCTCCCTCCCTTCTTTTGTTCATTTCATTTACCATCATGTCCTGTTTAACGTGTCCCTCCTCCGTTGCAGGCGTGAGGATGTGGCTCCTAAAAGTCCTGCTGCTCTCCCTACTGACTGCTGTTTCTGGGGCTGCCGACTCAAAGGCTGTCACCACCTCTCTCACAACCAAATGGACCGACACTCCTCTGCTGCTGGAGGCCAGGTATGGCACCACACTGCTGAGCTGAAACAGTCTTTTAGCTCAACGATTTTTGATCATATAATAATTAAATCAATGTTCTGGCCTCTGTTTAAAATGAGTTTGAAAAGCTGTGTCATTGATGTGTGAGCAAGATGCTGGCTTCTTCACAGCATCAGATGTTGGACTCTTTGTATGTAGTTCTCTGATTGTTGGAATAGAATGAAAACGTTTTATTCAGTCTGTGTTGTACATTATCAGCTCAATAAACTGCCACTTTTATGTTCTTGTATTTCCACAGTGAGTTCCTTGCTGAGGAGAGCCAGGACAAGTTCTGGGACTTTGTTGAGGCCAACCAAAACATAGAAGGAGAGCATGATGGTAATTTAAAACTGCCTCAGACTCCGAAGACCCGATTTAATTTTTATTTTCACTGCTGGAAGCAGCTGAATTTATGATGTACATGCAGCGTCTTGGCAGTAATGGCAGTGTTATTGTTTTAGGCAAGTAGTTGCGCATGCAATAATGTGATAGAGGGAGGCTGGAAACTGTACTTTTTTTGTCCGTAACTTTTGTAATAGAATCAAATAAGTAATTTGATTTAAACTGACAAAGAGGAGACTTATTCAAAATGACAGACTGTGCAGAGTTGACTCGGGAACGTTGTGCCTCTGTTCTTCTCATCCAGACACAGATCAAGCCTACTATGAGTTGATTTTGAAGAAAGCCAGTACTTTACTCAGCTCCATCCAGTTAAACATGCTGAAGTTTGCCCTTTCACTGAGAGCTTACTCCTCTACAGTACATTCCTTTCAGCAGGTAACAGAAGAGCTATTAAAGGTTTCATTTTGACAGTCACTTAGCAGACTCAGTAGTGATTCTGTTGGTGTATTGCATTTGTAGATAGCGTCCACTGAGCTTCCTCCTTCAGGCTGCTCAGCTTTTATCAGCGTCCATGGAGAGAAGACGTGTGATGTGGAAAGCTTGGCTACACTATTGCAAACCGCCCCACAAAGGTAAACACAGACATGCCCATTAAAAGCACAAGCGTTACAAATGTGTAAACCAGGGACTGGTCATGTGAGCGACATCATAATCCCTCTTCCAGGCCCAGGCCGTACCTTTTCAAAGGTGATCACAGATTCCCAGGCTCCAATCCCGATGCGCCTGTTGTCATTCTCTATGCTGAACTTGGGAAGCCAGATTTCCAACGGTTTCACCAAGCCATAATATCCACAGTCAGCGAGGGCTCGGCCACTTATGTCCTCCGTCACTACACAGCTGTAAGTGTTTCACACGCAAGAACAGCGATGCCATACGCCATAAAAAAATAGAGAACGGCATCAGATAAATACAGATTATAGACAAGAGAATTTCTTGGCAGGTCTCTGTCTTCTTTTACACGGAACCGCTTCTTTTACACGGAACCTGGAGCCCACACACAGAGTTTTCTAAATTCCCTTTTTATGAATCAGGACTCACAAGTCCTGATTCATAAAAAAGTGCCTATGAGGCAGCCAATGGTTGCTACGAGTCCATTTAAAGTCCAGCTGAAATCACAGCATTGTCTCAAGAGTTTTCCACAAATGTGCAAGTTTCTGAGTTTTCAGAGCAGGCAGGGTTAGTGATCTGCTGTCAATCTATAAACTATCTACTGTTCCATATGTTTCAGTGTACATTTATAGTGATAAAAACACTAATGGTATGTTCAAATATAAAAAGAATCATGTTTTCTTTTCTTTTTTCCTTGTCTTTGAGCTTTTGTCTATTTAAAAAAAAAAACCCAGTGTAGAAGAGCTGCTAATAATTCAGTTTCAGTGCCAGGCTGACCAGCGGTAATGTTTAACAGTAGCAATAAAATCTTAATGACACGCCTAGTGCAACATAAAACTCGAATAGACGTTTATATCACTAAACATACGGCAGAAGATACATTTAAGGGGGCTTTCCTTCAGATTTAAACTCATCTGAAAATCCCTCTGCAGTTTGTGCAGCCTCCCCATTTACACCTGGGATGAGAAATGTTTCTCCACCTTCTTATGCCAAATTATCTTCGCTCTCATGAAAACATAGCTGGCCCCCTTTTTTTTTTTCTCCTCTCACTGATTATGTTAAATTATTCTCACCAGCTGTCCGTACGAATGAAGTTTTTTCGCCTAACTAAAAAAGGTGGAAATCTTCCTCTTTATTTAATAGCTTTAGGGCCTGTCAAGGGACGGTGAGAGTTTTTTGCACTGAGCAGGCAGCAGCTGGTTATTCTGCAATAAGCAATTGTTTGTTAGGCTTGTATGGTTTGTTTCTTATAGGTGAGGTGAGCTGAACACACTGGGTTGATGGCAACTTTAATAGTTATGTTAGTCATCAGGTGACATTCACCAATATATGAGATACTATCTGACGGATGTAGTTAGAGCTTTTTAAATCATTTGTATATTTCAGCATTTTCTAAATACAACTTCCAGTGGCACACTTGCATAAGGGAAAAGGATGTCTTCTCCCTCCCATGCAATTTGTTTTACAATGTCTCCTCATTTCCAGAAATCAAGTGGAAAGAGAGTCTATTTGTCGGGGTACGGAGTGGAACTGGCCATCAAAAGCCAGGAGTACAAGGCAAAGGATGACACACAAGTCCAAGGTTTGTCCACTCACAGAACTGCACACACATGCTGATGCAATCCCAGAGGAGTCCTGACATGAATATCAAGTTAATTGATTGTGGTTTCAGGGGAGGATGTGAACGCCACAGTGATTGGAGAGAATGACCCAGTGGACGAGGTCCAAGGATTCCTCTTTGGCAAACTCAAGTGAGTGACTCTGTATTTGGCCATGGTAACAATTCAAAGCTTGGCAAGAACTTCACCAACCAGACGCAATGTAGCCAAGTATTTTTCTTCCTTCCCCAATCCGGCCCGCTCCCCCCCACACACACTTTTATTCCCTCGAAGCATCACCTCTGCTCCACTAAACTCAAACTAAGTGAATCAATCTGTGAATTCAGCCACGCTCTCTCGATTAGATGTATATTCATTACACAGGTGCATTTACGCTCTCTTTGTCTGTCTCTCACCAGGACTCTCTATCCAGAACTGAAGGAACAGTTAAAGGAGTTGAGGAAGCATTTAGTAGAAAGCACCAATGAAATGGCACCTCTAAAAGTCTGGCAGATGCAAGGTGGGCCACCGTCCAAATCACGTTTAGAGTTTTGTCTGTTGTTCTTCTATTAGTGCAGATGTACCGTAAGAGGAAGCAATTCTGTCTCATTGTGAATAATTGTTCAACAGACTGAAACAAACACATCAAGGGTGACTGAGCATGTTGACAGAGTAGCAAATAAATGCTGTGAGGCTGTGTAATATCACACGTATTAGTCACTTTTACCAGGAATCGATTTTTTTCATGATCACATAAATACATCCACAGGCCTCAAACACAATTTTGTCAGCTCTGGATGTCAAAATGTAATAATATGATGGCAGAAATCCCATGTTCTTATCTCCATCAAAACCAGATCAATTCTACATGTCCTGAAGGGGCTTTTGAGTCTTTACAGGTTGGGATATCTGATGACACAGATCGCCCTTACACACTTTGTAGGTAAAGATAGCCAGTGATACTTCCACCTGCTCATAAACCTAAAATTGATTTGAATCTCACTGCTGACTGAAAGCCTTTTTTTTTGTTTCTTTTTTTTTTATCAGCATTAAATCTAATCTGCTGACTATGTAGTTGAGGAAGCAGGAAATCTCAAGGCGCACACATTTCTACTGGAGCTTATGCTTTATATAAGCATCACCACATGACCGCAGGGACTTCCTTTGCTACATCAGAGAGTTAATGCAGTCGGTAGTTTGTTGTTTGTAACCACTTTTTTAAGACATTCGGTTTAAATATTGTAGACATACTTTGGTGTATGATTTGATCACCCTATTGCGATGAACCAGTTAGAGTTTTCCTATCAGAATTCTCCAGCCTCAGCCACTCAAAGGCCTCACAGAACAATCTGCGCTCACACATTCATACTCCAGCCGTTCAGTATCTGTACTTACATCTCTAGTGGTGGCTACTGTCGATTGTAGTCACACTTCTAACATCCCCGTTGCTGCCAGCCCACTGATCCAAACTACTATAGATTGGCCACAAACTCATGGCTTCAAGCCTGGAAAGATGGATTCCTTGTGATAATGAGTTTGAAAATCTCCCAAGAATCCATCTACCTTGCCAAGGTAATCAGAAATTGAAAATTAGTTGAACCAGAAGTTTATTGAGTTTCTGTCCCAGCTCATTTAATTTACCATTTGATCTGAATGAGATGGAGCTCCCATACGGTCTATTTTACAGTATAACACATCACTGTTCCTAAGTTGTCTTCATATTTCAGTCATTTTTTGAGAAAAGCTTTAAGGAGATCAATTAATTCGTCAACACCAGGTGAAAATCTCATAAGTACCTGTCAGCCACAGGACGTGATTTCCTTGTGTGTGTTTATGGATTCATGGTGATGCAGAATGACTGTCAATAGAACGGCCTAATCAATAACTACTCGTGTTTTCTCTGTAGCCTCATGGGTATTCCATCATTCTTTTTCAGTTTCTTTGTTAAGAAAAAAAGAGAAAATATCACCATCAAATGAGCACAAATAGGCAAAAAAAAAATTTTCTCACTCTCTTCAAATCAAGCCAGCTTTACACTTGACCTTTGAGTCTTTGTTATGCAGAATTTAAAAGATTTTGAATATTCCCTCATCAGTATCTGTATCAATTGAATCTGCGAATCGGTCTATTTGGTAAGATCTGTTATGGTGTGTCATCATTTTTCTGTTGATGCTTGCGACCTACAGTGTCTTTGAGACAAGAGCATTATTGATTTGGATGGCTTTATTTATTACTCCCCTTTTCTTCTATCCTCTTCCACGCCTGTCACCCTACAACAGATGCAGTCGTAGGCACTTTTTAACATTATTTTCTTTACCGCACACATACCGATGGTGTGTGTCTTTCCATCATACTGTTTCCCTGCACAAAAGAATCTCCGTGATAGACTCTGATCAGGATGTGGGCGCAGAGCTTGTTTGATTACGGCACATAAAGGATGCGAGAGGGATGAGGGGGCTGAGCTTGACTTTCAGACTGGCATGTAAGGGCCAGCCTTTATCTCCTAACCCATTGGGGCTCATTAGCTCAGTCTGTTTACAAAGAGAAGAGAGCCTCCAGGGGCTGATCATCACACGAGCTACCACACCATTACAGAGATGCTCTCTGCTATGAAATAATCCTCACAATATGCTCTACAACCCCCTCTTTTCTGCATAGAGACTGTAAACTGTATTTTATATTATGATCTACATCTCGATCCAGCTTTGATAGCTTTAGGTTAAGACAGGACAACGATGGCATTAAATATCTCTGTTTTTATAATAATTCATTGGACTTTGTAATTGTTAGTACATGCACTGCCTTTGCTCAATAAATGGGGAAATCTTTTAAGTTTTAGAAAGTTTCTAATGAAAATTAAACATGACCATTCAGTAAATGCCACTGATGGCCCTTTCTAGCAAGAAATAAATGCATAAAAGGCAGCAGGCTGTGTAATTTGTCCACGTAAGACAGTTTGAAAATGACCATATCAAAAGGTTATAATGGCTTTCAACCATGTTTTAGCTCTGAATTTACACACACACTCCCATAACTAAAAATGTCCTGCTTAAACACACTTTTCGACCACAATAACATGTGAGGTAAAGAAGAATCAAATTTAAGAATTAAGAAATTTGTTAATGAAATAGACTAAATATGCATCCTCCAAGCCTCTGATACAGTTTGTGAATCGAATGATCTTCACATCCTTCTCAGTTTGACTCTGTTACCAAATATTAGCGTGCTAACTCTGTAAGCCTAGAAGCTGTATATGATGAGCCATCTTTTGAAGCACTCAGTAGAGTGCGGTACGATACAAACTGACGTTATTACAGTGTGTGTTGTGTAGACTCACAGTGCTTCGAGCGTGAATTTGAAATCGTATTCTTTGGTTCACCTTACAGCTTTATTTGGATGATGCACTCTGACAAGTTCTCAAACTGCTTTAAGTTGTGGCCAAACTTTGATTCTCTCATTGGATCCTCTTGTGTGTTTCTGTACTTCTGTCCACTCATCTTTCTCCCATTTTTGCCCTTTTTGCCCACCTTTCCTTCCACCCACCTCTTCTTTTATAGATCTGAGTTTCCAGACAGCAGCTCGCATTCTTGCTGCTCCCGCTGTTGATGCCCTCAATGTAATGAAGGACCTCAGTCAGAACTTCCCCACCAAAGCCAGGTAGACACACTTTCAAACACAAGCAGTAGATGAAGGAAGGAGGAAGGAGTTTGTACGTATACTGATGTGCTCGAGGCTTTCCGGCTCAGTCTGTACTTTTGCCTTACAGGTCTATCACCAAAACAGTGGTGACCCCTGAGGTCCGCAAGGAAATTGGCGAGAACCAAAAGGTAGTTGTTTTTTTACCTTTTTTTCTTATTCCAGACTACCTGGCACATTACTACTTTTTCCCCCCTCTCTTTAAAAAAACAAATAAACAAATTCACTGGCCTCACACACACAGTTAAGCTGCATTCCACCGGGCAAAGTTGGACATGTTGGAACGGGACTGCCCGGATGCTCCCAAAGGCCCGTGATTATCGATCGCCAAAGGAATATGTGTTGTTATTTTTAGGGGTTTTTTTGTCGTTATTTTGCCCTAGTAGGGTTTCTATTTGGCTCTCTGCAATGCCTTATGGGACAATATTTTTAAAAATGGACATCAATACTGCTTTGAGCTATTCTCAGTCCTGATTTGTGTGCATGTGCTGCCAAGGGTGCATGGCCATGTGGGAGGGAGGCAGCAGAGCCCATATTCACTCTGATGAAAACACGTTTCAGCCAGTGCAGCGGAAAAAGCCTTTATAGAGTGTTCATTTCCACATGTCTCCAACTCCCTCCTTTGGCCGTTGATATGTTTTAAGGAGCTTTCTTGTCTTGATATCAGTGGCTGGCAGGTCGACATGTTGACTGAGACCTGGTTCTTCCCATTCAGCTAACTTTTCAGGGCCCATCTTGTTCCTTTCCTCCAGTTTGCATCCATAGCCACTCCTAGAAATGTTGGGACTGGTCCAGAGCGTGCTCTTGAATCGGCCTGTTCATCTCTGCCTTCTTTAGGAAGGCCTTTTTGTGTCCTGTTGATGTTGTTGGGCTTTAAACATTACAGTATCCATGCGCAAGGTATTGGGGCTTTCTTGTAGTCAGTGCAGATGGTACACAGGTTTTTAAGTGATATCTTACAGTCTTGAGGCACAGTTCTGTCCATCAGTAGCTTGTAATAAGGTCCTCAGGTGTTACTCCTCTGGGCTCCTATATTAATAAATATACCTGGCCTTTGCTACTTGCTCACTTGTTTTTTAAAAAAAAAGGCACTTCCACCTTTATCGGAAACTAACACCTATCAGTCAGTTCAACAAAGCTAAAGTAAAACCAGAAGTGCTACATCTCTTTAGGACTGTGGTGGAGACAGGAATTTTAAATCTCTTAGCAAATTTAATTAGAATTTGAAACCTTTAGCCATTGTCCTGCTCAATACAGCAGCGTTCGGTTATATTTTCTTTATCTGAACCTCTTGTACTTTTGCATTCCCGTTGGCTGGTTTCGTCGGATGGTCAGGAATAATTAAGGTTTGAGTATTTTCCAGTGCGATCCAATAAAGAAAAACAAATAACAGCATTGCATACGGCTACAGCCCCGGCCCCCTAATCCTCCCACCTGCTGTCTTTAGGGAAATATCTCAAAATGAGAACTGCCCCTCCTGTTATTGTTTACGATTTATCGCATAATAAAATGTGAGAGGAACAAACAACATTTGACTTCAAAAGCATTCTGTTTTGACAATCTGTTTGGCTTTTGCCAAGCCGATAATGGAACAGGTAATCACCCCTTCTTCTGCTCGGTGTTTTCCCCTCCTCCTCCCGCTCCTCTGTGCTCGCATTATCTTTGTGAGCAGAAGACAGGAGTTCAGGGTGGTGGAGGAGGTGGTGAGCAGACAGACGTCCTAATTACTGAATCGGTGATTCATTCAGCAGGCACACGGTCCTGTGGCGAGAAATGATTATTGATTGAAGTAGTTTGGACACACGCACACCTGCACGCGGAGATTTCTTTCTCTCACGCACCTCAGCCACACACACACGGTTAAAGTGGGATGAACGATATTTGTGTTAATCGTGTCTCGTTGTAATTGGCATGTCGAGAGAATGATTAATCTGATATCTTTGTCTTTGCGTAATGAGATTTGACTGCGCCAGAACAACTTTGAGCTTTCCTTTTTCCTCTGCAGACACGCTGAGCATCTCATATCCATGCACGCCCTCACACCCCCTTTCTCTAATAATTAGATTTGTTTAGTGTGGTGTTTGATTGCTCCAAACAGACTGAGTCGAAGACAAGAGAGCTGTCACTGCTTATTTGGAGCTGTCAAAGAGCCTTGTTACAGCTGGGTGTTGAGCGTTGCCTCTAGTTTTGCAGCGTAATTGACTGCACCATGAGAAGCTTTGACGTTTGGTGGTGCACACTGTGGCGATTTGCTCAGCTGGCATCATATATGGAGCTTTACTGTTTGATGTGACTCGGACACTCAGTTATTTTGACATGTTTTCTCTCCACAGTTCTTCAAAGGAACTCTAGGGTTGCAGCCAGGGGATTCGGCCCTGTTCATCAACGGGCTGCACATAGATCTGGACACCCAAGACATCTTCAGGTGCACACACAGAATCATAAATGCAGAGTTTACTGCCGAATTATTTCTGGGTTTTAATAACAGCTTGCAACCCACAACTTGGATGTATTCCCCCCGATGCTGTAAATTTTTATTACATTGTTATTGAGTCAAAAGAATTTACATTTTTAAAATCAGTTACCCTTCACTTATTTTTATCAAACAAATAGTCGTTCTTCTGTCTTAAACAGGAGGGACTTGGTGTTGGGCTGTGTGGTCAACTGAATATTTTGGTATTGTTTCCATTTTAAGACGTCAGTTTCGGTTCTGATGATTGCCATTACGGTTTATCAGAATTTTCACTGTTGTCTCAGATCTCACAACGGATCTCACAGCTCATCAAGAACTCAGCATTTCTTGTCCCTGTTCAATTCAAGATGTTTGTATTTCTGTGTTGTGGCAAAGAGCATAAAATGCTACACTCGGAATAGCCAGGTTCAAGAAAAGCTCAGAGGTTTAGCTTTAAAAAGTAGTCATTGTTCTTTGGATGTGCTAAACGGCTCATAACGATTGCAGAAAATTCTACGATAATGATGAGAGCGATAATGAGCCTTCAGTGTGCAGCTCTCGGATAATTAGATGCTAGAAGTGCGGTTGTTACATCCGTGCTCATGTTCACGCACACCGAAGCGCACGCTAACTTACTCTGGCCCATTGTTACCCGCAGTGTGTTCGAGGTGCTGCGCAGTGAGGCTAGGGTGATGGAGGGCCTGCGCTCGCTTCTCATCGACACCCCCTACATTCACGACATCCTGAAGCTCAACGTCCAGCCGTCTGACTCGGACTATGCCGTCGACATCCGCAACCCTGCCATCTGCGTAAGAGAGCACACGCACGGCCTCCTCCCGGCACATTGTCACACATTTAGAAACAAGAACAACGTCGAGATGTGAAAAAGGCTGCGGCTAATTAGCTGTATACCCAAAATACCCATTAGGAAAAAAAACACAGCGCTCTCCTGTTACAAACTACAATCCTGTTTGGGAGAATTTGGAGGCTTTTCAAGCCTGCCAAATAATGGCCCCAGTTTTCGGCTGCCAGCAGTCAAATGTAATTATTATTTGGAACTTGCCTAGTTAGTTTTTTCCTTTTTACCGTCTGTCAACCAATTCCCTTTCTCTTTCAGTGGATTAACAACCTGGAGACAGACCACAGGTACAGCTCGTGGCCCTACAACGTGCAGGAGCTGCTCAGACCAACTTTTCCGGGAGTCATCAGGCAGATCCGCAAGAACTTTCACAATCTGGTAAATCCATAGTTGGTTTAATGTGCCCGTGTGATCCATTTGTATGGGAAGGCCGTTGAAGAATAGTGCAAATGTGCGTTGCAGGTTATCATTCTGGACCCGACCCAGGAGAACGCCGCTGAGCTGCTGAGCGTGGCGGAGATGTTTTATTCCAACAATATCCCCCTCAGGTCGGTCTTAAACCGATACTTTATGATATATACAGATCGACACAGATCTGAGAAATGGGAAACGGGGGCTGCAGTATTTAAGAATGAGCTGAGACTGTGCACATAAAGCTGTGATAATGTAGAGGGTTTTTCAGACAATTGAAAAATTGATTGTTTTCTGATTGTACGTGCAGGATTGGGCTGGTGTTCATCGTGTCGGATGAGGACGACGTTGACGGCATGCAGGATGCAGGCGTGGCGCTTGTCCGAGCCTTTAACTACATCACAGACGAGGTCGACGGTCAGAGTGCGTTTGAAGCGGTCATCTCAGTGAGTCGCTTTCACCATCTTTAGGCTCATCTCAACATTCCCGTTAGCCTAAATTCAAATATGATAGGAAGAAAGCAGCCGCCCATTTAAAAACCAGCACACTGCTGCCTGCCCTCCGTCCCTCTCTCTCTCACCAGATGTTTAACAGGGTGCCCGTTGGTGGACGGCTGAGCGTTGCGGATGTGGTCAAAGTTCTGGAGAAGAGGTTTCCCTACGTGGAGGTCAGCAGTGTTCTTGGGGCCGACTCCACCTATGACAACAAGAGGAAGGTGAGTCAGGCTGAAAATGGGATTTTGCTACAAAAATTTGACCATCTTCATTTACATGAGTAAGATATTTCCTAACTTTGCTTCAGTTATTGTTAGCCTGACATTCAAAATATGGCTGTAATTATTTTGAAACTTCTTTAATAGTTCTTATTATCAATGTTTACCTTGAATGTCATGAGACTATCTCTGTTATAAAGCATATAATAAAGACAAGGGAATGAGTAATTAACCTAAGAACTTTTAATAACTCAGTGACTTTTCAGTGGTTAGATAAATGGTCTAATTTTTCTTTCTTACTTCACGTTAAGTAAAAAGAATAGTCTCCAGCATGTCTGCTGTTGTCAGGGTTTGGCCAGTATATCTGTACAGTGCTGGTTCATTCTGCTGTCTGTTTCTCGTGCTACTGTGGTTTTATTTGTTGTGGAATTGTGATGCACGCCTGCCTTTTGCCTGCTTCATGAGTTTCTTTACAGGTGGCCCCGGAATGTTTTCTTAATCCGCAGCCCTGCGTTCTCCTTACAGATTTTTCTTGGCTGAAACGCGTTGAGCTCTGTGTACATTTCACCTTGTTCTCAGTCAGATAATCTCCCACAGCTTCACTTTTTTAGTCTCAGTGTGATTCTATGCAAATACATTTTTGATGTTCAAAGATGTTGGAAGATCAGGCATGGAATGCAAAATTGAGATTCCATGCAGCATTGTAAAATGTGTTGTGCTTTAGATGGGTCAGTGTTGACTATTCGTTTCAGCTGCCTGTTGGAAAATGACGGTGTAGAATATCAGCAAACCCATTTTAAATAGCCTCAGTTGGTGAAGGTTTACATAGAGGAAATAATTCCAAAAGTTATTTTTCTTTTCTTTTCTTTTCTGAATATAATGAAAACCTTCCTGACTTCCAACTGAGTCACCACTGCTGTGCTGTGTTTTGTGCGAGTTGGCTACCGCTGCGTCTGATGTTGAATAGCCTATTAATACACCATGTCATGTCCTTTTTAATTTAAGTAGGCCAGGTGAATGCGTCATAGCGCTTCCACATTGTTGGTTTCATGCTGAGAAAATGTTTGTTTAACATCTACCTTTCAGAATCCCCCAAATCTACATTTTCTTTGTCTTCTGCTTTAGTTCAGAGAAAATTAACCTTTCCCTGGATGTCCTTTTTTCAGGAAGGGCGGGCATACTACGAGCAGACAGGAGTGGGCCCGCTGCCTGTGGTCATGTACAACGGCATTCCCTACCGGCGGGAGCAGCTTGATCCGGATGAACTGGAAACGGTCACCATGCAAAAAATCCTGGAGACCACCTCCTTCTATCAGAGAGCCGTGTATTTGGTCAGTTACAGCACAAACACACTCGTATTGTACGTTAAACCAGTTAACCAGGGCTGCTTCTGAGTTAAAGCTAAAGATTTTTGACTGAGTCTAGTTTAGGTTAGATTTGCTCATGTACAGCTATTTTCTTCATTTTACCAAAAAATGATTCATTTTCTCTACTTTAATAGAATTAAGTTTAATCTCATAAAAAAACTGGTAATCTGAAGCTTTTCAGATCCTGTTTTAGTGAAATCAAAATATTAATTTGTTTTCTTATTTCAAATTTTAATGATTAAAAGTAGAACAGCAGAGCTTTAGATAATTTCCTTCCTTCAAGTTAATCTATTAAAAAACTTCCTTTACACACTGTCTGGGATTGCAGTCTTGAAATAAAGTCTTTGGCACGACATTTGCGAACGTGCCATCTGTCATATTTTCTCTTTTAATGTGATCCTATCAATCACTGGAGCCAACTGCTTTATTTCACGGGCGTTAGAGCACGGTGCGCTGTTTAATTTTGTTGTTAGAACTGTTACTCTCATCAACAAAGTGTTAGTCATCGGCCATTTTTGGCTTCTTATTCTCAAATCCAAACTTTTAGAAAAAAAAAGAAAGCTTCTTGTGAGTCAACTTTGAAAGCTTTTTAAACTGCGACTCTAAGCTTGGAAGGCTCACAGAGAATGACATCCTGCAGCTCCGTCAGCTCTGCAGCACCACTCTGACTTATTGCTTTCCACTCCTAAATATATTTGCTGGGGTGGCTTGCAGGGTGAGCTGGCCACAGATCACGACGTGGTGGACTTCATCATGAATCAGCCAAATGTTGTCCCTCGCATCAACCCCAGGGTGTTGTCCACCAGCAGAACCTACCTTGATTTGTCTGATACCAGTGAGTAGAGGATAGTATGATGCTATGATAATTATAAGCTCTGTCTTTATCTGAGTCTCCTCTCATTAATTACATTTATCTGATTTACTGATTTTTTTTTAGATTCAGTATTTTGACAGGTTATGTGACAGACTAAATGTTGACCTGCCTGTCTATGAAACCAGCATCCATAGGACAACATATATCATTCATAAATCTTTATATATGTATTTTTATATTATAAACTAACTGATAATGACAATTTCATCCTGACTTTTAGATAAATAAACCAATTGTCATTTTTCTTTTCTTTTTTTTTTTTTTTTTAAAAACAAACACTTTATAGATGATTATGCTCGCTTCTCCACCCTGGACTCTAAGGAGAGGAGCACCGCTGTGGCCAACAGCATGAACTACATGACAAAGAAAGGTAAGATCATCAGAGACCCCAAAAAGGGATTATTGGACCTGTCTGTGGGGTTGGTGTCTTGTTACTCTTGACGATAGTGAAGCCATCTTTGACTCTTAACTATCCTCCTGTATTCTCCTCTTGTCCTCTCCTCCTCATTCGCTTCCATTTCTTATTCCTGTGGTTTTTAACACGTCCCTGCAGCAGGCGTGACAGCCACCAACAGCCATGGTAATCACCCTTTTACGCGCAGTTCCCTCTCCTCATCTCTTTGTCTTTTTTGGTTTTCCTGGCACTTTTTCAATGTATTTGTGGATCCACCACCACTCCTCCATCTGTGTTACATTTCTCAGAAGATGCAAATGGATAATTATGCATGTGATTATAGAATACCAGCATCCAAGTATAAAAATGTGTCCGTGTTCAAAGGTTTTTCCTCTATTTCCCTCCATGAGTGCATGGTATTCAGGCCTCAGTCATAAAGGAATGGCAGTTTTTTTTCCGGACTCCCTGATAAAGTGCTTGCTTTACTTCAGAAGTCAACCTTTATAGACAGGTTTATTGAGCGACAACATGTGAGCCTTTGTGTTTCCTCCTCTTCTGTGCTGGTCAGATGATGTATACATCCGTCCTGTGACGTTCTGGGTGGTCGGAGACTTTGACACGCCCTCTGGACGCCAGCTTCTCTATGACGCCATCAGACACATGGTAGGAAGTCTTATCTTATCATTCTCTCATAATAGGTGATGGGTGAGGTGTTTCTTTTTAATTAGCTTGTTCTTTTGATTCAGTATTCCAAGAAAACTGTAGGTTGATTTTGTGCAACATACATGTGTGGCTTGTAGATATTAAAATATCAGTCCTCTTGCATTGTTAAAAGGGAGGAAAAGATATCAGACTGTTTCCTCGAATCTCTCTTTTCATCTTTTTCTCTGCTCCACAACAGAAAACCAGCAACAACGTCCGACTGGGCATGATCAACAACCCCTCAGCTGCCCCGGCTGCTGAGAGCAGCCGCGTGACCAGAGCAATCTGGGCCGCCATGCAGACGCAGTCTGCCAACAACGCCAAGAACTTCATCACAAAGATGGCCAAGGAGGAGACCGCCGCGGCCCTGGACAGGGGCGTGGACATCGGGGAGTTTGCCGTCGGGGTGAGCGGCCGGAGGGGAGCGCGGGGATGATTCAGCACGACCGTCTTTTTCTTTTGAAACCCTGATATCCTGCCAGCGCCCGTCTGGCTGGCTGCTAGCATTTACTGAACATGATTTCTACTCCTACTTTGTCCTTTTGCTCTTCCCTTCAGGGTATGGATCTGTTATTGTTCAAAAGTGCATATGAGAGTTCCAAATTCGACTTCCTGCTCTCCCACGCCGCGTACTGCCGAGACGTGCTCAAACTGAAGAAAGGACAGAGAGCAGTTATCAGCAACGGAAGAGTGAGTCACAGGCAGCTCTGCCTTAGCAAAGAATTCTGAACCCAGTGGCAGACGTGGCTTGAAAATATCTCCTACTATCTACTATGCCATTTCAGCTGACATTATTTCCGCTCCACAGATCATTGGTCCACTGGAGGACGGAGAGGTGTTTAACCAGGACGACTTCCTGCTGCTGGAGAACATCATCCTCAAAACATCCGGAGAGCGCATTAAGAGCAAAGTTCAGGATTTTGGAATTGAGGAAGACAGGTGCTTTCTTTCGGGTCCACAACTTGCTCAGAGTCTCAGACTCTGTTGACCGCTGATGCTCTGAGCTCCCCGGGCTAACGCAGAGTTTCCCCCTCAGGGCCAGCGACCTCGTGATGAAGGTGGACGCCCTGCTCTCCTCTCAGCCCAAAGGAGAAGCGCGGGTGGAGTACGGCTTTGCCGATGACCGCCACAGGTAATGCTGTAACGCACGTAATCTGCCCAATTTCCACATGCCAGCATTCCTTTAGGGATAGTCCACCAGCCCCAGCTACCTTTGGAAGAACAGCATGTTTAACCTCCATTAAGTCCATTAAGTATAAATTATTTTTTTTGTTTGATTCTATCATTTGCTTTTGCTTGCAGTGCGGTGAAAATCCGGCCCAAGGAGGGAGAGGTCTACTTTGATGTGATCGCGGTGCTGGATCCAGTGACCAGGGACGCGCAGAAGCTGGCTCCACTTCTGCTGGTAGAGTCTCAGGCCTTTTAATTGGATTTGGGGATAATTTATCAGCTGCTTGATGGATCTACAGCTTTGATTCCATCGCGTTATTTTTTCCTAACCTGCCTCTCGCTCCTCGTCCCAACGTGTAGGTGCTAAAGCAGCTGGTTAACGTCAACTTACGGGTCTTCATGAACTGCCAGTCCAAGCTGTCAGACATGCCTCTGAAGAGGTGAGTGAAGTACTAAACACTCTCTGACCCGCTTTGAGATCGCGCTCTCTAACTCCTGTCTCCTCTGCGTACTCCCTCCAGCTTCTACCGTTATGTTTTGGAGTCGGAGATCGTATTTCAGACTGACAGCAGCTTCTCCCCTGGCCCCATGGCAAGGTTTCTGGACATGCCTCAGTCTCCGCTCTTCACCCTGAACCTCAACACCCCTGAGAGCTGGATGGTGGAATCTGTGCGCACCCGCTACGACCTGGACAACATCTACCTGGAGGAGGTGCAGCCATCAGCCTGTCAGGGTCTTTAGTGGGATCATGTATATTATAATTGGCCTCTGAAATGCGCGTTTGCATTTATCTCTGTCCTGCTGAGGTTTATCGTATCGATCTCATCCGTCAACCTTTTCCACTCATGTAATAGATAATTATTCTAAAAATAATTTAACTTGCTGGGCTTTTTTTCCCCAGTGTAACTTGGTATTAATTTACTTTGACTCTAGGAAGGTACCAGCCAGAGTTTTTGAGTTTCTGAATAAGATGAGGCTTTAAAAGAAAAGACATAAATAATTCTGGAGGGGTCCCAGTAGTTCTGCAGGTGAACCTTAAGGCTTCGTCTGCTCTGAGCACAGATACTTTCCTCATTCTTGTAAAACTTTTGACCTACTGTTGTTGTCCACCTTTTCTTACATTTTTCTCTTTTTACGTTTCTCTGATTTTTATTTTGCGCTGAGAATTTCTTCATGTTGCCCCTCTGCTGGATAGAAATCCATGTGTGTGTGTGTTTGAGCGGCAGGATAAACCGTACTTTTCTACACTTTCTCAGGTGGAGAATATTGTTGCAGCAGAGTACGAGTTGGAGCACCTTTTGTTGGAGGGCCATTGTTTCGACGTGAGCTCAGGTCAGCCTCCGCGAGGCCTCCAGTTCACCTTAGGGACCGAGTCTGAGCCGGTCATTGTGGACACCATCGTCATGGCAAACCTGGTGAGTTGGAGCTCTGCAGGAAGAGCTCCTGCCTGGTTGTTCCTCACCCCGGCCAACAGCCTCGCTGTTGTTGGGGCTTTTTAATACTTTCCGATCTTCCGAACTATCTTATTTTTTCACATTTGAGTCTTCTGATAACTGGCTGAGAGGTTCCTTTGTTGTTCTCCGTAGGGTTACTTTCAGCTCAAAGCCAACCCCGGCGCCTGGATGCTGAAGCTGAGGAAAGGGCGCTCCAATGAAATCTACAAGATTTACAGGTGAGAATCACTTCCTCCCTGAAATGATGAAACGGCTCATTCGTTTCTAAATTCAGCCAGCGCTCCGCGGACCTCACACGGGTCACCAGCTCTGCGCGGCTACTCTTACTATCCTCTGTGTCCTCTCCCGCAGCCACGACGGCACAGACTCCCCCGCAGACTCCGATGACATCATCGTCGTGCTCAACAGTTTCAAGAGCAGAATCATTAAAGTCAAGGTCAGTCCACCCCCGGTGCTCCCGGGGCTTTTCAGAGGAGACCGCCCTCAGCACTTTTCTCCCTCACTGAAAGACAACGGAGTCGTTAGCTTAGCTTCGAGCTGAAAAGAAATGAACCACCGATAATCGATTTTGCTATTTAAAAGGGAAAGCTGCTGTTTCTGAGTGTCCACTTGGTGTCGCCAAAACGAAGATCTCAGTTTCTCCACAGGGGGTTTTGATATTTTGACCAGAAACGGGTCTGACTTAAACATGTCCCGGCATTTAGCACTTTTTATTTCTAATGGTGATAAGCTGGCACCGTAACAGCAGAATGCAACTTTTCAAGTGGATGTCCACCGTTATAATCCCAAATGAGTTCATCTTTTTTTTCCCCAGTTTTTGAGAGCTTTTAACTAACTGGCTTAAAACTGTGTGTCGACCAGGTCCAGAAGAAGCCAGACAAGTTCAACGAGGAGCTGCTGAGCGATGGGACCGAGGAAGACGACACCGGCTTCTGGAAATCTTTAACAAGGTTCCTCTTGGATCGAATCATTCGCTGACACATGCAGATGAAACAATGTTTTTGGTCAGACGAGCTCAAAGATGCTCTGAAGCTCTGCTTTGCTGCTTTTTCTGTGTTGCAGTCTGATGTATAAACATGTTTACAGAGGGTTGATTTTCGTATGCCGTGGCTGTCGCATCGCACAGCCACGAGCAACAACCACCAGCTTATCTTTGTGCTCTCTCAGAGGGTTCACCGGTGGAGGGAAGGCGGAGGAGCCAAAGCAGGAGAAGGACAATGTGATCAACATCTTCTCGGTGGCCTCGGGGCATCTCTACGAGAGATTCCTCAGGTGTGGATCCACTTCCTCCATGGACTTTGCAGACTAACACTTCTGCTTCTGAGGCGTGCCGAGACTTTATTGATCTCGGCCCTCACCTTCTCTCCCACTGCCGTCGCCATCGAGGTTTTTCATTCCGCTCGCCCTGTCTTCCAGGATTATGATGCTGTCAGTTCTGAAGAACACCAAAACTCCTGTCAAGTTCTGGTTCTTGAAGAACTACCTGTCCCCGACTTTCAAGGTAGGATTTATTCCCTCTGGCGTTTGCAGAAACAGCTCACGCCATTCTCATTGAAGTGGAAATGTTCATGGGCTTCTCTGCCCATCAGTGATGTGAACTGAAAGCTCGAGTTCTGCATGTTGAGCTGAAACCACCACCAAGCCTCAGCTCTGGTCCAAATTAGAGCAGACTTTAAAACACGACCAATTAGCTTTTTGCTCTGGGAGTGGATTTTAAGTCAAAGGTGCTATAACGGCTGTTATCGTTTGTCCTCATGTGTGTCACCCACCGGCAGGAGTTCATCCCCCACATGGCAAAGGAGTACGGATTCCAGTATGAGCTGGTCCAGTACAAATGGCCCCGCTGGTTACACCAACAGACTGAGAAGCAGAGGATCATCTGGGGCTACAAGATACTCTTCCTTGATGTTCTGTTTCCCCTCGCCGTCGACAAGATCCTGTTTGTGGACGCTGACCAGGTCAGTGTATATGTATATATATGTACAGTATATATATATAGATCACACTTTTCCTCATCCTGCCTCTGTGCGGACATAAACTGCTTACACAGCGGAAATAAACACATTCAGCACAGATTATTCAGAAGGGCACTGTTAGGATTTATTAAGTAATCAGAAGAACAGTCTTCTTTGAATTCTTTGCGCTTGCTTTCCATCAGATTGTGCGCACGGACCTGAAGGAGCTTCGTGACTTCGACCTGGATGGAGCTCCCTACGGTTACACGCCGTTCTGCGAGAGCCGCAGGGAGATGGACGGATACCGCTTCTGGAAGTCCGGATACTGGGCCAGCCACCTCGCCGGACGCAAATACCACATCAGGTGCGCTGCGCCGGCCCTGGGGCAGACGCGCCCACAGGTCCGACGATTAGGCTTCCACCTCATCCTCATCCTCATCCTCATCCGCTTCGTGTCCTCCGCAGCGCGCTGTATGTGGTGGACCTGAAGAAGTTCAGGAAGATCGCCGCAGGAGACCGTCTCAGAGGGCAGTACCAGGGGCTCAGCCAGGACCCCAACAGCCTGTCCAACCTGGACCAGGTGCGTGCTTGCTGGCTCTCAGTGTTTGTGAGATCAGCTTCTCAGGATTGTTCATTTTTTCACTCTTCGCGGCTGCATTTTAACACACTCGTTTTTATTGTTTTATAGAATAGTTAGCATTCTTTTCCTTTTTAAACCTTGATTTTTTTTTTCTTTGTTAGAGTTGAAAACAATTTGGTTTTGAGTCACTGAACAGTCGTTTTCTGACTTTATGACAAGTAACGATGAGTCTCAGCTCACGTTGTGTAAGATTGCCTCGGATAGAAACTGGACAGCTGCTGAACAGCGTTTAAAACTCTCCCTTTAATCGGCGTGTTCATGTCCGTGCCTCTTTAACTTCCGTCTGTACTCTCCTTGTCTTTCAGGATCTTCCTAACAACATGATCCACCAGGTCCCCATCAAGTCTCTGCCTCAGGAGTGGCTGTGGTGCGAAACCTGGTGTGATGACAGCTCCAAGAAAAGCGCCAAGACCATAGATCTGGTAACAGAGTGTGTGTGAGAGTGTGCTAGGGACAAAACCAGACAAACGCATCATTGCAAAAAAATCTGGCAGCCCAAAAAAAAGAAGTGAAGGGCTTGCAATGTGTGTGGACAGCCACTAGAGGGCAGATAGGCTCACCGGTGTGGGACAGCTCAGGCTCTTTCTTCAACTCTGAAACAGAGTCCCAGCTCTGCGCCGCCTCCGGCACAAACCTTTGAAGGTGAGGATATTAAAAATGTAGGACATTTCCATTTGTTGGAGGCCTGGGTTCAAAAGCTGTGAAATCCCCACACAAAGTACACTTGGGGCCAGATGCATAAACGGTGTGCACAAAAAACAAAAAAAAAACACACCTGGGTGCGGAGTGAATGTGTGTGCGCGCCCCCTGACGTGTCATGTCACATTTTTCTAACCACACTCACACGTATGAGGTTGAAGCTGAGAGAGAGGACACCTTTAACGGAACGATAGAACAAATGATTCATCTTAAACAGTAAATGAGACTTTAAATGTAGAGTTGGTTGTCATTTTCTGGGACAAGACTGGGAGCAAAGGCCACATAATGGACAGGTGATGGCAGAGGAGCACGGGCGTTAACCGGGCTCTTCTGTTCCCCGGTACCAGTGCAACAACCCCATGACCAAAGAGCCCAAGCTGCAGGCCGCTGTGAGAATCGTAGCCGAGTGGACGGACTACGACCAGGAGATCAAACGCCTGCAGACCAGAGTCCAGGAGGGATTGAACCACACGCCCAGGCAGCAAAACACAGGTAACCAACGCCAGCGGCCGCCGATCCGCACAGGTCTGCTTCCTCTTTCTAATGTTTCCCCTTCTCCCATCTCTGCCAGGCGCTCACTCTGAGTTGTGAGGACCGGCCGGCCGCTGTGACCAGCCTGAGAAGTGGACTCTGTTTAAAGAGTCTTCTTCGTGGAGAGGCCTCTCGTTGGCCTCGGGGACTGCTGACAGACTGACCACGAGCCCGAGGGCCTGGTTCAAACAATGTTGTTTTGTTTGTTTTTTTTTTCTAGGGTTTTTTTTTATTTTCTGTACGTGTGGGTACCAGCAGTGAGAATGTATTTTGCAAAGAGAATCTCAATTTCATTTTTTTTTTACCTCTTTCTCCCTGTGATGGATGACAGGCTGATAGTTTGCACTGATTCTCGCTGAAGCACAAGATGAAACAGGACTTCGATGTTTATCTCTAACGTCTAATTGCTTTCATTTCCAAGGGAGATAAAGCCCTGCGGTATAAGGTACAGGTGCATAGAGGAAAAGAAGCTTTACTTTCAATTGTGAGAATCTGGGAAATTGAACGAATCCCCATATTCTTGTAGAAGGGTTGCTGTAACCCTCGGGCACAGAGGCCTGTTTGGGTTACAGCAGAAAGTGAAAAACAGAAGGGAAGAATTTAAAAGCACTGACCCTTTACCTGTCAGAGAAGAGCAGTCAGAGCCAATGGCTGCAAAAGAATTAAAAAAAATAACTGTTTCCATGTAAAGAAAATCCATGTCTTTTTGTTTCGGCCATCTGATATTTTGTCAAATAAAATCTTACAATCCTCCCATTTATCTGTGACTGGTGCATAAGTTTGACAGTTCTAAATGACCGGGATCACACTTTGAGCGTACGCTCGACACAAAACCTGTTACTGGAAGGTTTCAGACTTTTATTGTGATCCATTTGAAAAAAGGTTTTACAAAAGGTAACATTCAATTTTTACACCAATTCTTTAAAAAAAAAAAATCACATAAAATAAGGTTTTGATACAACAAATTCAGTTAACTAAGTAATGGCTTCTATAAACAAAGTGAAAATAAGATAATATACATGTAAATGAATTCTACAAACAAAAGGACAAACTGAGGAAAAGATTACATTAATTAGGATAAAAATGTAGATAAAACAATGGCATGATTGCTTTCCTTTTTGGGTGACATCTGGCAAGAACACCAACATAGCGGACTTAGCAAAAAAAAAAAAAAAAAGACCGATCCCAGGTCATCCCGCTGGAATGTTGGATGGCCGCTGAGCTGCTGCATCCTTTTGCTTCCAGCATCACGCTGGTGTGTGTTCTCCCGCCGCCGGACAGAGGCCGGCGGCCCCACACCTCCACATTTGCAACGTTGCCCTCGTCAGACGATCCCCGGATGAGCACAGAGACACGGACAACAGAGGGGCTGGATTTTACCACGACAAAAACAAAACAAAAAAACAAAAACAAAAAAATGCTAAGAAAAACAAGTGTTTTGTTTAGCTTTTTTTTTTAAATACGTGAATGAGGGGCCGCGGGGACGCTCTGCTCACACTGACCAGATGCTGGAAGAAGTTGCTCTTTCTCCGAGCGGCTTGCATCCGTTGCCCCCACCTCACCACCACCACCCCCCCCCCCTTTTGAGGTGGTCACTTCAGTTAGCGGCGGCACTGTCCTCCTCCGGCCGCATGACCTGCGCCCTGCCTGTAGCAGCAATGTATCACTGCCTTGATTGGGGACCAGTGACTGAGAGTCAACTGTTGAGTACTTTTCAGGACAAAAAAAACAAAAAAAAACATGAAAATATAAGCATTTGATGTCTGGCCAAAGTCACATCTGCGTGCTCAGTGTGAGGTCACTGGTAGCAGTCAGCTGCCTTTAAACATAAAGACTGTAAACGGGCCGGGCCCAGAAACAAAAAAAAAAAACCTGGCACCACACTGGAGTTGTGGTAGCGGACTATTTCATGGCTGGGAGCAGTTACTCTCTGGAGTCTGTCAAGATCCAACATGTGGGCCGACTACTTCTGAGGTCTTCATAGATGTTGCTCGCAGGCAAAAGTCAGACCCGTTTCCAGTCTTTGTGTTAAAGCAAAGCAAGAGAAGGAACAACAACAAAAAAACAAACAAACTGCTAGTCAACTGAAACGTTGAACCATTCCTTTAAAAGCAAACGCGTCCGTCCTCTGCGGAGGCCTCGGACAGAGCGCTCGGTTTAGTCAGACTTACCCGACAACAGTAAAACTCAGTCACCCCCCCGAGGGGTTCCCTCCCTCCTCGCCCCCCCTTTTCACAAACACATTTACCTCCATTACAGTTACATCATTTGCAAAGCTTAAAAAACACATGCACCTCCAGCATTTTATACAAGAGTATGATACAAAATAAGGCATTTCATTGTGTTGAGTATTCATGTTGTGTTTTGAGTGTTAATTTGTGTGTGTGGGGGGGAAGGGGGGTGTTTTTTCTTTTTCTTTTTCTTTTTTGCGTGTTAACGTGTGTACATAGCAACCACATTGTTTTTTTTTTTGCCCCCCTATAAAAAGACTGCAAAAACAAACATAAAGTCAAGATAACTCTCACTTAAAATATATATATTTGTCATATATATTTATGTATATATTCATATGTAAAAAAAAACAAAAAAAAACAAAACAAAGAAGGTAAAAGGGGAAGAGAAAAGCTCAAGAGGTCCCTGTGATCGGCCAGTTCTCAGAAGAAAGTCACCACCCCCCCCCGCCATCTCCCCTCATTCCATCACCTCACCGGGCGCCACGGTGACCAGCTGCAGAGGGATCTCCTGATTGGCTACGAGGTCGTGGGCGGTGGTCTGGAGGATGAGCGTGGTGCCGTCGGCGGTGATGACGGTGTCGGTGGTGGGCGGAGACGTGGAGGAGGGAACCCCACCTTTTTTGTTCTGGTGAGTCTTTATGTGCTTGGCCAGGTGGTCGCTGCGCATGAACCTCTTGGAGCACTCCGAGCACACGAACTTCTTCTCGCCTGTCGGGTCGCAGGAGACGTTAGGTCAGAGGGGAAAGGCGTGTCGGGGGGTGGGGGAGGGCTGAAAGGATGGGCCCCCTCCCCTCCAGGGGGGTGGGGGTGGGCCGGAGCTTACCCGTGTGCGTCCTCCGGTGTCTCTGCAGCTCGTCGCTCCTGGTGAACCTCTTCCCGCAGTACATCCAGTTGCAGACGAACGGCCGCTCCCCGCTGTGCCAGCGCAGGTGAGCGCGCAGGTGGGACGTCTTCCCGTAGACCTTCCCGCAGCCGGCGATGTGGCAGATGTGCTGCTTCTTCTTCCCCATTCCCGAGCCTCTGTGGGTGAGAGCGAGCGTCAGGACGGCCGGCGGCTGGGGGGGGGGGGCGGGGCCCCGCGGCGGCGGCGCCTCCGGCCGCGCGTACCTTCCCCCGGACTCTTTGCAGTTGGGGCAGGTGCAGGCCACCCGCCGGAGCCTCTTGCCCTCCCCGCTGGGCGTCTCCATGTCCTCGTCTCCCATCTGCACGCGCAGGTTGTTCAGGTCGCTGGGGTTCAGCGTGGAGTCTCCGCTCAGCTGCCACTCCTCCGAGTCGGGCTCCTCCTTTATCTGAATACCTGAAGCGGGAGAGAAGGGGGTCACGGGGCTCATTTGGAGCAGGTGGAGGTAACGGAGGATGTGCACGTGAAAATGAAGCCTGGTTTCTGTGGCCTTACCGGCCGGACTGGATCCGTCATCTCCCTGCGAATACTGAACTCCAGACTGCGTTACTGAGTTGACCGTGACGGTCTGGAGGTTGGGCAGGCTGACCTGGCCCGTTTGTCCAAGGGGAAGGGTCTGGACCGGGGCTAGGGTCAACTGCTGGGCCTGTCCCTGTCCCTGGGGCAACTGGAGACCCTGGAGTGACTGGACGCCCTGAACCTGTGGAAAGGAGAGAGAAAAAAAAAAGGAAACATCAGTAATCTTGAAATATCTCACGGCTTTGTTTTGGCAAACGGGTCTGAAAGACATCAACCCTACCTGGAAGGTCTGCCACTGGATCTGTCCGGTGGCAGTGACAGTCTGGGCCTGGATGAGGAAGGTTCCTGGGTTGACCAGCTGCACACTCTGGAGGGTCTGGCCCGCCCCTGCAGTCAGGTCCTGGCCCTGGGCCACCTGGGCCTGACCGTCCCCGGACAGCTGCAGGATGGGCTGAGAGATAGTGGTGGCGTTGGAGGAAGACACCTACAAAGCCAGCGACAGGCGCCACTTTAATGGGATTCTTTTTTTCCCCCCTAAAGGAGCGCTCATGTCACTTCTTGAAGCAGATAGTGAGCCTTAAGCACAGAGACTTTTAGAGGTTCACTGATCCACATCAATAAATGTATGACATAATCCCCCCTTTTTTAAGTCCCCACAGGCAGGGACAACCAAGCAGAAAAAGGACAGAACACAGCAGTCTCATTACACTCCACTTTACACCGGAGAGCAGTGTCTGTGCTACCTGTTATTTTCACCCTTAGTGATGTAGAATTACTCCCATCACCGGATTTCTTTAGAAAAAAAAATCCAATATCACACTGGATGAAGCAACGAGTTTAATGATTGCCCCCGGGTATTGAAAAAGCTAATAAAATGGACCCTTCTGGTTCTGTACGTCCTCCCTCTGTTAGAGGGCAGCTTAAACAGCCTCAAGAAAAAAAATGAACAGCTAACAGCTCATTTTCACACACAGGTTGGGGAATAGATCCAAAAATTGATCAGTGTGATGAAACACAGAACCTTGTGTGTAATCCATTTAGCCTTCCTGTTTCCTGCAGGAAGTATAGCTCAGGGGAGCTCCTTCGATTGTTGTTACTGAAACAACACAACCACCATGAGCTGGGATGTTTGCCCTACACACAAAACAAGTTTTCTACGTTTTGACCCTTAAAATATATCCAAGCCGAGTGTACCCTGAGCTTGAACTCATCCCATACTGTAACGGGCTTTCTCTTCTTCAACAGGATGTCTGAAAAATAAGGGCTACCTGGTATATACCTGCATAACTGATGGCTAACTAACTCTGCCACAACGTTCTGGTGGCAAACCTAAACCTTGGTTATAACGGGAAACAGAAGCAGGCTGTGGAAAGCTGAACAGATTGTTCCCTGAATGACGCAATAGGACCTGATACTCATTATGGATCCAACTGGTCCAGACTCTGAAGACTTTCTGTGTGCTTGTTAAACAGCAGGGAGGGTGCCCTGAGGCCTGGCGTGCACAAGCTGACTGTATGTGAATGCACCACTAGAACATTCAGGAGTAATTTAGGGGATAGGGCAGAAAAACATTTCATAAAAACCTTTTAAAAGGCCTGTAAAGACCTTTGCAGCATCTGGGCTACACAGACACAGTGAAGGCCTATGAAACCTTTCAGTGAATATAAAGTCAGAATATGAATCAAAAAGCAAAAGCTCTGTCCAGGCTGGTACCTCATACAGACTTGAACCTAAACTGGGCTGTAGATTGGCAGCCTTTGAGATGGACCCCTTCTGATGAGTGCAGAATGACAGCTTAATAACACATGTTTTTTTACCGATTGGCATGATGCATTAAAACTGTCGGACCAGTCCCAAAAAAACATCAAAACACCAACGGCCCTGGTGTGGATCACAGAATGAAGCCCCCCCTTCCTTTTCTGCTTGATTTTCAAGAGCCGAACCAGGGACAGAACAACTCCCCTAAAGCACGTAGGCTTTACACACACCTGCAACCACACACAGAGTTAGAGACACGGTTGCTGACCTGGATTTGCTGCAGGTGGTTGTGGGAGTTGAAGTTCTCCGAGGAGGGATCGGACACGCCTGCCGACACGGCGGTTGCCTGGGTGAGAACGCCGGTGCCGTCTATGGTCTCGGGGAGGTGCGAGGGGTTGGAGGAGGTGGAGGTGGGCACGTAGAGCTCCTGGCTGGCGCCCGGGTCGCTGACCGTCACCAGCGACTGCTTGGAGACGCCGTCTTGGCCTTGGCTCTCCAGCGCCTGGCTGCTCATGATGAGCTGGCCCTCGGGCGTTACCCCCGTGGCGATGGGGACTGTCTGGGCTCCGGTCAGCCCGAGCGACTCCAGATCCACGCTGTTGATGGGTACGAAGGTAATGTTGCCGGGAAGCCCTACGGTGCCCGTGTAGGCCGAGCCGCCGGCCAACGACACTCCTTGGATAGACTGAACTTGGCCCCCCTGCGTTAAAAGGTCTGTGGTCGCTGTTGTGGCGCAGCTGATTCCAATGCCGCCCTGGCTGCCATCTTGGAGGAGCTGAATCTGCCCCGTACCATCATCCAATCCCTGTGTTGAGAATCCTGAAAGCGTCCCATCTGCATTCTGAATCTGCGGGATGACCTGGAAGACGGGCATTCGGTTGTTGAAAACATCTTTAACTGAACTGGGCCCTGGTGGCATTCCGACTGTGCTTGTGTGTGTTTTTACCTGATACTGGATGCCCGACACTCCGTTGGCGGCAGCCTCACTACCGGACGCTGTAACATAAATGGGCTGGTTGGGGAGATTCCCGAGCGGAAGCACAAACTGCCCGTTGGACGTGACAATCCCAGAGTTTTGAATGTGGACGACCCCTTGGTCCTCCTTTCCAGCCGACACAGGTGTTAACACTTCCCATCGATCCGAACCCGTCAGCTGAATGGCTGACATATCTGTCGTCTGCGAGGACAATAAACACTCAGATTAACAGAGCACGCTTCCACAAGGAGGCGGTCATTTATCTCAGCTTCAGATTAGATCAAAGGAGAGAAGGAACAAGCCTGGCTATTGTCTGTAAATCAGTTATGATTTGGGAGACTGTGCTAGTATATCAAAGACAAAGTAAAACAGGAGCAGTAGGGGATTGTGCAGAATTTGCTCCGATGCAAAGAACGGAAAGTCACGAGACAGAAGCAGCCTCCAACACAGAATGAAGATAACAGGCTCAGAAATGGTCGACAGCAGAGAGTGGGGGATGGGTGGCCATTACAACACAATTGAACGCTAGTGTTATGATTATGGACGACTCTCCTGTAGCATTTCAACATCCCCTTATCCTCCGAGCCTAAGGTACACCGGCTATCTTCCAGCGAGCCGACCCAAGTGACTGACTTCAGTGTCCTACCCACTATGGGCGGGTTTTACAGGGGTAAAGTGGGTGGCCGTTATTGAGGGGAACACAGGAAGTGTACGGCTTTCACCCCATGCCATCAAAATTTTAAAACGTGTGAACTTTATCCTCTCAAAAACACATCCAGAAATCGATAGCGAGCGAGCTAGAAAGTGTGGGATACCTGTGTTTCAGCTGCGCCACCGGTTTGCAGAAACTCGCTTTGACTGCTGTCCACGTCCGCGGACGCCATTTCTCCTTGTTTCAGAGGCTGCTCTGGCGCTAGCAGGGAGAGAGGGGGAAACTCAGCAAAACTCTGTAATCTTCAACTCCTGCCTGCCAGAAAAGCCCGCAAAGCATCCCCACTCTCCAGTCCAAAAGGAGCTCACTGCGAAATTCAACTTTGCAGCGGAAAATGTGCGGCTATTTCAGTCCAGATCGACTGTTTACTTTGTCAACTCCGAGGCTAGCCAGCTAGCTCAGTTAGCTAACCATATCTTGCTAGTTAGCAACGATAAAAAGACGCAGCTCGCTCCGCTGCAGGCTTCTCAAACTCACCGATTAGTTGCAGCTTCGTGGGCTAAATGTTTACGTACCAGTCATTGCGTTATTGGTAGTAACCAGGAGGATTACCAGATCTACTAAACTCCGAACATGATTATTTTATCAAAGGCGGGCTAGTGTTGATCGGTGAATTCGGGTCGATTTTTTTCTATTTTGATTGACGGTGCGGGAAACACAAAAAGGTGGGACTAACAAGCTTGACCGTCGAATTTGCATCACATTACAGGACATCCCGCCTTTCTTGTCTGAGACTATTGGTCGAGTGGAGGAGCACGCGCGATATCATTGGCTAGTGGAGACGCCAATCGTTTTTTGTAGGACGTGTGTTTCCTGTTTGTTGAAAGAGTCGGAGAAGGAATGCAGTTGTCGAAATCTTAGCAGATTTAATTGGTAAACGACTGTGTATGCGTCCCAATGTCCCCTTACTTTTACAACTATGTTAAACAAAAATAAAGCAACTTATTCCACATTTCAGTATTCTTTAATATAAATATATTTTGCTCAGTCTTTCAGACTAAAATAAGCAGGGACAATTACTTTTTATTTTGAAACCAACGTTCAAAGTAACTGAGGATATGCTGGTTCAGTCTAACCAGTCTTTTTAAATCTTTGTCATATTTAGATTATTTAACTTTTTGCTTCTGCTTCCCCTCATTGAGTTGCAGGCAATAACCTTTAACCTTAAAATGTTACTGCTCCAGCATCCTTTCAGATGTCATTAGAGAAGCAATTTCAACTTAAAACTGTTCACAAGACACTGAGCTAATTCTAATTTGTGTGCAGATATGAGATCAGAATAGATCCGGTCGGACACAACAATTTCATGTTGAATGGAGGGCCCAACTGACAGAGAGGAAAAACACAGAGAGTCTTTAGAAATTAAATTTAACCCAAGGCAATAATCTTAACATCAAAATTTAGGAAAACTCGTGACCTCTATCCAAATGTGACATTCATAGCCATCAGAGCCTTGCGTTTTAAATTAGAAGAATCTTTAGTATGGAAGAATTTCTGTACCATAATACCAGCCTCAGCTATTGTCCTTTTACTTCAAATGAACTTTTTTCCTCACATTTTTATGTGCTTTGCAGTTAGTTTGCTTCAGCATCTTCTGATGCATTCATGTACATCCTGTTGTTTTACATTAACACCTCCATAGGTTGTGGGTTATCCTTCATTATCAGTAGGCCTTTAAAAAAAACAACTATAGCCCACAGATATCATACAATTAAGCTCTTAAAAGCATTATTTACATTGTAGCACCTCTCAGGTTCACACTGCCTCCTGCTGTCTTAACATACTTTAGTCATCGCTACCAATAAGAAGAAAACCACACAAAGAAACGTCAGACTTTTCTCCTTTTATTGACACGTGCATATTGATGAGGATGACATTTGTTCTTCCTTTGCTCCCTTCAGATAAAAGATTCAAACTTTAGTCCAGTGTGCCTTGAGGCCATGGTGACTAAATAATGAATGAAGTGAGGTTGTGAAGCTGTTTTGTAGTTGTGCAGTCCAGGTCTTCCACAATTTTAACTAACCCAAAAGTCAATAAAAGCATTGTATATAATCTGAATTAAGCTCAGGGGTCCGATCAGGCACTGTCAGCTCGGCCTGCCTTGCTCTTTTATAAAACAACATCTCCAGCTCATTGTACAGTTGAGCTCTGATCCCAGCAAAACACAGTGATGGCTTTCATTCTTTTCTTTGAAGGAACAAGTTCGGGAGAAACTCTCAGACCATGTATTCAATACTTTTCTTAAATTTGATTTAATTTGTAGTAGACTTAAAACCTTGAAATTAATTCATCTTAAGATGAGTTTAACACTTTTAGGATAAAAAAAAATAAATTGGGGTCAACTAATGACAGATGATATGGTTTCTAATACTTGAACTAATGCAGAAAAAAGAGGAAAACCCACCAAAAGTGGCACCATGAGCTATGAAAATAATGAAAAGTGTCTTGACATTATAAAAAACAAAGTATAGTTTGTTCCAATAAAGGTTTGGCTTGAAAATCTGAGAAATAATTTTGATTTCATCAAAGAGAACTCTTCACTCAAACCAAAGATTATTCTCCAAACCGCAAAGGAAAGAATGAAACCCAGCAGACAGTGTGCAGCTCTACAGGTCCTCCCTGACTGAACTGTACTCTGAGTTACTCCCCCGTTCACCGTGTGGTCCCATTACTTCTTTTTGGGTGCGTTGGGAGTATTGAATTTGAAAAAAATTATGTCACCGTCCTCCACAGTGTAGTTCCTGCCCTGCTGTCTGTACTTTCCAGCAGCCTGAGAAAGAGTAGAGTAAGAGGGGGGTGTTAAAACAAGAACACTTAATGGACCCCCTGTTTTTCAGAGGCTCCACAGTTACTCACATAAATGCAGTTAAGCACCTGCATTATTACAGAGACACACACCTTGGCTGCAGTTTCGCTGCCCTCCTCTTTGAAGTCACTGTATTTCATCACCTCAGCCATGATAAAGCCTTTCTCAAAGTCAGTGTGGATCTTTCCTGCAGCCTGGGGAGCCTTGGTCCCTTTCTGTTGGAGCCACATGAGAAATCTCAATCAGGAGCAGAGATGCTGCATATACTCCCTGTACACCGAGTTATGATGCCAGCAATAACTGTGTGAAATGCCATGTAAACCCAGGCCTCCACAGTAGACAATTCCTGTGGGAAAGCTGCATAGTTAAGTTTACATATACAAAGGATAAAACGTAATCATGAAATGTTTTCAGGAAGTAAAAAAAAGAAAAGAAACTGATTTAAAAATAGAACATAAATCAGATGCTATAATGACACTGTTGCTCAGATCTGATTTAACTTCTGCTTAGTTCTACTTTTAGTTTTTCCTGCTGTAAACAAAACAAACAAAAGAAAAATTAGGTATTTTTAGACAGCTGTTTGTATTCTAAAAAGTTCTTCTCTTAGTACTAAAACACTGGAATAAAATTCAGCCGAATAAATATGCTCTCAGGTATGAAAATCCTCTCAGGAGAGGTCAGGAAAATTCCCGCTGAGGTCGTGTGCGCTGCAGCACTCACCCTGATGGTCCACGCTCGCACCTCGTCTGGCCCCGCTGTGAAGAAATACTCCAGCTGCAGCGCCGCGTAGCCCGTCTTTATTATTTTGGTCAGCACACTAGAAACGCACGCACAAACGGAATTCCTTCACTATGACGGAGAAGCTCAGGAGGAAAAAGACCAAAAGAAATAAGAGGAAAAAACAAAAACAAAAAGACACCTCACATCCTTTAAAACCTGCTGGTGTTGGCCATAATTATCAAGTCTTTGGATTAGCTTGTTGTGAACATGACATACAAATAAGTTAGAGGCCAGACGATTATTTTTCCTTACTGAAAATTTAGCTTAAACTACTTGATGTCAGTTAACTTTGCCTTTTTTTGGTTCATAAATGCAACAACTGGTGCCTTTTACAGTTTTCCTAAACTGGCTGTCTCTGCATCAGTGATTCCAACTGAAATTACATTGATCTCAGCCGGAATAAACTATTGTCAGATTGATGATAACTGTAACATTGTGTCTACTTTGTAAGTTGCTTTGGATAAAAGCGTCTGCTAAATGCATAAATATAAATAAACATGTTTGCCCGACCTCTGTGTCTTTTGTTCCTCGCAGTACTTTTCTTTCTCCTCATCCTCCATGTCCAGCAGTTTAGACTCCACAGCCCCGCTCAGGGGAATGACCAGCGCTCCAGGATCGTGAGCATCAACCCACTCCTTGATTTTTGCCAACCTGAGCATACAAAACATAAAATAATTCTAAAAATTCAGGCTGAAGGAAAATAATGCTGTAACACAAGCTAACTGTAATGGAGGGAAAACCTGCCATTTGTTCTTTTTTCTGATGTAATCTTTCTCTGAGAGATTGACCAGGTAGATCATAGGCTTTGAGGTCAGGAACAGGTATTTGTTAAGTACCTCAATCTGCGAGGAGAAATTGAAAAAAATAAATAAATAGAGCAAGTGAGCTTCATTATCAAAAACACAACTGACCACAAATATGAATAGTTCTGTCATATAAAAAGTAAAGGAATCTGTTAACATTACAGTAGGAAACACTGTGAAATCACTGCTTATTAAAGCCAAATTCAATCTTTTGGAACAGTAGCAACTATTTTTATCCAGACGGTCCACAGTGGAAGGCGACAGTGGCATATTTCACCAATACAAACACACGATCACACTCAAACCCACATACATGCATATATGGAATGTCCTAACCTCTTTGTCATTCCAGTCGTGGTAAAACCTGATGTGTTTCTTCTCCTCCTCCACCCAGTTCTTTATCTTCAACATGATGTCCTGAGGCATCCAGCAGAGGGTTAGCTGTTGTGCACCAGCTGGGACAACGGACAGGACAACAGACCAAGCTACAAGAACGTCTCACTCACAAATTCAGGTTTGAGTTTTTTGTCTCCTCCTCTGACGGCCGTTTTCTCCAGTTTGTCAAGGATTGGCGCGATCATCTCCTCGTCCTTTAGCCGCAGCTCCTCGTGGATGATCTCAATGTCTCTCACGGGGTCGACGTTGCCCTCCACATGGATGATGTCCTCATCATCGAATGCACCTTGAAAGCAAACCAGCAGAGCGATGACCAATTACAGAAATAAAAACAAAACAGATGCTAAAACTGGAGAGGCAGAATGAGACACATGATGTCTGATAAAATGAGTGTAATAACTAATCTATCAAATCCCGCCATCAACTGTGGCAATGATGGTGGCTACTTACGAGTCATATGGAAGATACCATCACATGCACTGATGTGGGACAGGAAGGCGTTTCCAAGTCCCTGTCCTGAATGAGCTCCCTTTACAAGACCAGCAATGTCCACAACATTTAGGAAAGCTGGGACCTTACTGAAGAAATAAATAGGGGGACAGGGAGTATCAGTAGTGGAGAAGATTTTCCTATGGGCTCATCAGCACAGACTGTCAGAACACACACCTGGCTGGCTTGTGGTATTGGCAGAGGAAATCAAAGCGCTCATCAGGTACAGGCACCCTGCTCTCATTTGGATCAATTGTGCAGAACGGGAAGTTTTCTGCAGCTGCTTGGCTTTTAGTCAGCACATTGAAAAAGGTAGATTTCCTGCAGAAGAATAGCCATGGTAATGCAACCATCAAGCATTAGTAACCACGCAAAGTTTTCAGAAAATATCCACGATTTTTACCCAACATTAGGTAATCCAACTATTCCAATTTTCAAAGAGGTTCCAAAACGTCCGATTAAGGGAGGTGGTTTGGGGGCTTCTGTCTTTTTTGGTGGCATCTGGAGGAGATGACGACAGTGTTTACACGATGACACCCATTACTACTTTCTCCAGATAATTCAAACATGCTTATTAATGCTGCTGAACATTTTATCTGGGCATGTAATAACTTGCAGTTACACCGAATTCAATTAGATTTAATAGAAGGGTGGTGGGTAGACCCAGTCATATGCTCATTCAAACACAGCATGCTAGCGTTAGCAAGAGGCTAACTGGGACCATCTGATGGTAAGGATATCATACCGATCAAAGCATAAAATATGCTACTTATACTAACAAACTTAAACAACGTTACAGTTGTTAAAACCAAAAGTGTCTTATTTTCTACCTTTCAGTCTCTTATTAGCCTACGGGCTACGTGGTGTTCGGTCCTGGACTATCTGCTCACACCGGGCGCTCTGGTGGAAAGGCAGGTTGGAGAGCAAAGCGGAAGTGTTTTGACGCACAATGTCTCTGATTGGTCAAACGTGCGTACGCTGCAATGGCACGTCAGAAACGTAAAACTGCCTCCGGGGTGAAACAGTCGCTCACCTAGACATGTGTATATATGTCTATGGTCGCTCAATTATCGGTTTTCCTAATTTAGCACATATTTAGCTGGTATTGTTTAAGTACTTTTTTATGCATTGCTAATTTTCAAAATAACGTAATGTCTATAAAAACAGAGTGGAGAGGCAAATCTTAAGCTTTTAGAATTTGTCTTAAAGGGCGGCAAAGACAGATTCCATCCACTGGTATACAGAACATTATACTAGGATACCTGGTATTCTTAACATGGATATATTTAGTGAATATTTATACAGCTGCACTAATATTTTTCTATGATTGAAATGTGATTATTTGACATAACATCTAGAACCACCATTTCATTGACACGATTCAGTAACTTTTACAATGTTCATCAAATTGATCTGATTTCATTATTTGCTTAAAGCATTTCAAATCATGTATGCCAATAGCTTGAAACAGTGGCAGTTCCATCCATTCCATCATTGAAGCGACTTGAATTTCATTGACCCTCAAACTCTGAAAGAGCCACAACATTATACAATGCAGCTGAGAAAGGACAAAACAGATTGACCAATGTATGTTTATTGTTTATGTACAACCAAAAAAGTACTTCCACCCAGCCAAAGACCAAATCAAAAAGTAATTCATAACGTATCAAAGGGTAAACTAGGATCATGACAGTTTAAGTCAAATACAAACAGTGAAATAAAAAATGTTCAATAAAAACAAAGAATCGCTTTTAGATAAAAACAAGTCATTTGAGCCCATCTAAAAAAATTTCAGCGTTATCTTTTGGAAGACAGGCTAGGTTTTTTTATTATATCCTGTCTTTTCCCATTGGAATATCCAAAAGAAAACATTGTGATGACGGGAAAAGCAATGACAAATGGTGCACACATCTGCCAACTTCTATTTCAGCTGATCTTATTACTTCATTTTTTGGGGAAAAAAGTCTTCATTCTACAACTCTTCCTCCAAACTTAGTGAAGCGTGATCCATCACTGGCAGAACCATTAACACAGACAATTTTGGTAAAATTGTTCCACTTTCAATACATGAACATATTCAGAAAGCCTATACACATATATAATATAGTCAAAACATGAAGAAAAACAAGCATCCAAAAAGTTAACACTGTAGACTCTGTCACTCCCGCTTAGTAGTGCCCTGTAAAAAATAATAATAGGTCAGGTTAAATAAAACATTTTTTAAAAATGGACGAAAATATTAGTCGCTAAAATCAAAAACAGCAGAAATGTGATTCAAACATACTAGGCGAGTAGGATCGAGATCGTGAGCGGTATCCTCTGCTGTAGTACGGGGATGGCGATCGGCGTCTGACAGAAAAACAGACACTATGACACATCGTGCAAATGTATCATTTTACAACATTCTTTCATCTTTAGCTCTTCAAGCTGGACCTGAAATACCACAACTGCTTCTTTCACCAGGATAGAAGACTATGAACTCACCTGTATGACCGATACTCGCGGTCATCATAACGATCATAGTCACGGTCGTATCCTCTGTCATAGCCCCGCTCGTACCCTCTATCGTAGTCCCTGGAGCGGCGTGATGAACCACCACTTCCACCACCACCACCCCCACCGCCGCTGCTGCCACCGCCGCCGCCACCTCCTCCTCCTCCACCACCACCACCACCACCGCCACCACTGAAGGTTCAAACAGAATAGGACATCATTACACTACGACCACAGCTTACACCAACAACCCGCACATGGACTTTGGGGCACAATGACCAACAACCCACACTAAATTTGAAGCCATTAGTTTGCCATGATATTTCATTTACGAAGTTATAAAAAAACAAAAACAAAAAAACAATCAATTACATCTCACCCAATCATTACCTGTGCCAGATTGATTGAGCACCCTTAAAATCAATAAAAATACTACTGAAAACCTACAGTACCAAACACTCACTATGTTGGGCGTCCCATATATATTCCAGGAGTGGGGGTGTGCGCTCGTTTGGTTATGGAAAAATCCACACGGATTCTGCGCCCATCAAGCTCCATGCCGTTAGCTCGCTCCTTGGCCTAAACATTGTATGATTAGCATCTCTATCATTTCAACAATTTCTAAATGTAAATATACATTTTTACAACCCGTACCTCCTTAGCGTCTTCACAGTTGTCAAAGTAGACGAAAGCAAATCCCCTGGAGCGGCGCGACTGCTGGTCATACACTATATTAACATCGCTCAGTGGGCCATACTTCGAGAAAACCTCCCTGAGGTCCCTCTCAGTGGTGTAAAGGCTCAAACCAAACACACCAAGGCAAGTGCTAGGGTCAGGGTTGCCCTGTGAGAGGTGTGTGAAAATACAGTTTAGTGCTCTAGTGTCATAGCATTAATATACTGAATTAAAATAACTGCAATGAGGCAGCACTCTACCCGGTTGCCAATGTGCCTGCGGCGATTGGACATTGGGGAACGGCTATGGCTCCTTCGTCGACGGTAGTCTGAGCTACGTGATCGACTCCTAGAACGGCGGCGGCGGGAACGAGATCGAGAACGGGAGTAGTGCCTTCGTGAGCTCCGATGGGAACGGGACCTAGAAAAAGGGGCTCAATCTTTACGTTGAAAATAACTCTTCCAGACTGCAGATATCTTTCAAAGATTTGTCTTACCTGGACTTGGATCTGGATCGCGAACGAGATCTGGACCGTGACCTTCTGGAGCCATCTTTTGAACGTGCCGGGGAACGACTGGTGGATTTGCCTGAGCCCCGGGGGGACGCACTCCTTGAGCCACCCCGTGAGTCCTGGGCACACCAGAGACTGGGGTCAGAAGCATTCTACAGCCAAGAGATTACACAAAACTAAAAGGGACAGGAGGTGATGACGCTCACCGCCTGAATGCCTCTTTCAGAAGGAGTTCACCATGGTATGGCCATTAGCAGCTTTGATACTATTTTGAAATAGTTTAAATAAAAATATATACTGCATCAAATATTTAAAACAAAAATGTATATTCAGCCGACAAAACAGTATAAAACTGAATTTAAATAATGGAGGGACTGATCAGTGATGTCTGATAGAGAAGGGAAATAAATCGAGCATGCTAAGGAGAAAGAAACAGGGTGAAAGAGTAATAACATAGCATATTGTTGAGAAATTACCCATACCCATGTATACTTCTGATCTTAACTTCATAACTTCTTTTACTTCATTACTTCATAACAACCCTTCATTTCTTCTTTCTTCCGTTTGAAATTCTGACTTCTTTTTCCTCTTCCTCTTCCCCCTTTTACCATCTGCCATTACAACACTAGAAGTGGGGTCAGATCTTGATCGCCTCTTTTCAGCATCCAATACATTAGCATGCATCAACACCATCAGCTTCAAACATAAAAAACTTCTTCCGCCTTTTCTTTCTTCCAACCTTAACCTTGACAAAGAACAAACAAGGATGATAAGGCATGTTGGTTTCTGTTTATACCAAAATGTGCAAAGAAAAACAACAAAACCAGGAAAACAACAAAATTAAGTTAGCATATTGAATGTCTTAATTTATTAATCATAGAAAGCTGAACACTAACATTGCTCGATATTAAGTTACAAAATACCTTATAAATCTTGGCAGTAATCGAGTTTTATTCAATTTATGGCGTAAATCAATATGAATGAAGTAAACTAACCCTGGCGGCAAACCACCGTTTCCGAAAGCCATGGTTAGCAGGCCGCATGGCTTAGCTTAGAAATTATGACCGATATTGACGAGACATCGACACTTAAATACGTTTATAGATAAACATATGCAAATAGCCACAAAATAAATTGCAGTCTCTCACACATTAAAAAAATTCTCTTAACTTTTTTTCTTTGTTTCATACTTAACCGTTCGCAGATACACGACAGCTGCAAACAATCAAGCTAACTAGCTTTAGCTAGCTTACCGTCAATCAAGCATCTCTTTTCTTGCAATAAAAACTCACCTGCTCTCGGAAATCTTTCTCGTTGTCACTCATGTTAAAGAAGCAAAATTAAATTTTTGCTATAAAAAGCGAAGTCAACTGAAGGCTGGATGAGCAGTATCGCCAGCTGACTATCGAACTGGACCGTCGACCCGCTCTACCTAACAACAGAAACCTTCTCCAATATTCTGCGCTTGAAGATGCAGCTTCCTGTTCCGGTCTGATTCTTACCAAAAAAGAAAAAAACTTTCTTACGCGAATGGCAAAATATTCATAGCAAAGATATATTAAAAATAACTGTTTTTTCCATTGAAGACTTGTGAAAAACTCGTTCATCATCAAAACAATCAAAATCAAAACAATGTCACACCTTTACAATAAACATTAATTGTCACCCTTTTATTGCAAGCTTTAATCGTTTTTCTTATATATTGTCCGTAAATATTACATATCAAATAACTAGCATCTGATTGTAGGGTCTCTTTTCAAACTACTGGCCCAATGTTTTTTAAAAGTGGAATCAGTCAAATTTATGTATGCAGCAACCAGCAAAATGTGTCTAAACAACTCTAAATAAACATTTGATAACTGTTACTACATGGGGACCACAATCTAATCAGGTGACAGCAAATCCAGATTGCAAATGCCAGTGTAACATTACTCTGCAATGCAGAGTCCCTTGCGCAACAGGCCTTTTTGGGAGTTTAAAAAGGCGATATTGCTTCATATGCTCATTAACATCTAAATATATCTTTGGGTCCACTAAAGATTTCATATAGCCTCTGGAAAACAGGAGAGTAACTGAAAACTATAAAAGGAAAAAGACTTTATTACAGGAATGGGGGGGGGGGAAATCACATTTTTAACATTATCACAGACATGCACATACAGTAGTTAACTATGGCGCATACCATAAGTTATTGTAATAGCCCTAAACAGAACAATAATATCTGCCATACTCCAGTCTTGGAAGAAAGATGCATATAGCCCAAAAGTCACATTCTGATCCAATCATGTCATAAATAATTGCAAAACAAATTGCATTACACCGAGTGCTCAGTCATGCACTTAAAAAAACCAACAACAACAAAGGCTTGGATAGGAGGCAATAAGTGATTAGACAGATTACATCGCAACATTATGAATTGTAACTTATTTGTATTTCAAGTCAGGTTCTTCTAAACGGATGAGCTGCAAATAATAAACCAAAATAACAACTCAAGCTGAGAGTTAAAGGGCAAAAGGCACTTCAAGCAGTAGATCAAACTGTAACATTAACAATCTTGCGTCAGTAAAAAGCCATTTAGTCAGTAGTGACAAAGTCTGGGTAACCAACGCACACACACACACATGCACACACATCTTACATCCCAATAATGCCTCCAAATACAACTCAGAGACAACAAACCCTCAACGTGTCCTCAACAACACATAAGACATAAATAATTCTTAAGACTTGTGTTGAATTTTTCCAGAACTGGGTTAGGTTTCAGTCAATAAAGTTCATGTCTTTGGCCCATTCAGTCTTTGTGAGATGAACTTGTCGCCAATAAAAGGTTACAGTGTTCCTTCCACGATGTTTCTGTCAGTGCAACCCTCTATAGCAGCTTCTGATTAAGGATTTCCCACATCATTAACTTCCTGAAGTATGGCATGTGACACTGTGAAATAAGAGAAAAAAATATGTTCAGTTCAAATTAAAACAAATTAATAGAGTTAAATTAAATAAAGAATATTTGTATGTACCTGTTTAAAATTTAGAGGCCGTCCTTTTGCAATATAATCTGCATATTTACAGGCAAAAACACCACAGTCACTCCCATTTTTCTGCTGGGGAATTTCCTATTAGCAAAATAGAAAAGGTAACAGATCACACAATATATCACAAAATGTTCAAAGGGTTATGTTGATCATAAATTAACTTACAACAGCCTTTAGGCTTCCAACAGTCCATTTGGCACCGTCAAGCTCCCTGCCTTTCTTCACTTTGTGCTCTTCTTTCAAATAGAGTCTGGAAAATGTGTACAGTGAAATCACCAACTGTCAGTACAAAGGAAAATAATCAAGATTGCTGGTCGGGAGCTTGAGGAAAAAGTGTGGACTCACAGTAATAGATTGCAGATATCATCATGTCTCTGACCCATCGAATCATACGATTTGACAGTCTTCAATTTAAAATCTATCACCTAGAAAGAAGCATAGGAGTTGATAAAAGCCGAGCTTCAGCGAGGATTAGTGAAACTGATGCTAAATATACAGCTCAAAAGTTCTAGAGACTGACTCACAGCCAATGCCCAATGGACACCCAAATGCAGGGGGACCAGTACGAGGTCAAAGAGGAAGAGGTCCACCGCCTTGGTCCAACGCTTCACTGCAACATGACCGCCGGTCTGCCCTCCTCCTCCACCACGCAGCTTTGGGAAAAAGAAGGTGCTGAAGGAGTAGACTTTTATTCGAGCTCCTTCTCCAGAGCACCGCTCCATGATCAGGGAAAGGTAGAAGTTTATTACCTTGCAGGAAAACACAAACACAAATTTTGTGTATTGAAGGCATAAAAGATTTGTTTTCTTCTTACTGACTTGCATAAACATTGAGATTTATCTCACACAGCACAAATCTGTGCTGATTTGGGAAAACATGAAATGATTAAAAACAAGGACAAGGAACTCGGTTTATCATCTTTACAAAGAAGGTCTTAGCCCTCTAATGCTGATACATATAGTACATATTCATTAAACATGTAATACTTAAAGCTTCTGTCTAGAACAAAAGCCCTGAGGCAGAGGCACAATCGACAATAAACAATTCCAGAAGAAAAACTCTAAAACAACTACAAAAATCAAAATTATGTGACTTTAAATAATCCTGAACATGTAGTTAAACTGTCGATAAAGCCATGTCCCTATTTCTACGTTTCCTCAAAACTGATTTTAAAGTGTGTAAAAATCCCTAACTGTGCAACTGTAAAGCATGTGTACAACACTGACTGTGGTGTAAAAAACAAAAGTGACTTTGTGCCCATCAGCTCTAATCTCATCTTCTTCTCTTTGTCGATGCATCGATAAACATTAATAACTGCTTTTCACGTTTTTAAAAATGTGTTTGTTCTCAAGTTTCATCTAGTAAAAAATGTCAATAAAATAACAGTGTGTGACTACACTCACTTCATCGTTGAGCCAGCCGCCTTCTTGTAATGTGGCCAGGTCTCGCCGTGTGATACGAAGTTTGAAAGCTGCACTTAAAACAAGGCTGGGATCACTCTGAGCTAGAGCTCCGCTCACCTCTGCTGCCATATCCTACATAATGAGAAAACATGTAGGAGGTGATCGCAACAGAAGCAATGCCTGTCTCCGGCACAATAACTGTTCATTAGGCCGATGCTCTTCGTCTCACCTTGGTCAGTCTGGGTATGTCCTCATCACTGTGCCTTGCTTGTGTTGAGTATGCAGCTTGTGTGGTAGAAAGGCTGCCAGCAGGGGTATCTCTGTCTACTAGATTGAGCCGTGTGGCTACTTCTGTAGACAGATCCAACTCTGTGGCTTGTTTCTGCTGCAACACAGATCACCATCACTCACAGGATATGCAAGACTGAATGAATGCTTTGAAGTGTCAGAGAAGAAGGAAAGAAATGGCTACCTTCGTATATCTAACAGGCTGCGTTTCCTCATGGGCTCCACTGAAACCCCTACTGAAGCTTAGTCCACTCCACCTGAGGATGGATTGAGCTGAGGTAACTCAGTCAACCTTTAATGATTGTGCATCCCATATCAACATAAAATTGTACTGGACCTACCTGTCTTTACTTGCAGATGCATTCCTGAATGTAAACACACTTGGTGCAACTGTGAGGGTAAGAGATAAAAAAAAGTCATTTGATAAAAATAAAATAAAAACACTCAGCAAACAGCAGGTTAACCAGGGATCATTTAGAAAACCGTTTAATCTGTAAAATATGTTTTTCAATGTAGACGTCCTGTAGACTATAGGACAAACAGAAGAACTAGGACAATTTTTGGAGAAAAAAAAAAAAAAATCCCCTTGTACCAACCTATAGCAACTAAAGTCTTGTAATATGTGTAAATGAACACATATAAAACAAGTTAAGTTCAGTTGTACAGGACACAATCTCCATACAAGCATCTTACCTGTGCATCCCATCTTCCTGGATACTGATTCAAAGTTTCTTCCAAAAGTGGCTGTTTTGTGATCAGCCTGTGACTCTCTGGAATAAAAGAAAACAAACACAGTTTACATTTTTCAACTCATAACATGAGGTGCATTAACTGCAAACTGACGTAACTCATATTCCCCACAGACAAAAAGTCATACTCACTCCAGTGGTTTTGTTTGGTTGAAGGGTAGTGGCTGACTTTTACTGTATTTCTCCGTCACCATTTCCAACAAACGCCGGTAGTGCTCCTTATTGTTCTGCTTGATGGTCTACAAGCAGAAGCAAAAGCAAAAGGATCATCACTTATGTCATATTCCAATTTTTTTTTACTCATTTGTCCTACTTGCGCACATTTAAAAATAATAAAGTACAATGATCACTTTATAAAACTTTTCATTGTTAGTGTTTTTAACTGTTTTGTATCCATTATGATTCATCCTTAGTTATTTTTTATTTTGTGGAAGATTGCTCCTTCATTTAGTATGACAATGTCCCACTGTCGGACTAAACGAACAATTAATAACAGTTACCCACTGGATCTTGCCCTCATCCGGTATTTACCTCCTCCACTGTGAGACTGGGCTTGTAGCAGCGGTTGTGTCCGTGGCCATTGCATGCAAGTTCAGGGTTAGAAGTTCCCACCCTGACAGTAGGCCTGGATGGCAGCAGCTGGAGGGAGCCTCTCCTCTCCCTTTCCTTAGCTCTGTCTGAAGGCCCTGCAGGGAGTGCTGGCCCACTGAAAAAAAGAGGGAGATGCATTAGTAATTAAGTGTCACTAAAGGTGCCACGTGTGTTAGCCGAGTCTGTGAGTATTAAGAAATTATCAGATTTTGAAGTACTTGCCTGTATTTTCTCATTAAAGGGGGTAAAGAGCTCTGAAAAGGATTTTTCCCACTCCTGTCAGTCACGGGACCAAATGGTTTTTCTTTGAGAATAGAATACAAATACATATGAACAGCATCAAATTATTAGAATTTGAAACCCCTTTTGGATGCATCAAGTATTTTTCCATTTAATTTGCCCTCGCTTACCCATCCTCCACTCAGTATTTCTCATCCATGACATGTGGAGTTCATCTATGCCCATTAGAGTAACAGGCTGGATCAGAGAACAAGGAAGATACTCAAATCAAACAAGACTGAGTACTAAAAGTGGATATCAGTTCTCCCTATACACCACAATCTCTCATGTTCACACATGAGGTTATTTTAAATCCATCGATGCTTTCAGACTACAAAACAACAACAGAGTACCCACCTGAGTGTCCTCATACTTTTGTGGATTGTCACACTTGGTGGGCAGAGGTTTCCGCAGCCTGAGTAGACCTGCTACCCCAGCTAGAGTCTTCTTCACAAAGCTGACTACTACATCTGAAACGCAGGTCACTGCAAGTCAACCATTACTGACATTTTAGTCTAAATGTATTTGTTACAAACCCAAAAGCATCGTGTTTCATGTGCAACATACCTCGCTTACGTCTTTTCACCTCTACTTGGTCACTGTGGCAAACACCATCTGCAACATGCACACTGCAACAGAGGACATGAGGCTTAGGTTTGTTTGGTGCATCTTTTAATCAATTAAATTAAAAATGTCCGTCCATTTGGCTGTTATTGCTGAAAAGAGGAGTTAGTTATCTAAATTGAGAAAAATCCTGTTGCTGTTCCAAAGCTGTCTTCTCAAACCTTTAGTGTCATCATGTTTGTTTACATATGTCAGCTAAGTTTGGGTTAGCTGGTCATATTAACTTTAGCCACGAAACGTAGCTCCCCGTAAAACAAGCACATGTTTCTCCAGTAGCTCGACTGCATATATAATTCAAAATCACGTAGTTACTTCGTCCACAGACCTCTGATAGTTCCGTTTAGCCGGTCTTCCGTGGCTCTCCTGACACCTTACAGCCGCTTTCAAGCATGGTCGCGTGGGTTCTTCGTCGGTAATGTTTCTTTTCCCGGGCCAATCGTGGGAGTTTTGCCCCGTAACGGGCTCGAACAGCGACGAAATTCCGTCAACTATCCATCCATACATCCCAGACAAATACGATAGAATTGAAACGAGGTCTTCTACGCGGGCCAGGACGATTTCTCCACGGGTAAGAAGTCAAACAACAATCTACGACACAACCTCTGCTGATGCTTAGCTTAGCATAACTGTGCTGAAAGGATGTGCGTCATTACGTAACAGGGTTTCACGAAGTGCGAATATTTTGTACGTAAGTTTAAAATGGATGGGCGGAGTTCTAAATGACGACTCACGGGCGTAACAGACAAGAAGAAGCGGCATGTTCGAATATGGCAAGCCGTTTTAACATAAATTCGGTTTTGCCGCCCTTACATTCCAGATATCTCAAATTGTATTATGACTATACGTTTTAGCGATTTAAGATATCTCTAATTATATTTTGACTAGTCAAAATACCTATTTGAGATATCTCTAATTACATTCTGACTAGTCGAAATGACGTCAGATTTACTATTGAGTTGTATGGAGACTTCAATTCAAGATATCTACAATGAATTACTGACTATCTGAAATACACGTTTCAGATATCTACAATTAAATTACGACTAGTCATAGAGTAAATTCAAGATATCTCAATTTTAGTTTTGACAAGTCATAATTCTAATTAAAGATATCTCAAATGACACCATAATTCAAGATATCTTAAATGTATTTTTGGATAGGAGAAATGTAGTTTTGACTAGTGAAAATTTAATTATAGATATCTTAAAAGCAAATAATGACTAGACAAAACGAAATTTAAGATATCTTGAATTGTAATCTGTGCTGTAGTAGTGACTGGTGGTGTAATCATGTAATAATTCCTTATGACTAGATTTTGTATATAATTTTGCATATTGAAGTCGACATGTTAAGAGCAATTTGAAAGAAGAAATATAAAATATGATTAAAAAAACATGTTTGTGTTTATTTGATTCCTATTCAAGACACTTCAGATAAGATAAGAATAAAATAAGAATAACTATAGTGTTACTATAGGCGGCTACAGATTTGTTTAACATTTTTGGCTGGTGGTGTGCCTCGAGATTTTTTCAATGAAAAACTGTGCCTTGGCTCAAAAAAGGTTGAAAAACACTGTTCTAGGCATTCTAGCCTTCGGCTACTTGATTATGCTATCAGTGGTCCACAATGTCAGATCAGTCCAACTCAAATGCTCGTGTTTTCAACACAATATTCAGCGCTGCAAATCGTGCTCGACATGAATTAAGAAATACAGATCATTTATCTGTAGTAATAGTAATCTTAAATTACCATTCCGGATAGTCAAAATGTAGTTTTGTCTAGTCAAAATGCAATTTTAGATATCTGGAATGTAATTACGGATAGTCAGACGAAACCGAATTTATGTTAAAACGGCTTGCCATAGTTCGAGTGACATAAACTATCGTACCCTCACCGAGAGGGTAAGAAACGTCAATTCCAGATCATACACCCATTGGCTGACGTAGTCCTGCCCCAGAGCCTGTGTATTGCATTCCACGTATCCGTCAAATAATATCAAATTTGAGTGAAATAACTTTTTAAAACTAATCTGATCCTGTTGATGGGAATATGGGAAAAGTTCTTTTCTTATATCGTAAATCAAAAGTTGCATGTTTCATGGGTTGTCGCTTTAATTGATCATTTTATTGTTTCACCAGTTTAAGTAATGATTACAATGTCAAAGCCTTTTTTCATAGTTTATTAGAAAGCAAATAAAGACTAAGAAAATAGTTTTAGTTTAAAGTAAAGGACCACGGGAGTAGATCATGGAAGGCAGGAGAGGAGATCACGGAAGGCAGGTTTTAAATCAATTGAAATATCATCAGGATGTGACATTGTCCCCGACATGAGTCCTATAGGCCAAAAGCCTCTGTCCAGCGAGATTCTCACTTTATTATTCAAGCTTCACTAGATTACATTCCAATTTTTCACAATGTAGAATTTATAAGTGCCACCTAAATATGGCCAGTTTTGTTTAATGATATTAGCTTTAATTTTTCATTTTCATAGTTTTTCATTTTTCAGCATCACAAACACAGTCTCTTTGATTTGTTCTAAAATGTAAAATCTTTAATAATTTTGTGGAAAAAGATAATACAAAAATCACAACAGTTTTAAGAATATAACACTAGTTTGATTTACGTTATAAAACCAGTGCACATTTAGACACCTATACAGTGAACATCAGCTCTATTTACATAAAGCCAAAGGTTTTTGTGGAAAATAAAAGCACTAAAAATTATGAAAAACATTTGTTCTTAAAGTTTCACAAGAATGACTTTCCAAATACTAAATATACAAAGGAATTGAATTAGAAAACAAAATAAGTTATGTTTTTTTTACACATAAAAGTCACAATTTAAAAAAGTGTGATATTCTGTCATTTCTCATTGAGGGTATAAGGCATGGACGGTTCTGGAGGAAACTTTTTCTTTTTTTTTTTAAATCAGTTTTTCAGTGGTCGGACGACTTTGGGCCAGATTGGGAGGCAGACGAACCTAAAAGAATGCAAACAAACATAAAAACCAACAATTAGTAAGATTCAAGTTAATGAAAACCCACTATAACTGTTGAGTGGTTTAATTACAAAACAAATTCAGTTTCCAATGTATTTGGCTTTAAATGATCCAAACTGCTGAATGATCTCAAAGATTTTTTTTTACTCTGATGATAATAATAATAAAAAAACATACACATTTATTAGAAAACAAGTAATTGTACACTTTTGAATACATCCGTTTTATAACCTGCAGGGAAACGGCTGTATGAAGGGCACAAATCGGTAGGACAGCATGTTCAGAAACCAAAGTGTAAACACCCCCTCAGTGCCACAGACTGACCTCGTCTCAGTCAGACCTAAGTGGTGCATTTCACTGCTTTGTGGTGGGGTGAGTATGTAACACTCACACTCACCTGGACCGTGCAGGTAAAGGGGTGACAAGCAGCTCAGGTACAGCCACGTTCTGTTCTCCTGCAGCCAGCGCTGCCGATAACCAATCATATGAGGGGAACAGGCTGACTGTATCCTCCTGTCCTCTTTAGGGGGCTGGGCTAGAGCACAAAGGTTTTGTGTGATCTGGAAACAAGCTTTTCTACCCAAGTTCCAGGACCAATGAAGGCCACAACACAAAGATGTTGATTTATTTTATGGTTATTTGGTTTGAAACTAAAGTGGAAATGGAAATGTGCCGTTTAGGAATGACTGAGAAGAAAAGGGAATCTTTATAGAGAAGTGACAGTTTTGCCATCTTTTAAGTGGAACCCAGAATGCTGTGCTTCATATTCAATTGTGAGAAGACTTCAAATGTTTAGATACTCCATGGTCTGTCTGCACCATGAGCTCCCTCCTCAATGTTCACCTCTTGTGCTGAACAGGAGAAGACAGCCATTTCCTTCAATACACCAAGTGTTCACCAATTTTGTGAAGGCCTAATTCACTGACTCTCACCTTGCCTGGCCCCCACCAGACGCTGCTGGACCTTCTCTAGATGATGGATATATTCTGTGAGAGATCGTTCTGGATCCTGTGATGTCCCGCCTGTATGAATGGAGGCCAGAGTGGTGCTGGAGTGTGACCTGAAGATAAACAAGAATTGATTGAAGAAATGCAATTCAATTCAACAGTTGTTTTACAACTCAACATCTATTGAGAGGAGAAAAAAAAGTCTCCAGAAACCTGTTGTGCAGCCTGAAAGGTGATTTACTGGGTGGAATGAGAGCTGATATGGTGTCTCTCTGGACGGTGTGGTTGCCTCTGCTCTGTGTAGAGTCAGAATTTGACCTTGGCTGCTGCTGCCTTAAAACATCAGGTTTTGGCACTGTTGACCAAAAAGACCCACCTGTCACATTTGTATTCACACACAAACATCTATTGAGATTATTTAAATGAATTTTTTATTCAGGGCTGACCATGAGCATGTCCATTGACGGTCCCAGAAAACGATAATCTTCTGATGGCTCTCTGCCATTTCCTTGTGAGGAATCTCATTCTGAGGGGGAAAAAGTAAAGCAGCACGAGGTTAATTCTTCATGCAGGGCTGGGGTTTCTAACAACTATATTGGTGTTTGTTTCCTACCTTGAAACTGCTATGACTGCTCTAACAGCAGCCCTAAATCGTCCGAGGGGCCGGGGCTGTGATGACAGAGGTGGGGAGGGTCGTGCTCCCATCTGAGCGATGAGGCACAGAGTGGCCTGCTCACAGTCCTGGAATCCTCCCAACAGCAGCAGCAGGTAACGCTTCTGGAACACCAGAGCTTTCCGGTAGCTCTCAGCACGCAGGTAGCGTTCATAATAACGCTGTAGCTGCAGACCCAGAAACAGAGCCGGTCACTTTTACACTCTCTAAACTGGTGCATTTCGCTGCCATTCACGAGGGCAGCCCAGATTATAGTAACTATATGCATGTATGGCAGGGAGTACTGACCCTGCCGCTGTTGGTCAGATCACTCATGGGTCTGTTTTCGGATTCCGTGGTAACCTTAGCGAGCTCATTCTCTGTGCGCCGCAGCTGTCGCTCCAGGACGGCGAGTCTGTGTTTGTACGTGACCCTCTCCTGACCAAGAGAAGCCATCCGCTCCGACAACTCAGAGTTCTCCTTTAGTAAGGTCTCCAGCAGGTCCGATGATGACCTGGATGGCATCTATAGTGATAATAAATACAAAAAAAACAATACATTTCCCATTTAAAATCTGACAAATAAAATAGGACTTCAGTTTGCCCTGATCAGTAAACACAGAAATACCTGTTGGTGCTGCTGTGAGCCGCCTGCCTGGACCCCCACGGCCGGAGAGTGACTGTAGGAATTCTGAGTGAGGGCAGATTTATGTTGCTGTCCTGAGGTTTGTCCTGACAGCCGCTGAGCAGCCATCTCTCTCTCGTCTCTTTCGAGCTCGGCCAAAGTGCGCTGCAGCTCCTGCACGCGTTGCTGGTCCTGCTTCCTCAGTAACTCCAGCTCCATCTAAAGAGAGAAATATTTGTAAGCTTAAGTGCCTATGTGCATCTGAAATGATCTGAAATTTTCTGAAAATCAGCTTGCTACATTTGTCAGAGTAGTGAATGTATCAGAGAGGAATCCAGGCTGACGACAACTCACCAGTTTGGAGTTGGTCCTTTCCTGTCGCCTTTCCCTTTCCATCTGCTGCTGCCTTTCCCTGCTCCTCTCCCTCTCCAACTGCTCCTCCCTCTCCCTCTCCTTGTCCTTCAGCAGCTTAATTCTCTCTTTCAGCTCTGCCAGTTCAGCCGCCAGGCGCCTGGACTGCTCCCTCTCCGCCTCTAAAGAGGAGACGCATTCTCGTCTTTGCTCTCGTAGAGTCTCCAGCTCAACTCTGTGCCTGGAGGCGACCTCCATCTCCCTCTGAAACTCCTCCATCCTCGTCCGAGCCTCTTCTTCCCATTTCCTCCTGCTTTGAAGTACATCAGCCCTCAGGTTGTCCATCAGGGCTGCCAGCTCCTCCCCTTTCCTTCGCTCCTGCTCTAGCTGGGCGTGCAGGTCTGTGATGAACTTCCTGTCTCTGGCAGCGTCGGCCTCGGATCTCCGGCTGAGCTCATCCACCTGCCTCGCCCATCGGCCTCTCTCTTCGTCAAGCTTTCGTTGAGAATCTGCAAGTTGCGTTTGACTTTCAGCCAGGCGAGACTCTGCTTCATTCAGGAGGCACTCGGAGCGACTTTTTTCTTGCAAGTTGAGCTCCTGTTGGCGGGAGAGAAGTTGGCGTTCGTCTTCCAGCACCTTCTGGGTGTCTTCCAGGCGTTTCTCTAGCAGCATGCTGCGGGACTGTTCTATCTGAAGCTCATGTTTGAGGTTGCTGCAGGCCACCTTCTCCTGCTCTACTTGACCTTTCAGAGTAATGATCTCAGACTTGTGTTTCTCAGAAGATACCTGGACAGCCTGAAGGAGGGAGTAAGAGGGAGGGAGTGGGTTACCTTTCAGATTTTACAAGGGTAACGTCACTGTTTGTTGTCTTTGCAAAGCACTGAGTTTTATCTCAAAGCTTGACAATATAGCCGAGCACTCTATTCAAAATGTTATATGCATTTCTTTTTTTACCCCTCTCCTTTCCTCCTCTTCTTTATCTTTACGAAGACTTAGGGCTCTCTCCTGGTCCAGTTCCCGTTGTAGCTCCTGGACTCTAGTCTGCTCCCTCCTCACAGCTTCCTCACCCTCCTCTACAGTCAGCCTACAGAGGAAGAAAAATAAACATGTATTTTTTCAGTAGACTGCTTGCAGCAGAAGTCAGTTCATTTAATTTTTTCCTAAAGAAAGTGTAATATACCAATATAGCCTATTGAAGTCAGCATTTGTACATTATATTGATGTTTGAAGAGGATGAGTGCAACTTTTACAGTACCTGAGCGACAGGATTTTGTTCTTTTGCTCTTGCAGAGTATCATGAGCATATTTAAGTTGTTTCTGGCTCTCCTCCGACTCTGCTTTCAGTTGGGATTCAAAGTGATCAGCCTGGAGCTGAGCCCGGTGCCAGTTATCAGTGTAATCAGGCTGAATAGAATTAAGAAGGTTATTAGCACACTCAGAGAAGTAATAAGACTAGGTCAAATATCAATTAGCCATTTACCTGAAATCCAAATAAAATCCATATATCACAATAGAAATATACATATAATAAGAATAAATCCAATTTAAATAAATTCTGTCTCTGTGTGAACTAACTTCTGTGTGTCTCTGTGCCATTCGACAGAGGAGTTCTCTCAGAGCTATCACAGTTTCCTGCAGCGCCCTTTTCTCCTGCTGCCAGCTCATGGGAGGATTGGCCAACGGTGACTTTTCCATGTGGTCCAGGGAAGTGCACACATCTTCAGAGCGATGCTGTGTCTGACTAATTGAGAGCGTTCTCGGGTTTGAAGCATGAGGTTGAGTTGAAGGAGCTGCACGATGCTGGCTCAAAGTGAGAATTCTACAGCTCTCTTGATACACCTTTTTCAACAGACCCTGTAGGAAGATAGACAGAGTTAGTAAACTCACTCTTAATGTCTTTCACAATTTACTGTCAGTTGCTTGCAAAAGCCTACTTGAAGCTCAGGTGACAGCAAATCATCACTGTAGCTCATACTGCCTGCAGCACTGTCTGTGTTAACTGTGGGGTTCATTCCCCGGCAGCGGAGATACTCAATAAACTGAGCGTCCAGCCTTTCGGTGTGCTCCAGCTCCAGCCTGAGCCTCGCACCCAGTTCTGAGCTCACATCTGAAACAAGAAGAGAAAGAGTCAGGTCTTTGCAGCATGATCTTTGTTGACTCCAGAGTTTAGTTTCCATGTGATCCTCACATGACCATACCCTCCTTTTGGCATTTTTAAGCTGCTGAAAATACCAGTTTAATACTTTGAAAACCACTTTGGTCCTACATAGCAGCTGTTGGATGGAACATCAAGGATGAAAGCTGTGCCATTTAAAAGATGTTCCCTTCTAAGCAGATCTTGTTGCCTTCGTTCAACGATAACTAACACATTTAACTCTGAAACGTCTGTCTTACTGCTGCCGTAGCCATCACTGGCCCATTCATGTGCTGACAGGGAAGAGGTGGAGCCAAGTGGAGATGAAGGCGTTGTTAGGTCAAGTCCTTCCAACTCACGCACCTAGGATGAGGAATCACATAAATAAGTTAACTACATCCGATTCAAACAAAAGATGTGAAAAAAAACATTTAACATATTAACTTGTGAGGTTAGCATACTTTGTCAGTATCAAGTGAATCCAGCACAGAGAAGTTGTCAGACACAGATAAAGACCCTGGTGAGCGGGTACTCTGTGTGGCCGGCTCTGGGGTGACGGTCTTGGAGTGGTGAGGCTCCATTATAATCCTGGGAGTGGTTCTGACCCCGGTGGAGTCAACGCCAGTGATGTTCAGACCGCTGAGCTCAGACAGACGGGAATCTAGAACGGAGGTGTGGAACCGTTCGCCGATTCTGTCTTCAGGGCACTCATGTCGCCTTAGGACCTCTGGGGAGCTCATAGAGGCTTCGTCATGAGAGACGGTCACAACATCCTCAAAAGCTCTGTGAGAAATGTCTGTGGTGAGAGTAATAATGATCACGATTAGAACAGGAAAGGACATTTTGGCTCATACCCACTTCTGAAAATAAGTCACTGTTATGTATATGGAATATATCTATAAACACACACAAAGTAAAGTAAAGGCTATTTGTGTTTACCCTTCTGTGGATATCCCTGGTGGAGAGGAAGTGTGTTCCGTTTTTGGCACCGTTGGTGAAGTTGCTGTAGCTCTTCTTGCTGATAGGCTAGTTCCTCCTCCTGTACAGCCAGGTCCTCTTGAAGATGAAGGAGCTCCACCTTTAGTTGCCGATTGTCAGTCTCCAGATCGATGAGGGCAAGGTCTTTGGTCTAACAGAAAAAAAGAAGAAAAAAAACACCCAAATGTAAAATCCAGCTCTCAAGAAAATAATTCTCAAAAGACACAGATTCAGTCACACTATAGATTTTGGTTAATTTTCTTTGCTGAGCTCTCATTTTCCCACCTGTCCTTCCTGATGAAGTTTTTCAACCCCTTCTGCACTGGTACTCAGCTCTTGTTTCACTGCTATTAGCTCTGCTGTCAGTGCCTGATTATCTGCCCTCAGCCTGGCAAATTCAGCCTCCTTTTGTCTCAAAGCAGCATCTGCTTTAGCAAGGGTCACATCTGCATGGGTCTGAGGAAAATATGAACAGTTATAAGTACCATGAAACTACAATAACATTGTCGTATAACCATTATAATGGTATAATAGTACAGTTGTACTGTATCTTGACTTGGAAAAAAAAAAAAAAGCATGTAGTGTTTTAAAGCTTTCTTAGAAAAGGTAGCCCATTAAGTCTTTACAGCTTGAACAACTTGCTTGCAATCATTTACTACAATTACAGGGGAAATAGATTAAGTTTAAGGTACCAAAATGGCTAAATTTGCCACTAGCAGCTATGCACCACAGCAAAACAGACATGTTACAACCCATCCACTGAAGTGCTGCCATGTGGAATACCAAAGCTGCTTCTTACCACATCCTGCCGCTTCAGAAAATACGTAAAGCGAGAAAATAAAAACTAAAACCCAACAAAGTTTTAAAACAAAGAGCTTGCAAAGATTTTCCTCATGCTTCCTCAATCTAAGGCGACTTCCTCTGTGCGAGCTGGTTTCTGCAGCGTCTGGGTTTTAAAACACGTCATAACAGCAACGCCCCTAACTATTACCAGATGTGGTCTTGCCCACAGCAGTTAGCACAGAAGTATGCTGAAGAAAAAAAGAAAAGTCCTGTCCAATGTTTTTTGATGAAGCGGCTTTTTTTCAGTCATCTGTGAAAATGATCGTTAGTCCCTTTTAAAATGAGTAAATATGGTTTTACTGGAAAGATCCACAAATTAAAGTAGTGTTTCTTTTTCTTTTAAATGTGTGAAAATGATTAATATACACATTACGACATCAAAGGACACACAACATCTTAATATCGCTGGGATTTTAGATATTTCATATCTTTGCTTCATGAATTTTTTTAACCGAGGGTAGTTAAAAGGTGAAAACATTGTGCCACTGACACTTACCAAGACTTCTTTTTGCACCTCTTTTTGATTAATTTCTTTTTCATTTAGCTTAGCAGTCAGGTCCTGGATAAGGGCTTTGGCTGATGTCACTTCCTGTCTGAGCCGTTCAATCTCCTGTTGTAGCTGTCCTTCTCTGCGTCTCAGCATCTCGAGTTCAGCATAAAGCTCTCCTTTCACAGTTTCAAGGGCTTTAATCTTTTCTCTTCCCTCAGCAACCAGCTCCTCCATGTCCACCATCTCCGCTCTGATCTCCTGGACTTGCCTCTCAAGAGTGAGACTGGTCTCTCTGAGGACCTCCACTTCCATTTTCATATCCTCCTCCTTAGATTTTAAGGTTTCGATCTCTTTCCGTCTCATTTCTTCCTTCTTTTGCAATTCCAAAAACAGAGAGTCGAGATGGACTTTCTCTTCACGCAGGGCTCCAGCCTCTTCAGCTTCAATTTTCCAACGGTGCCCCTCCTTTTCTGATAGTATCCTCTTCTCCCGCTCCTCCTCTACTTGGGCTTTGATCTCTTCCAGTTCAGCTTCCTTCAGATTGAGGAGACCTTGCACTTCTTCAGACTTTTCCCTCTCAGCTTTGAGCCTCTTTCCAAACTCTTCTCCTTGTCCTCTGTACTCTTCCTCCTGGGTGTGCAATAATCGCTCCAGTCCCTCTTTCTCTGCCACCGCCATCTCAAGTTGAGTCTTTAGGGTCTTGAGACGAGATCGAATGGAGCGAGAGGCGGCCGAATGAGACAGGCTGAGCTCGTGCTTCAAGCTGTTCGGCTCTCCCCTTCGTTCCGGTTCCAGGAAAGCATTCAGTTGAGGCTCTGGGCTGGGAGCAGGCGATGGGTTAATGCTGTCACCGTCCTGAGAGTCGCTGACTTCATGCAGGTTGGGGCCCAAGGTGGCGAGCTCTGCCTGCAATGTGCTGATGACCTCGTGAAGGCGCTCCTCTTCTTCCTGTTTGTCATGGCGCACTCTTGTGATTTCAGACTGAAGATGTTCCACCTGAGAGCGCAAATCCTCAAGCTCCAGATCCAGAGCCTTTACAAAAGAAAAAATTATAAATGCAATAAAGTTAGATTGTATAAAGAATCGGCCGTGTGTATAAAAATCCTGCCTGTGTATGCTTACACTGACCTTATAGTCTTTAGCATTCTCCAGTTCCTGCTCCAGTCTTTGGATCTCATAATTAAGATGGTCGATCTCCTGGTTTTTCTCCTGAAGAAGAGCTGACGGGAGATTTTCCTCCACAGCTTCCTCCACCTGCATGTGCTCCTCTTTTTCCTCATTGAGTATGGTGAGAGCAGACACCTTCTCCTAGAAGGAGTTTTATACCCAGATTACTAAGGATTCAATTAAATGACAGTGAACCTGAATGTATAACAGAATTTTGAGAATTAATGAAAAGGTTGAAAACTCTGCTGAATCCCATTACATTGTGTGTGTTTGAAGCTCGCTGAATTGGAAAATATATTTACTTAGGGAATAAACGGTTACGAAAATTGATGGATGGAAGGAGGGAGGGATTTACTTATTTGATCTGAAGACTGAGCAGCTCTTACCTGAAGAGCAGAAATCTCTTCTTGGAGCTCATTAACGTGTTTTGTGTTGTTATTTGTCTGTAACTCCAGCTGAAGTGTGAGGTGTTTTAGTTCAGCCTCTTTGAGGCTGAAGTCTCTCTGTAAGGTCTCCAGCTGACCAAGCATCACCTCGGCCTAGAGGAAAACAGACAAATAGGAACACATTTGTCAAAGAAATATATGTAACTGCTAAAGGTCAGAAATAAAAAAAATTGCATTGTGGTAAAAATGAAACAATGGCAAGAATAATTGGTGGACAGCAGATATGGATACTCATTCAGGTTTGTATCAGAAGGTGTCACTGCAGTCAAACTTTTGAAATGAACGGGCCTCACTCACCTGCCAAAAACATGCATAAAGGGGCTTTTACATGAAATACGACCCACCTCTTGCTCTTTGCTACGTAAATTCTGCTGAGCAGCATCCAAAGCTTCCCTAAGCTCCTGGGTGGGGTCACGTGTGTTGTCATGGTAACAGTGCTTGGTCTCATCCAGTTTGGACTGCAGAGCTGAGATTTGAAGCCTGCTGGACAGCTGCTGCTGTTCTAGTGCGAGCTTATCCTACCAGAGGAGAAGAACGGTGAAAAGCAGCACCTCCACTGACACGCTGGCTGAACTGAAAGGAGGCGTTCGGAGCTTACCTGTGTGAGCTCCTGTTCCTTCAATTTTGCTCTTTGCAGCTCTTGCTCCAGTTGGCTGACACTTCTTGCACTTTCAGCACTGTTAAGCAGCGCCTGTTCCAATTCTCTGATCCGCCCTGCTAGCTTGTCTATCTCCTCATTACGCTCAGCTAAATCGTGCTGGACTTGTTGATGGGCAACAAGTAAAGAGGCGTGGTCCTCCATTTTATCTTTGATAATAGTTTGTAGACTCTCCACCTTTAGACACAGAGGGAACATGTGAACAACAGGTCTCCATCATTTCAGGAGGAAGAGCTAATTTGGAGGCGCAAAATTATTTGAGGGTAAATGATTCCAAATCTGCAGCCAATCTTGCTACAACTATAAGCCATTCCAGAGAGCAGGTGAAGTGGAGATAAAACAAGATGTGAAAAATAAGACATGAAATACTGCCAAATGGACGATGAAATGGGAAAGAAAAACTTTCAGAAACTACAAATGCGAGCGGAACAACATGCACAGCCGGTTAAGGAGAGATGAGACTACGCTACAATTAGATTTCATACCTGCAGTAACAAGTCCTCAATCTACAGCAATCCATTCAGCACAGGGATAAACAAATGGCAACAGTCAGGCTCATGAGCAAACAACACATTCATTACTTCAACCTCTGTAAGCAAGACTACAAAAGATTCAGCCTTCTAATATATCATTTAATCAGCAAAACCCGGATAAATCACACAAGTAAAAAGCCAACGCACACTCCAAATGCCACATCAACACTGAATTAACCATTCCCATGGTAAGAGGGACTGGCTATAGATTTAATGCTGCTACAGAAATAAGGGGCTTAAAAAAGAAAACATTTGAAAAAAAAAAAGAAAACACTTAAGTTAATGACCCTCACCCTTTGCCCTTTGTTGTCCACATTAGTCGTCTGTCTGAGTTGAGCCTCAAGCCTGAGAATTTCCTGCTGGAACTCGTCCCGCTCATGTTCCCGCTCCACAGCCTGCTCCTGCACGCATCAGAACACATCCCGTTACGGACCTTCCGATTTTTGTTAGGTTTCTTAAATCTCCTTTTTGAATTTGTAAAAACTGACTTCTATAAACTGCCTGTCGTGCTTCAGCTGTTTCTCGAGTGCTTGGACACGCTGGTTGAGGTCTTCAGTGTGGGTTTTGTTGTGCAGCTCCGTCTCCAGGCCCTTTGTTTCCTGCTCCTCAAGGTCCCTCTCCAGCGTCCTGAGGCGCAGTGAGAGAGATTTGTGGTCTTTCTCTGCCTGCCGCTGCAAATCCAGCCTATCTTGGGTCAAACGTTCCGTCTCTGCCAGCAAAGCTTTACGGAAAAAAAAAGAAAAAGAAGCTGTTGGTCAGTTGGTACATACTAACAGAGGGATCTGAAAAGCTTTAACGACTGAAGGGGATATTAAATACCTACAATTACACAGATTTTGCATGAAGAAATAGAGCAAGAAATAGCACTGCACACCAATAAGATTTGCTCAAATCTGCCGGCACTGTCAGTTTTACAAACGGCAACCTCACAGCACTGCAAATTCATCCCCAGCCCCCATCACACACTCATAACTCCACTCTGACCCACAAACCTGCGTCAGGATCTAAACTGAGCCTATGGCCTGAGGAGAAAAGGCACATCCGAGCACAGATATTATGTAAGCGTATGGCCAAGTTCTCTTAAAGAGGTCATGTTCTTTACACACACATCATTTCACCATTTTAAATGTATTCCTCTCACCTTTCTCCCTCTCCCCTAGTCCAGCAGAGAGAAGCTCCTTCTGGTGCAGGAGAGCCGCGTGCTCCTCACTGAGCTCCTGATGCTTCGCTCTGAGACCGTCCAGCTCTGTGGTGAGGCTCTGCATCTGGTGTAGCTTCACTTTCAGATCTTCCAGTTCCTCAACTAGCCGTTCCTCCCGGGTCTCCTTTTGCTGCAGAGCCTCCTCCAGAACTGCCTTTTCAGCAATGTAGCCGCCCAGAAGACCTGAAAACCACATGCAAATGCAAGTGTAAATAGAAGGCAAAGACGCTTTTGGAAAAAGTTTTCCAAAGCCATCATAGTTCAATATGAAATTGTGGTATTACTGGCAGACTGTTTATAGTGGGGGTAGGATGTTGCTCTTTCACTTTTAAAAGGCTCACCTTCTGCTTTGTGGAGCTCCACCTCAAGTTTACTTTTGTGTTTGGCCTCCTGATCAAGCTGCTCCAATACCAATTTGTGCTGTTCAAGGAGCTGGGCAGAGTCTTCTCTGCCTTGTGAGAACTTTTCCTCCAAAGAGAGATGGACATTGCAAGTCTGTTCCAACTAAAAACAGAGAAGCTCAATCATTTGGAGGCAAACAACTTTAGGGACTCAAGGAAAAGGGGAGGAAAAGGAGGAAAACTCCCCCAAAAGGTTTCTGTGTCAATCATTTCTATACCTGTGCATTTGCTTGATTGAGCAGATCCAGAAGTGTGTCTACCGTGTGACGTAATCTCCCACAAGCATTCAGAGCAGACTCTTCTCCTCCAGGACTGATCTGAGCATCCGAAACTAGCAGACTTTCACAGAGCAGATGCGTAAGCTCCAGGTCATCAGATGACAAATCTGGAACTAAAATACCTGAAAATCAGTGGATCAAAATGCACATCAATTCATATCCAGAGGAAACACTTGTTACTGCTGCAACGGAAAGACTGAAGTGAACTGGAAACCAACAGACCTGATTCTTGGGGATCTGTGCTCTTCTGATATGTCACATGGTCAGATGTCAATGTTCTGGTACTGATCTTCTTCCCAATCAGCTCTTCTGTTGCTATGACACTGCGCAGCACCTCCATCAGTACCTTACCCAACTTTTCATTTGCATGGTGAAGTTTGCACCTAAGGGAAGAAGAGGAAAAAGTCAGACTCGAATACAAGCTTTAGGACAGATGCATGATACCGTTAGATGCATTCTAATTCGATATGGCCGAATTTGATCAAATCCAAATTAATTTGGGTGCATTTGATGTAATAAAAGACACTGACATATTTAAATGCTGTAGCATTGGCTGAAGCTCCCAGATTTTTCTTACAAAATTCACCCAGCTTCTTAAATGATTCAAATGAAAATTGCATGGTTCAGAAAGATAACTTACTTTTCTTCTTTAGCAGTCTGCAAATCATCAGTGAGCATCTTCAGAAGGTTGCCCCCCTCTTGACTCTCTCGCTCTCTTCGCTGAAGGAGGGTGTCCAGGGTATCCATCTCTGCGCGCTTCCCTTGCAACTCTCCCTGCAGACAGCCAACCTCAGCACGCAACTGGAAGAAAGTAAATCAACACACGGTTGACTTGGTAATTAATTATATCATTATCTCCGACAAAAATCAAAACTCTTTCTCTTGCAGATTTAAGACCTGGAGTACTTCAGGAGCATCCGAAATGAACTGAAATCATCAAATAGAATGTAATGCATTGGGATAATTCAAACCCTGAGGAACCAAGTATCAGATAAGTCTTCCCAGGACACATTGGAACACCATGATAAAATGTATATCCTGGATTCAGAGGAAAAGAACAAAAAAAACTAAAACGGAAAATTGTGCTTTTCATATCACATTACCTAAAATGAGTGCCATACGTATCCTACCAGAATAATTTCCAGGTACACTTGGCGTTCCAACTCCAAACAGATTAAACCCAGAGCTGATGAAAGACAACTGCTGGATCTACCAGACCACGCTCGAGTGCTGACAAAGCCTTCTTGCAGATATGTAGTCCTTATTACCTTCAAGTCCTCCACCACTTCGTTCTCTCCCTCTGTTGTCACCATGTCTTCTCGCTAGTTCTGCCTCTCCTTCCCTACAAATTAGTTTCATGCAGCCATCTGCCTCAACAAAACAATACCATTGCCATGACAACACTCCCCTCCCAACCTCTCAAAATCCTCTAAGCCAGCCTCATGGAGACCTGAGAGTGTGTTAATGTTTCACAATAAAGCGTCCAGCTGCATAGGTGCCATGGAAACAAATGCATACAAATATTGCAGACCTAACCAACTGTCACAATGAAAACTGGTTTGCAAAAATCAGTTGAGGACTACAATGGGAGATTTAATTCATTCACTCACTTTTACACCATCAGAAACCATAATTTTGTGAAAACGATGGCGAAAGTAGAGGAACTACCATGTTGGTAAACAAGAGGAAACAAACATAGCCTTTTACTGTTCAAAATAAATACCACCAATAAAAATCCAGGTTTTCAAAATAAATACCACCAATAAAAATCCAGGTCTTCTGGGTAAAATCTAAGCATTTTTGCAAGAAAGATTAGAAAAAAAACATCAACTACCATGCAACACTAATATTCATGAAGGACTACTGAGCAACTCATTAATATTCTAATCTCCTTGACAAACTCTAATCTGATGTAAGGATAAGAGGAAAATCCAGCCTATGGATGCACCGATTTACAGAAATATCTTTTCACTCTTATTACCCAGCCCTGCTATGACAAACAAGAAGTACAAAACGATAGATTTTTCTCATTGGTGTCAACTTATTCTGTTCTTAAAAGTACTATAAATATAATGCAACATTACACGGGACTGCTTTCTCAGAGTAGAACATTGCAACACCCGATCCAAGCTTTATCATGGCCATTCAATGTAAATCAATGCAGGAAGTGTGGAACGTGAGCATTGTGTGGGTGTGTGTTCAGTACCTGGGCCACCACAGCATCCAGCTGCTGCAGTTGGGCAGTGAGCTGACTCATTTTGTCTGTGTAGCTCTGCTCCTTTTCCTGTTGTTCTATTCTGAAGCTCCGCCTTAGGTCTTCGAGCCCCGCCTCCTTCTGTTCTTCAAATTCCGTCTTCAAAGAAAACAGTGTGGAAAAATGTAATTGAAGAAAAAGAAAGGAAGAAAACTAAAAAAGGTCTCCAGCACAAAAGGTACAATGCACAGTAAGCCTATACTCTGATCAGATCTCTGCCATGGTCATGGTCGTATAGCAGATTACTGGCTCTGACATTTCATATGGTCAAATGCTAAGTGTCTGCCTAAAATAAATAAATAAAGCAATATCCATCAACCTTAAAACCTTTTGACTTGGAGGATAGAAAAATAAAAACAGATTAGATCCATCCCGTTTAGTAACTGTTCAGATGGCAGCAGCAGTAGCACATGTAGAGCCAGGAGCACACAGATTGAGAATAATGAGACAGACGGATGGGACCGCTTCTACATATATGCCGGTGGGATTATGAGAAAACTGGCTTTAAAAAAAAAAAGCTGAACTGGGACACAGTCCAGGAGAGGGACATATCCCTAGAATGGAACTGGTGCTGCAGCTTAGAGGGGGCGGGGGGGCACTGCCACCACTCTCAAACACTGAAGCTTGGAATAATCCACCATGATTGCATAATATGCATATTAAGCACGCAGAGTTAAACAACTCACATCTAAAAACACAGCCATGGGAATCATAATAGTTTTGTTCCACATCTTTTTTTCTTCTTTAAAAAAAAAAGTTATTACGGTTATTGGTTAAGGTACTAAAGAGGGGAAAAAGTCAACAAAAACAAGGGAGTTTATACAAAATCAAAAATAAATAAATCAAAGAAAAAAAACCCTTATAAACTTCTCCAAAGTGTGTGGGTGCTCCACTGCGTCCACGCGGATGCAAACTAACAAGTGGGATGAATATCCTGCATGATTATGGGCGGGCAAAAACCTATTGCTTGCGCAAGTAAAAGTACTGAGAATGTAACAGTATTGCCTGGGAATGCAAAAGTTTTGCGAGGGCAGGCAAAAGTATGGCATGGAAACACAAAAGAATTGCCATGTTACCTGGGGGGCTTCGTAATCAGATGACTCAGCATTGGAAAAAAAAAAAAGTCTTAATTTCATGGCCTGCTAAATATCGCTGTTTTAATTAAAAGAGGGGCCTTTTTTTTTTCTTTTTTTTTTTTTTTAAAGTGACAGTACATTTAGTTACATGGCTTCATTTGAAAGGTGCTTTACATTCCGTTTATATTAATCAAAATGACACCGAGCCACCAGTCTTTTTGTACAGTGTCCAGCACATTTCGTCTTTTACCTTCAGTTGATTAATCCTGTCCTGTAGCCGCTCTTCGGATTGGACTTTAAGGAGCTCCACCTCTTCTTGGTAGTGTTGCCGTTGCCTTGAGGACTCCTCCTCCAGTTCTCTCCGGCATGCCTCCAGCTCTCGTGCAGAGGTTCCCCTCAGCTCCTACAGCAGAAATATGCATTATTAAAGCTGCAATATGCAGACGGTAAAAGGGTCACAACTGAGGGGAAAAAAATCCATTCAAATACTGTGTCACAACAAACGTATACACCATTACAGGGGATTAACAATGACTCAGAGCAGTCCCGTCTCCCACAACCCACTAACATGAAAACCCAAATAGCAGAAACAGAGGGGCATACAATCCACCAAAGTCAAGAGATGAGGTGAAAAGACAAAGGTAATCCAAGAGTGACACAAACCTGAAGTTGGAGTTGGTGCTGTTTGATGAGCTGTTCCTTTTCAGCCGTGTAGCTTTGCGAGAGCTCTTGCAGTGCAGAGCTGTGGTGCTGCTCCAGTTCCAAAACCTGAAAGAAGGGGGTCGGAAAAAGAAGCATCAATCTATAACCCTAGACTTTCTTTGTATTGCCAAATGTATTCCAAAAAAAGGAATCCAAAATGTGGAACAACAAACTGTTGCCAATTTAGGAATTAAGTTTAGTTTTCTGCAAGCATGTAGGTTTCAAACATCCACACCACAATTACACATGCCTGACATGTTAAGACATGGAAATCAAAATCATAATCACATGAAAATGTGGGACAACAGTAAGTACCTGCTTCTTAAGCGTTTCCAGGGCTCTGCAGTGTTCATCATCTAAAGCCTCTTTCTGAGCAGCCAACTCTGTCTGTTAAGAACAAATCATGGCAAATCCCAACAACCGTTATCTCACAGCGCTTTCCGAAAAGAGCAGGTCAGACCATACTCTGAAGTTGTTTACAATTCCAACTAAAAGCAAGGACTAGGCGACACAGGCAAGGAAAAACTTCCTCACCTGTGCATTTACATAAGAACTGGCCGACGCCGGCCAAAATGTATCACCTTGTGAACGTGGCTGAGCTCTGTTGCCATGGCTTTAAACTTCTCCATGTGTAGCTGAGCCAGCTCTTTTCTCAGCTCTTCTCTGGTGGAGAGCTGCTCTGCACTATGATGCTCCATTAGCCGTTTGTGCTCTGAATTTAAGAAAATAATGTCTTGCCGATGCTTCTCCTCAAGCTGACCCATCTCATCACGTAGTGCCTGAGTTGGAGACAATAACAAAGGGAAGATAAGAAAACAAAGCCGTTTATTTTGAAAGAATTTCATGCACTGCTTCGACAAAACACATTCATATTTCCTTAAAGGATTCTGTCTCCTTACTTGAACTTCTTTAAGGTAAGCGGCCTCCAAAGTGTCCATGTTCCCCAGCATCCTCTTTTCCAGTTCGTCCTTCTCTTCCTGGTGTTTTCGAGACAGTTCTGCTTCTAAAGCCTCCAACTGGGCCCGACTGGTCTCTTGAAAGACGGCCTCCAGACTTCGAAGGCCCTCCTGACGTTTGTAATTGAGGGCCGCTTCCAAGGCAACAAACTCGGTGTTGTGCTTCGCCTCGAGCTCTGCAGCCATTGCTGAAAGCTGATCTCTGTGACTGGCACTGAGTGAATCCAGTTGTGCTTTGTGTTTGGCACCAAGTGCGTCCATCTCCAGGGAGTGCTCATGCACAAGTGTTGTCCTTTCATGTTCAAGCTCCACTTTATGCTTGTTCTTTAGCTCGGCCACAGATGCTTCATATTTCTCAGCCAACTGCTGCTCCAACACTGCCCTTTCCTCTTGGAACCTGAAACACAGATATTCCAGAGGAAACCGAGGTTGTTATAACAACAATATATATAGATTTGCTAACAATCTGTGTAAGACTATCGGTCTAGCAGTCTTATAACCAACAGGAGGGTGTGATCTAATCTACATGATTCAATTTCACAGCATGAATGTGAAGCTAATGCAGAAGTGCCAGCACAGGAGCCCAGTGTTCACTCATTTATCTGTTTATTGTTTCAATACCACATGGAGAAGCTTTTACAATTTTGGGTTTTATAGGCTCCCAAATGATTTACAATCACTTTTTGCAGACAGTCATTTTAATATTTTGCGCATTTAGCTTTTCTCCGTCTCTGGTTCAGTCGTTGACTCATGGCAATGGGAATTCAGACCATTTTATTCATAAAAGGGCAGACAGCTTTCCAAAACGCCAGTTGAGTGTTCAATGTAAATGCTTTGTGGATCTATTATACACAAATGGGCCACAATAGAAAAAAAACAGGAGGGAAATCATCACATCTCTGCACTTAAAATAAAAAAATGGTCTGAATTCCCATTTCCTTTAGCCATTTATGTCATTATGCTATATTTGTGACTAGAAAAAGTTTTACGTGCAAAATTTGGAACGGTTTAATTAAACAAAACAAACCAGTGAAAATCATCAGGCACTTGCTGTGGGATATATCTCACCTCTCTTGAGCTTGACGCACTCTGTCCTCACCCTGCTCCTGAAGTAAAACCGTGAGCTCTTTGATTTCAGCAGCCATGCAGCTCTTTGCCGTCTGCAGCTCGTTGTCATATTGAGCCTGCAATTCCTGTCTCACCATTATGACCTGCGGGCCTACAAATACACACACATTCAGACACTGGTTTAAAGTCTGAAAACCAGTGTGACGCTTTAAAAAAAAATAAAATAAATCATCTTACTTTGGTTGCAGTCCGGAACAACCTGTAGAGCCTTTAACTTCTCCTTCTCATCTTGGAGCGCCTTTTCAAAATGTGCCCTCTCCCTCTCCAGGTCTGCCCTCAAAGCAGAAATCTCACCATCATGTTCCTGTTTGAGCTCCTCTTTCAGCTTCTTTATGCTTTCCTGCATAGCCATCCTTTCCCGATTTACACTTTCCTCAAGAGAGTCGACCTGTTAAAGAGCAGTTACAGAATGACTGAAAAAATATGAAATGATGCGTTTCTTTGAAGCAGTATGGACCACTGACATCATTTTATCACTTCTTTAAGGAAAACCTTAATAGCATACAGGGTTATATCTGTACCTTTTCAGTGTTAGGCTGCATCTCAGCATCAGGCTCTTTATTTAGAGTCAGCCTGTTTTCCAGCATGTGGATGATCTTCATCCTCGTCTGGAGCTCCTCAGTGAGACACCACATCCTCTGTTCTACCTCCACCTATTCAAGAGATCATCATTCTTGTAAGAGTCGCCAATTACAGCACATGGCGGGCCCGTGGCAAATTTTCAAAGTTCACTCTCTCACCTCAACCTGTCGTGCGGCTTCTAACCGGACATGTGTAAGCTCTAAGACAAAGATATAAGAGTTATCAAATAAGAGAATCGTTTGAATACATAAAAATAATGTTTATCTAAATCATAAATGTCACTGGATGGGGCACCTAATAAATGGCTGTCGCAAAGTTTGGCTGTGAGTTTCTCCAGTTCCAGAGCATGACTGGTCTTCATCTTCTGCAGCTCTTCATAGTAATGATCAGTGAGGTCCGAACGCACCTGACAAACAAGGAATGGTAAAACACATGCAAGGACAAGACTAAACAACCTCTGTGCCATTGAAACCTTAGAGTTGGTGTCTTACCTGCTCCAGCTCTTCTTTAAAAGAGAGCGACAGGGATGACTGCAGAGTGGAGAGATCCATGGCATGTTTCTCCTCAAGCTGAAGCCTCAGAGCGTCAAGTAATTCCTGGATTAGAGAGATCGTATGCTGCTTTATATCCAATGAAAGGACCAAAGATGTAAACAAAACATAAAAAAACATGAAAACATAAAAAACAGGAGGTCAAATATGTGTACTTCTCACCTTGTTTTTCTCCAGTTTAACACTTTCAGATGCATAATTTCTTTGCTCCTCTGCTTGATCCAGAGTGCTGAAACACAGCCCAAACCGCACAGTTATTCAATGGGATTTAACAAAGCCCCAACTGGAGGAATCTTATGTCGTATGACATCCCGCTGACATACCTGTCATTTGCGGTTTTAAGCACAGACTCCTCCAAGGCACTTTCTACTAGCTTGAGTTGGAGCAAAGCAATTTCTTCTTTGTGGCTCTCTTCTGCTGCATGCAACCGCTTCTCAAAATACCTGAAGAAGGAAGAAAGGAAAATAGGTCAGTTTTGAATGGATGACAGAGGGAAAAAATGCATCAAGGCTTTTTATCCATCTGCTTGTGCTCTCACACCTTCTCAGGTTTTCCAGCTCAGTCTCATTCTGCTCTCTGATTTCTCGTTTTTGTTCATTAAATTCCGTCTTAAGGCGCTCGAGGTCCTCAACACGAGAGGATCGAGTCAGCAGCTGCTCCTTGAGCTCTGTTAGATGGTGCAGCAGACCGAAAAAATAAGGACACAACTGGAAATACACACATTCATTGGATGTCTAAGTAGTGCAACTTATTTTCATCATTGCCATTCGATGATCTTCCTGTGCCAATAGGACCACCAGCATCTTTTATCATTTATGTAAATACATGAGTATTTAAGTAAAGGCAGCTGAAGGAAAAACAAGCCGGTGTATAATCTGACCTGCTAGTTCTTGACGACTAGTCCTCATGCTCTCCAGCTGGGTCCACAGCTGACCTACTTCCTGTTCAGAGTTCTGCTTGAGCAGTGCCTTCTCCTCCTCCAGGCGCAAAATCTGATTGACAAGTGGGAACATCTTTTTGATATTCTAACTGTGATTAATCAGAATTTAGAACTCTATGCTTTCCGACTCGTGACAGAAATGTCAAAGTGAAAACAGTGGGGAAAAAAATAATCTAAAAATCAAGAGGAAATCATTCTTAAATCAACCAGGGATGTTGTGATTTGATGCAAAAAATTCCCTTAAGCAGACTAGATGAGCTGACCTCTTGCTGCAGTTGCTGTTCTTTCTCCTGGAGGTGGAGTACTTGATGCTCTTTTTCCTGCAGAACCGTCTTGTGACTACATACCAACTCCTCCAGAGAGTCTGATGAGCATGCAGAAGGAATAGCATTTACATGACATTAGGTTATGGGTGGTTTGTAGTTTTGAGAGACCTGGAGGAAAAACTGACCACTCACCGACACCTGCATCAGCCAGGGCTTGTTTTAGCTCCGCCTCAAGTTTGTGAGCCTGCTCCATACTGGAAGTTTGGAGTTCTTCCAGTCTTGTCTGGGAGTCCAGCAACTTTGACTCCAATCCAGACCGAGCTGCATGGGCTTCAGCCAAGGCTTCGGTGGTCTCAGTGAGGGCGGCCCGGGTTCTGGTCAACTCGGCCTGGGTGGCGGTGAGATTGTTTTGGGTGTCTGAGAGAGACATTTGCACGTCTGTCTCCCACTGCGCTCTTACAGCCTAAAAAAAAGAAGATGGAAAAAAAAATGTCTGAGTAACTCAAATCATAAAACTGCAAGATAAAATATAGGTACAACAAAGTTTTTACCCGCATCTCTGTGGTCTGCTTTTCTTCCATGGAGGCTCTCTCCTGAGCAAGACGATCCTCCCACTGCTGCTTCAAATCATCTGGACAGATATAAACACTGAAGATTCACCAGGTCCAAGAATTCAAAGGTAAAAATCCATCATTCTGTGCCATAGCTACCCATAATGCTTTTAGGAGAAAACCCTCCCGTCCACACTCACTTATCTGTTGTTGGTGCAGCTCATGCAGTCTCTCCTGCTCCTCCTGGCTCTGCCGTTTGACTTGGTCCAGATCCGACTGATGCCGGGCCTGCAGGAGCGCGCTTTCCTGGGCAAATCTGTCCTGCACCGAGGACAGGGCTTTGCTAGGAGCAGACTCCTGCTCCAGTTCCGGGTTTCTCTCAGAGCACTCCAGCTGTGACATGTGGACTGTGGTCAAGCTCAGACGCAAGGCTTCGAGCTCCAGGATCTTTTGGGCCTAAACACAGCAAAGTGGTTTGTACTGGGGAAAAACTGACACGTAAAAAGAGGGATTTCCCTCCCTTTTACACTGTTCAACCTTTTCCTCTATAATCATTTAATGGGACATAAGGAAAATTAATTGAATCCCCAAAATTAGCAGTGTTGACTACAGACCAAAGGCATGGCTAATACATTTAACTAAAGAGCGTGTTTGTGTTTTACTTACTTGTGCCTGCTCCAGCTCTGCCTGGTGGGCAACTTCCATGCTCTCCCTCAGCTCCATGGACACCTCTGTCCTCAGCTGATCAAGCTCCTCGTTGTGTTTGGCAGTCAGCTCCTGCATCATTCTCTCATGCTCACGCTCAGTTACCTGGGGATGGAAATGAAAATTACATGCAAACATGCAAACTCTTGATATCTCGAGAAGGTGTAAAGTGGCCAACTGATACCTGTTTGATCAGGCTGATCTGCCGCTTCTGTTCTTCCTCCATGCTGACCCGAAGCTTCAACAGTTCGGTCTCCAGGTGGGTGTTTAACTCAGAAATCTAGGTATTTAATTCAGGAAAAACACAACAATAACGCTGTGTGACCATTTTCATCATAGAAATACACCGTAGCGATTTAATCAGTCATGTAATGTTTGTATGAAGTTTTTAAAGCCCACCTCTTGCTGATGTTTCTCCATCAGGTCATTTTTTTCCTGTTGGTGAGACGCTTTGAGTTTTTCGGTGGCTTCTTCCACAGCTAGGGCCTGTTTCTCAAGGACAGCTTTCATCTCCTCCTCCTTCTCCTTTATCTGCTCCTCCAGGCGATGAGTTACATGAAGGAGCTTGTCCTTCTCCTGCTTCTCTTCCTCCCATTTCTCCCTCTCATCAGCCAACTTTAAAATAATTTTGTACATCATGTTAACCAACAGGATAGTTAGTACAAACAGGAAAGTAAATTATGCGACGTCTCACCTCCACCTCCTTGGCTTTCAGTATGTGCTCAAACTGTTCAAGTTCCTCCTCTAGGACTTGTTCCAACTTTCTTATCTGCTCGTCCATCTGTTGTTCTTTTCTCCTGTCGTCCTCCCTCTGCTGCGCAGATTGAGCCTGGGCCTCTTCCAAATGGGCAAGGGTTTGTCTCAGACAGGACATTTGAGATTCCAGTTCGGTTTTCTCTTTTTCAGCACAGTCCAGACTGTCGCTGCTCTTCAACAAGTCTCTGTGCAGTCTCTCCACTTCCGTTTGGGCGTTTAGAAGCTGTGCGCGTGCCGTTTCAAGCTCTTTTAATACACTCTCCAGCTCAATTGTCCTTTGACTAAGCAAGTTCGATGTGTTTTTATGGTCCACTTTTGTCTCTTCAAACTCTGATTTGGGATGTTCACAGGAAGCCTAAAGAGAAAAGGCACAAATGGGAAAAAAAAAAAATTTTAAACAAACGTTTTGTGTAAATTTGTACTTTCTGTCTTACGTCTCTGGGATATCTACATAATATAATGAATGTATTTGCATAAACAACTATCACAGTATACCTGTAATGTTTGTGATTGGATGTCATCAGTAGGCTTTGGGCTTTCTTTGGTAGCACCAGCAGGCAAGTTAATCTCCCACAGAGATGATACCTGCACCTCCTGCTGATTTTTAGGAGAGGCGAGAGCAGCCTTTTCCTCTTTCATCTCCTTTAGCTCTCCTGTCAATTTATCCTCCTCTTCTAATGCTAACGGATCAGAGACGAGCTGGGAGGTTCCGGCAACGCTTTGAGCTTCTTGTTCCATCGATATGACAGCATTTTCCTTTTCCTCTTCTTCAAATAAGGCACTATGTTTACCGTCAAGGCTGTAATGCTCACAGGGATGCGAGTTAATCTTCTCCTCGACAAGTCTCCTCTTTTGTCTCTCTTCCTCAAGTTCCCAGAGAGCTTCCCTGAGCTCATCTGTAACTTGGGCCCACCTAAACACAAATTTAAAAAAAGTTTTACTGATCAGAGAATCAAAGAACAGCTTTGGGTAACCGAGCATAACAAAAGATAAAACATAAAAAGATTAACATGTTGTGGAAATAATTTTGTCACAAATCAAAATGTTGGAATGATTTAAATATATTGTTCATGTTTTTATTAAAATTTTCCTGAAAAGTTACATTTGTTTAACTGGGGAGAAGGGTCAGTTCTAGACACTGTTAACAAACAATGAACTAAAGAGTTTTTTGGCATTATGTCTTTAACGTTCCATGCTTTATTTCAGTTGGAAGCATTTACGTTTAATCAAATAGAGAATGAATTCAGAAGGTAATCTCATATACAGATGCATAAACTTTGTTACTGCATAAGGATAGAATTGAATAAGATTGAAAGTTATTCTTATAATATTCAAATACATAAAATGTATTATAAAATGCACTGTTTTCTTTTTTTTAACATGCCTGTATCCTGTGACTTTAATGCCATTACCTGTTCCTCGCTTCTTCCAGTTCTTCTGCACTCTTCATGACTTCTTCCTTTAACACATTCAAGTCGCGCTCCTTAAGAGCCAACTCCTCACGGAGCTCCCCGCACTGCTGATTCAACAGCTCTTTTTCCAAGTTTGTCTCCTCAAACTGCTGCTCCGACATTCCACTCAACCCCATTTCGTCGGAGGCGGACTTGTGCGGCCACTGGGAGAGAAAACCAGGACCAGGACTGGAGTCACCTGCCTCTAGGCCAAAGCACTGCGAGCCCGTGATGTTTGGAATACTGTCATTTTCTTCGAGGAGACGGTTTGAAATAGACAGTAGAGGCTGATCTTCAAACACTTCGCTATTTAATTCAAAACTATGGGGGGGCACAGAGAAATGAAAGGATTTAGATACAAGCCTGTAAAATATGTGAAGAGGCCTGTGACACCAAATAAACAAAACCAAAAAAAACTGTCACATGAATGCTCTCACCTGCAGTCTGCAGTTACATCCAGCTGCTCACAGTGTTCAAGGCTTTCATTTGATACTGAAGACTGGAAGTTTGCAAGGGGGGCTGAGGACAAATAACGTTCCATCAGAAGATCCCCAGAAGCTGATGTGTTCATAATTGCATGATCAGGTTCCCGTTCTAGACCCACTTCATCTGCAGCCATCACGTCAGAGCTAAAGCCAGCTCTTGCCTGATTCTGACGGTTCTTTGAAGCTTTAAGTCCTTCAACCTCTTCCTCCCTCTTCTTAAGCTCTTGTTCCCTCTCATCCAACAGTTGCCTGACATGCTCAACCTCCTCTCTGTGCTCCTCTTTGAGCTTCTTCATCTCCTCCTCTTGCCGCTGCCTTTCCTCTTCCAGACTCTGGAGACGTAGGGCAGAGCTTTCGACCTCCTCTCTAAATCTGCTCTCCGGTTCCTCTCCCTGAAGTCTCTTTCTCAATTCCAACACTTCTCTGTTTAGTTTTTCTTTTTCCTCTTTGTACTGCTGCATTGCAAGGCACTGACTCTGGACTTGGCTCAGTTGGGTCTGAAGGTTTTGCAGCTGAGCCTCCCTTTCTTTCCGCTCTTCTTCCATCCCTTGTCTCTCCTTCTCCAGTAAGTAAAGCACATGTCGGTTTTTCTCCACCTCTTCCTCCAGTTCTGCACATATGCGCTGGCTATTCTTCCTCTCTTCTTCTAGCTCCAGCCTAAGCTCGTGCAGAGCAGAGTCCGTCTTTGAGTCATTGTCCATGATGAAGCCTTCAGGAATAGGCTGAGAGCCATCTGATGGAGCCTCATTCTGACTGATGTTTGCATGCTGGGACTGGCCACGAGGAGGCTGCCGTAAATTAAGGACTTCAGCCCCCGATTCCCCTTTGATGCGTAGAAACTCTAAACTGGTCTGTATGGAAAGCAGTATGAATATAATGGGGATGCAGTAACTGTACCGATTAGTTCATTATTACCAGTCTGTGTGGCACTTACCTGCTGGAGCTGCTTCTGCAGCGCCTGAATCTGTCCAGCAAGTGTCTGTGCCTCCAGCTGGACCTGGTCTCTGCTTGCCAGGGCCTCTTGCAGGTTGGAGCTCAGTTTGGCAATGATTTCATTACGCTTTTCCACAGCTTGCTGCAATTGCTGCAGATTTTTTTTTAAAGAAAAAAAAAGTCAATGAGTCAGATTTATAAGCAAGAAAGAAAATCCTCTCATACGTACATTCACATTGTGCAACACGTTATCAGAAAACCTTTTTTTTCCCCATCCTTGGGCATTCAGAAATCAAACTGAACATTGTTCCTAATGAAAAACCTTCCAATAACCAATTAGGAAAGAAAATGCATTAATCCAGAACATTAAGCCTAAATGGAATATCTCAAAACTATAGTCAAGCTCATTTGTACTCAGTCTCCCTAATCCTATTCCACATTATAAACCAACTATGCCACTTTCAGACCAGAACAGCCAAGCAGAAGGACAATTTCAAACTCCCCACTAGTTGATAACATAGAAATGTATCAATCACCAATCGCACATAATGGTTCCAGTTCCTTCATAAAGGGTAAAATCATGATCCCAAGTACATCACATAAAATCACTGTTTTGAGTCCGTTACATATTAGGAGTTTCAGCTTTTAAAAGACTTTTTCTGATCTGCCATTGAATATGAATATCTAAATTAAACCCAAAAAGTATAAAGATGTTAGCTATTAATTTATCGTTACTGAAGGCGAATACCTTGAGCTGCTCTTTGCCAGTGAGCGTAGCTAGGTCCTCTTCCCTCAGGTCCAAAACTTCCACGGGAGATGGGCTTCGCTCAGGGGTGGGCGACTGGTCCTCCTGCTGTTCCTTCTGCTCGTCTTCACATTTCTCTGGCCTTTGGGCCTCCTAAAAGATCATTTCCAACTGGAATTAACCCTTCACTTTCTCAGTGTCAACAAAAACATCAACATAAACTTTCTATAGTTGGCAGGGGGAATTAAATAAATAAATAAAAAAAGCCAGTAAATAGTGCTTCAGTTAATCCTGGCCAGGTTGCCATGGCAACATGCCCTACAGGCAACGTGATGGGTAGTGACCCAATTCTCTAATGTATGTTTATCAGAGGCCCAACCAACATGTTAAAATACATGACAAACACTGGATGTCCACTGCTGTGCATAAGCCTGCACAAGATTTTGAAAAAAAGAAAACAAGACAAATCAAATTCCTGCTCTGTCTTTCCACCGCCAAATGGCCAGTAAGCTCGGCGCCACTGGTGGTGTACCTCATGGCTGCTCTGGCTGTTCAGCTCTGTGGCCTTGGCTGATGGAGGGGCTGGTTCTATGGGTCCGCCTTGCGCCGGGCCGTCATTCTTTTGGACAGTCTGACCCTTCCTCTTCTGCGTCTTTTTCGCCGCCCCCGTGCCGTTGCTTTTCGCCCGCTTCTGTCTGAAACTAGCAAGCTGCGCAGGAAGGACAGCGAGAGGTAGATGGACACATATGTCAGCACCACGGAGCACCACCAAACTACAAGCATGGTGAAGCTCGGTGGGGTGAGAGGTAAAAAAAAGGCAGGAGTCCAGACTGACCAAATCAAGGCCAAAACAAAAGATTCAAATTGGTACCATCTGCAACACCATCAAGCATAGGGTTATACATAGAGTACAAGAGCTGGAATTGCTTATTTTGATGAGTCAGTTGTGAAGAGGAAAAAAAAAGCCACTGAAGCAAGAAGAAATCCCAAACTGAAACCTAAAAATAGACCACGCCATATCCGAGTTCAAAATGGGTTAAGGATGTTAAAAATTCTCGGACCCCTCGAGAACTGTAGCACGCCCATGAGAAATGCAGATTTTAATGAGTCATGGAGAACCTCAGCAGACCGACGACTGAGCAAGGCAAAAAGAAAAAGAAAGTACTGAAGAATGATCCGTCACTCCACATCTTCCATCTTGCCGTAATCAAAGAAACCCAATGGTTGACAACACTTTTAAGGATTAAAAACTGAGAAGTCCCTCCATACATTTTTAAAAAAGAAGAAAAAGAAATAGGAAAAAGTGTTATTCTGCTTAAACTCCAGAGGAATAGGGTTTTGATCAAAAATCTTTTTTTTTCCACATCCCAACACGCCCCTCTTTTTATTGCTGCCTTTCTCTCCTGGACAGTCTCCTCTTTAAGCAGATTAAAAACAAGCTTACAGCCCTCATTGTGATGATGGAATCGGACAGAGCTGCCCATCAATATCTGACAATCTGCGATTGACTTCTCCTTTTGCTTGCAGTCGGATCTGTCAATTCTTCCTCATCAAACCACTATCCCAGAGGTCCAATTGTAGAGCCTGTAGTCTGCCTGCATCAGTAAAATCTGCCCAAACGAGTCTACAACTTGCTGTGAAGCAAATGCACGGAGCAGAGGGATCCGCAAACTCTGTACAGAGGATGGCATATGTCTCGACCAGGGATGGAGGGTGGAGACAGGGAGATGCATTCACAGGGAAGGAGGAGACAGAGCTCTGTGTGTGGCAAGCAGCATCGGAGTGTGTATGCTCAATTCAATTTGAGATTACATGATCCCAGTAGACCTACTTGTTGCTATGTACAATGAGTCACACACAAGATGCGCGATTGTGTGCATGTGCGGCAGTGATTCTTCAGGTAGCACGACACTGTCATGCTTTCTCCTCTTTGTACTTCGCCTCTTTGTACAGGTTTTGCTTGGGACTCTGGTTTAGCACTGTCAAATGCTTCCAATACCCCACACCTTTCCTAACTTGAATGAATAAACAACTACCGTACATGTGTATGCTTACATCTCAACACCAGCTTTTTAACACCGGCTTATTCATTAAATCACCCCAAACCCCACCCATCCTTCTGCCATCATCAGACTCAGAGCCTCCGCCTGCTACCAAACATCACATCTCAGAAAGAAATCCGCCTGATGAAGTGTGTTTATAGCCCAAGGCCACCTCCCTACACTGATTGTCTGACTAAACAGTTAGTTGGATGTTACAAGTTAAATCAGCTGTGACTGAGCTGCTGTGTGCTGCTACATTGTTCTCAACTCCCAAAGCCCATGTCACCTGCAAGGTATTCTCTGCAGGCAATTTACACGCTCATTTATGGTGTGCTGCGTCTCATCTTTATACATGTGCCCCACAGTCACATCATCCGGTGTAGCAAACAGAACAGACAGTTGACAATGAATGAGCCCTCCATTACCATAGCAACATCATTATGGGAGATGGGAGAACAAGGCTGTCAACATTCTAAAATGTCTTGGCTCAGTATGCCACCTGCTGGACCGAAACCAGCACAACAGTACATGCTGGGTGCACATTTGAGCTTGTTTTTTTTTTGTTTTTTTTAAATAATGTTGAAAAGACATGTTTATTTTCAGACTAACTTTTGTTGCTGATTGGATGTTCCATCATTCATAACAGTGTATAATTAATAATTAAAAGAAGAGGACAATAACAACATGGTGCAGAGAAGTGGAGGAGTCAATGCTACCGTCCCCACTTGGCCTGTCACAACAACCATTCTGTTTGGGCAATTTACCCCAGAAGTAAATGTAACTGTGTCTTTTAATATATTTCAATACCAACATATGTCACAGATATCATTTAAAATGGTTAAGCAAGAACTTTTAAATAAGTGACATTACTTTACATTCTTGAACTCCTGACGTCATGTCAAATTAACCCGGTATGTTAACAAAATAATCATTGTGACAGGCCTAAAAATAAAGGAAAACAAAACCACCACAAGGACAGAAATCAAAGTAATTATGAATCAGCAAACTCAGCAAGATGCCATACGTCTCTGCCAGTAACCACTTTCAATACTTACCGACTGGCTTCGAGGTATGTTAGATGAATTCTGTTATAGGAAATATAAATGTTTTAGTGAATTATCTATAAACATTAGGCCTCATGTCTATATTGTAATATGTTGCACGATGAAACTGAAATACACTAAACTCAGTAAGTCCAATAAACTCATCAGGTGTCCTACTTTAACAGACAGGTTTTTTAAAAGTGTTTTTCTGCTATTCTAATTTATTTGCCTGTGACTAATGTGGACATATAATGGCTGCTTGCCCCAGTTAAAGAAACTGAAATTAGTGAACATGCCACTAGGAAATACTAACAGATTAAAAAAAAAAAGAGAAAAAAAAACACCCCAACAAAAAGAGCTTTATAAAGGATCTGGGATACCGTGTGCATTTATTAGGCATATATTACATGTAACAGGAAACATTTCCCTCTAAGATTTGTTATCAGGAAAATGTTTCTGAAATTGATGGAGTGATGCGACACATGTTTGCATTCATTAGTCCCACAACCTACAGAAAAATCACGTTTATCACATGGGAGAGTAATCCAACTGCAGCAAAATGCGATGTAATAACTGTGAATAATCCAGACCAAATATTATTTACAACAAATCCTCATCTACTCTCTGAATAAAGTACACTTAGCGGGAGCACACGCAAAGCTATGACACAAAAGAGTTTGCTAGCAGTTAGCATAAGTGTTAGCATGCATTAATTGTTAGCCACAAACCTTGGCTCTCCCTGCTTCTACTTTCCTTCGCCGTTCATCTTCATCCATGACTTGGTTTGAATTCAGTCGTTAAAAAAATAACAAATATGTTCTAAGAGCATGATAAAACACAACGGACCTTCGATCAAAAGAAAAACTTAGCTTAAACAAAATGTTTGAACCTCCTAGATACAACTGTCAACAGATAATATTCAATATGGCCGCCAAGAAGGTTGAACTCCGCCCTTAACGAGTTTCCCTGAATAAACGGTCCAATCAAATCGTTATGTTCAACATCTTTAGCCAGTTGAATTTTTGCTGGATTTGTAAAACACCAGCACCTCCTATTTGGCCCGCAGTCCAAGTTAGAATGTCACTGACCAATCAGACGTCTATGTGAAGTTCACAATCTTTGATTGACGTTCATTCAAACCAACCGAGAGTACGTCTTTTTTTAAGACAACCGCCTCTGTTTTGAACGCGGAACACTCTTCTGTGCAGTTTCCAGTGTGGTATCTACAGTTTTCCTTTAGCTTATTTTTGCAAATTTTTATGTGCCTGTTAATTGCTGTATATTCTGAAAAACAGGCACGTGTTTATGTATTTTTTCATTTAAAATGTTGAAGTATATATACTGTATATATAGAGAGAGTATAATACAAACAGGAGAGACAAAGCGAATAGCAATATTGTTTCAGTCGCCCCCTTCTGGCCACGGTGGCCAACATTCGTGCATATGAAAGAGAATGAACAATAAACAAAGATTGAATTTAGCTAATGTGATATTACGTGTTATTGACACGGTATCCAACGAGTGCATTTACGTGTACTTGTTATCTAACTTGTAGATTACTTCGATATTCAGAAGATGGATTTAATTTTACATGATGGACAATCGAGCTGGAATGTGTGAGGGTTATGAAATAACTGCCGTGTTATCAAAGATGTACTTCTAAATTCTGAGAATTTTTACATTTCTGAAATAGGTTGCATACAATTTTGTAGGAAAAGTCGCCCACAATCCAATGAAAAGAACTATCGCCCGAACAGGGACTTGAACCCTGGACCCTCAGATTAAAAGTCTGATGCTCTACCGACTGAGCTATCCGGGCTCTGTACGCCAGGTGAAAAAATTCCAACAGATTTTTTCGCAAGGTTGACAACACAAAGGAAGACTGCCTTACTATGATTTCTGTTAACTTATGTATCTCGGGTAACAAAATAGGAGCCGATTCGATTGTTTACAAGTCACACAACAAACAAAATGATTGTCATGACTTTAATAGATTAATTTACAATTATATAAACTTGTATTTTACATCATCTTTAAAACAAAACCCGACAGTAATCAGTTTTTACTTACTGCATCTAATCGTAGCTTCGCTCAAAAGTATTTGCCATTTCCAGTAGCGCACACGGTGGTCACATGCTTCAGTCCCTTCTGGCTTTTAACATGGCACATGCCTTTGACAAATGAAATAACCTAAACTTTTTTTTTTTTTAAACTACAATGTCAAAATCAAGAGTCACCTTCCACATCGACAAATCATTAAAGTGCATTATTCTTCATTTAGGAAGAATTAATAAATTGGCGTAATGATATGGAAACAGAGCCATGTTGTAATTAAGATGAATGTGTTATTTGGGGTGATCTAGATTATACTTTTCAGATGAATGCGTAGGCAACATTCATGCACTTACATTTGAGACCAGTTTCTATCGCAGATAATGAATGTTACATGCTTGAAATGAGCTGCTTATTCTACTGAACCCTTCAGCAAGTCTATTTTAAACAAACCAACAGTTAACATGCAAAAGATTGGTGACAGATTGAAATAAGTTTAATACAGTATCTCTTGTGACACATCGAGGAATGGTGGCCTTACAAATGTGAAAATCTGAATATATCAATATTCTTCACATGTGTATACAGAATGGCACTGATCTGTACAAGTTATCTTTTAATTTAAATTGTATCTGAGCAAACTGAATGATATTTAGTGAAAAAGGTAAAGGGATATTTTAGAAAATTCCCATGTAAAGCAATCAATCCACAGAGAATTTTAAAAAATGCAACAAAAATGTTGTATCTTAACGTGTTTTATCAGTAGAAGCCCTCAGATTTTGCAAAAAGGAAAAATGCATGTCAGAATAAAAATCACATGTTGAAATAGGCATTCCCTTGCTTTAGACGAAGAACACATATACACAGATTGCACGTTTGCCAAACTGTTGGCCTCACACTTGGTATGGCAACACAGCATTGCTGAATGTTTATAATTTCTCTTCATGTAGAAACCCTGTATGTACTTCGATTTTTTAATCCTGTCATCATAAACAGATTTATTGTGACGCTGTCAATAACTGTAAAAAATGACTTGATCCTTTAGGTCCTCTTCTGGCCAGATGTTTACCCTGTCTGCCTGTTTAGTCCTGTAAAAAGTCAGGATGATTTATGGATGTCATAAAGCAGATGGTTTCACTACTCAAGTGTTCAAAGGGTTTGCCATAAACCCCTTACACGTGTCCATCTTCCTCTGAGCAAAGATCGGATCAGTCCAGGGAAAAGAATTTGCACAAGGATGGGTATGTGAGTTGGACTATCAGTGAAACATAGCCTGCAGATATTTATTCACATGACTTAATTATATAACCTGAAATGAGAAAAACAGAAACATATATCAATCTCCTTGCAGAACAAGCAGGTAGTTACATTGTGACACTGTAATACTAAAAAGAAATTCACTTTGTGTATGTGAGGAGGCATTTCGTCCTCAGAACTCTCCTCTAGAAGAGGCTCATGGTGTTTGGGGGCTGCTTGACCATCCTCTGCCCATCCACCCATTGGCACACGGGCTGACCTTGTCACATTTCCACCTGCACTGAAATGGTCTGAAAACCAGACACAAGCACAATGTGGTGGAGAAATGTCAGAGCAGATCTCATATGTGTGTAACACCTGAAAAGCTTCAGGGCTTCAAGTGTGAGACCCACTAAAACAGAACCAGAACTACCCTTTTACACTCGAGATAAAGAACTTCTTCTGTTTTTGCATATTTCCTATCAATGAAATATTTTTTTCTAAACCAAAACTCTGACAAATGTTTTCTCCTCTGAATGAGAAATATCAACATGTTTTCATAAGGCTAAAGAAACAGCCAGGAATGCTGAACCATGGGTTTATCGTGCAGCGTTCTGAAAAGTGATGATAGACACCTGTGGTGGGTCCACTGTGGCGCCGCTGACCGGTGCTGCTCTGTGGCTTCACCCTCTCCTGACCACTGGAGGTGCCGCTGGTGGCTGAGGCTGAGGTGGGAATGGCACTTGGACTGGGAGCCGTGGTGGGGAAAGTGTGCGAACGTGGGAAGTTTCTGGAGTGAGTGTTGGGCTCACTCCGTACTTCATCTGGGATGCTGTCACTGCTTTCGTCGCTCTCCTGTCTGTGCCATGTGTGACGGGACAGATCGGCACGAGACTGCTGTTTGTGGAGCTGCAGTAAAAGGAAAACAGGACGATAGGTGAACAGGCCAATAAATGGAGGGAATCCGTCAAATGTGTTTTCATGCAAACGTACAGATTTACCTCATGCATGTAAAGTGCATGGATGCTCATTTCAGTGGAGGCATACTCTGACAGGACCAAACTGGTAAGCTGACCCTCCCATGCGCTGCTGCCTGAGCTCACAGTTCGGGCATCAGTCCTTATGAGAAAACAGCAAAAATGAGGAGGAAACAGAACAAAACAAGGAGGAGATAAAGTGTTGAACAAAAGCAAGTTAATAACAAAATCTCAATTTTGTAATTGAAAATCCAATGGTATATCTCAGCACCCCAAGATGTTGTTGCTTTAAAAGGGCGTTGAAACAATTCAGAGGGGGTGTCGACTTACCCAGAACCTGCCATTGCCCTGCTCGTGAGGCCACTGGCTCGATGAACGGCACTCAAACTGCCTCTAAGATGAAGACTGCTACTGACTGGGGAAAGAGAGCGCAAGGCAGATGCTCCATCGCTCATACCAGCTGCTGCGTGATTGGTCAAGCTCTCACGGCCAAAATGAACAGAACCAAGGGTGGGAGGGCCTGCTAAGAGGTTTGCAACGAGACTTCTTGGCTATAAGAAAGCAAGCACACGAAAGAGTAAACTCTTTTTTGTCTTTCCTTCTGAATAACTGTGGTGATAACGGGGTATAAATCTTAGCATGGCGCCATACTTCAGACTCTGACAAAGATAGTGGATGTGTGTCTGCTGAAGCCCCTGTGGCTTCTCTGTGAACTCTTTCTTTCAACTGGCTGATGAAGTGAGTGGTCTCCAGAGGAGGCTGCCAGTGGGGGTTGGTGATGGCAAAGTGCATTAGTGATAGTTCTGTTTTCCCATCTTCTGCTTGTTGGTAGATGGACGCTTCCGTTTTCCCCTCTGACATCCACTACAGAGTGAAGAGCAAACTCTAATTAATCTTCCTCATAACAGTCCATACCTTTGCCTTCAAATGTGTCTTCGTCTGTGAGTCGGTCCCATACCGCTGGATGTCCATGCTGCCTTATGTCCATCTGGGCAAAAGAGCAGGTGTCTCCTACCCCAATGACTTCCACAGTGAAGTTCCTGAAGAAGTCAATGATCTCCAAGGACTTTCTCCTCAAGCAGAAGATGAGGATGATTGGAGTCACCACTGGACTCAATAGCTCCTCTAGAATAAACACCTGGAAGCAAATACATAGGAAAGCTAATAATAACTGCTGGTAGACGTATTTATGATGCTGCTACCAGGTGTCACATGCTTAGCAAGTAAAGTTTTAATAATTGAGTCTTGGCATTTACAACTATTTTATTTTATGTTTTTTTTACTCACTGCTTTGTACTGAAAAAGCTGTGAGAACTGGTCTCTGGTCTCATATCTATGTGCGTTGCCCTGCCAGTGGTCAGGCATGTAGTGGATGTGAGCCAGGATGACACGCAACAGCTGCTCAGGACAGAACACCATGTGTTTATCAGGAATAAACGACCTAAAGAGAGACAGAGATAGGAAGACATTATATACAATAACATGAGGGCAATAACTCAAAAGTGAATCATTTTCAGAAATTAATTCAAATGATTATATGTGATTAAATGATTATATATAGTGGATATTGACGGAGGAGAGTAAGTGATTTTCAGTATTGCACCGCTCCGTACCTACACACTGTGATACACACACCAAGCAGGGTAATTGATGAGAGAACGTGTTCCACCGCGAGAACATCCTCGTCATAGATTGTGAGGGCAATGAGGACTGCCAGGAGTGACCCAGCAAAAAAAGCCACGTTTTTGGCCACCACTGTCAGTACAGGTGAAAGGAAACAGTTCATATACTTAGATGCAGCCTGAAAAAGCAAACAAAGGAGAGAAAGTGGAGAAGCAATTAGGAACTCTGTGACAACGAATGACTGTACCATCCAAATATGAAAAATATACCACAGAACGATCTCACTACTGGCCATGTTTAGAATGAGGTGATGCTCTGACCTTGTAGCCTTTGCTGAGGCGGGACATGAGTTCATGGTCGAGCTCATTAAAATGACGCAGGTAACATCGACCGTAAAGAGACCAACATCTGGCCCCCAAAGAACCAGGCTCTCGTTTGATCACCTAAATACATACGTACACAAGTCCACTTTAATGACATATGAAAGTTAAGGAAATTGTTCAAAGTCTTGACGTGTGTGAGCCATTAACCTCAGTGTAACTGAAGAAGGCGTTTAGAATCTGCCACAAAAGAATGACTGGACACAGCAGCAGGTTGGCGATGCCAATCCACAGGATACGAGACGCAAGGCGGTCTGCAAGTTCAAGCCTGTTGCCTCCCCTCTTATACTCTGGTTTCAGACTCCATTCATTCTCAAATAGAGAACCTACAGAAATGAAGACAAAAGTTTTCATAAGCAGGTGCATGCATAACAAAAATCATATAATTTTACCTAAAGCAGATCCTCCATCCAATGCAAGACAGGAGTATGTGAAACTGAACCCACGCACACACATACTTCAAACACACCTGGCCCCCAAAAGAAGATGAGCTCAAAGTTATACTTGAGACCTCGGGTGTAAAACACGCACTCCCCTAGTACAGGAAGCCGAAATCGAACAGGAAGGAGTGATTTATTCACCATGGCAACCTAGAAAAGAACAGGAACAATGGTTAGGTGCGAGGTCACTGCACTTACATGAGCTTGAATTGAGTCGTTTCAGCAGTCGGTTCCACTGAAATAGAAACAATGCACGCACCATATAGTTTTTGAACCGGAGGATACGGTGGTAAATATCAAGCTCTGTCAGTTCTTTCTTATGTATACAAATCTGGTGCTCCTTCTGGATCTCAACTATCCTGGCCTGAACTTCTTGCCATGTTGCATAGGGAAGTTCTGACTGGAACACAAAGACACGACAAAGGATTATGCACAGACAAAATAAATAACAGCAACCTGAAATGTATTTGTCTGTCTTACCATTGTCATCTTGAGGGCATTTATGTAGAAGGATCGAATCTCCCAGTAGCAGCAAACATTGTAGATGAATTTGACAAAACGATGTAGCCAAAACACCCCAGAGATGATGAGCACAAAGATCACAAAGCCATTGTGTCGGATACTGGGGGAGGATGAATGTACTCTTATCAGTCACATGCAAATTCAGTATTCGACAGAATAAAAAAAAACTTACTGTAAAAGAAATATTCAAATTTTTGGATTAAATGTATTACATTTACCAACTACAGCAAGAAAACTCACCGGGCACTGCATACATCTGTTGGAAGGAATGCATCAGGCAAAGTGACTTTAGATGAATCAGTGTGATTTACAAACTTGTTGGCAAAGAGAACGTCATAATCCACACAGTTAGCTAAGAACACTGTGAAGCCAACCACAAACAGCAGCTGACTGCACAGATCGGGGCAGAGAGAGGGAGAAAACAGAAAGGAATGAAACCATCACGCCATACAAGTAAGAGATTTAACTTCACAGATGTAAGTTAAATGAGCTACCAAAATTCTAAAAAATATCGCATTCATGGAGGGTGAGATACATACATCAGTTCAAAGATCTCTCCCATCAGCATGCAGGTGAATCCATTTTTCTGGTGAAGATTATAAACGTGATGCATATTAAGGAAAACTATTCCTGCATATGAGGTTAGACAATACTGTTTTAATTTAATAAACTTTAAAATGATTGATGATGCAACTCAGTAAACAAACCCTCTGCACACAATGTAAAGTGTAAAGGTTCAACTAATAAAAGGATATCCTCTGGAAAAACAGGTCCAGATTCTCTATGTGGTGCCACTGAGCTGCAAAAGATTAAATTCAAATGAGTACAGATGTTGTCAGGCAGCATGTGGGTGTGTTTAAGTCTCTGTTTTGTTTGTGATTTGTGTGTGCATCATACATTTGGCTCCTTCAGCCACATGCATCAACAGGTTCTCCTCTCCCGGGGGAGAGTCGCTGTAGGACGCTTCTAGGCGCTGGTACTCTGTGTCAATGTGTGCCATAGTGACAGCAGCTTCACAGTCTCACAGAGCAGCCACTGCTACAGACTGGGGAGGCAAGTACAAGGAGGTACAAAAACATGAAGAGAAAAAGAAAATGAAGACACGGCATTCACTTAGCTGACCAGAATCAGCCTATACATGTTAACTTTGGTTTTATAGGGTTAGTTCTGTTGATAAATGCTATGTGTCCAGGCCCTGTCAGAGAAGTGAACAGTCTGTATTAGCATCCGAGAAGTAACACCCTGCAATGAGATTGATGCTGGCTATTTAGGCATCCACTACAAAGTGCACATTCCTTATTGAATACTCAAACCAGCACATACTCAGTGACTAATATCAACTAAACAAAGGGACCCTGAAACTTTATTGAAGGAGTTTTGTCAATGCCTGCTCATTTGTATACAGTTATAAAATTCCTCTGAAAAAGTTTCTTAGCTAATAATAATACATTAAGAAGTAGACAAACAGATCAAAGGCATACTCTATTGACTTAAAGCGGATTAAACAAGTCTTAAGATACATACATTTTACCCCTCATTAATCTAAGGATCTATCCTTTAAACAGACTACAGCAGAAATACAGACTTACATCATTTTTGTACTTTGCATCTCATGCACCTCCGGTGGCTGCTCAGTACTTCCAGCTGCAAGAACATGAAAAGAAAAAGGAACATCTATTTTTCTCGCTGTGTTTTCTGATATAAACAGTGTCGAATTGGGAACTGTTTTACTTCAGAGGCAACAAACACAAACAGAAGAGGTCAGAAATAGCTGCATTATGAGTAGTGTTTGTCCAGTTCGCACAGAGCCATTACAGAGCTGATTTAGATGTTTTTGTTGTCATGGTTTGACAGCACAGGCCCGCCCCACTCACCCAAACATGTCAGCTTTTGAATCCATCCGGCATTGAGTCTTAACGGTGTGAGTCTTCTTCTTCCAAACTGTCGTTCTATAACAGCTACTATGCGGGGATTTTTCTTATAACTGATTTATTTTCGTTTTCCCAGGCCCTCCTGTCGAAGTCTGGCACGCACCAGTTTCATTTTCGAAACAGCTAGCAATGTGACGTATGTCACGGCTGATGGACAGAAACCTAAACAAATCAGAAAGGGAGTTTACTGTGGATGAAAGTAATAGCCAATCAGATTCGAACAAGGGCGGGACCCTAAATGGGTGCTGTGTAAATAACACGCCCTGTTATGAACGCCTCTCCTATTTTTTAACGAATGTTTACTACCATCTAGTGGCCATTTTCATTACTACAATAATTTCAGTGGAGTTGTTCATACAAGAAAGTCAGAAAGCGATTCGATTATTAATTATTCCGTTGAATCTTTCCTTATGGTGGAAGGGGGTTGCTTCGTGATGATCGTTTTCTCTTGAAGTCTTGAAAGCTATTCTCCTTGCAGTTTGTGAGGCAGCAGAGACAGGACTTTGGAATGTTTATCCTAGAAACTCTCCAGATAATATAGTGGTTAGGCATATAACGGCAATAAAAGCAACTCCTCAAAAATTCTTTGTACAGCACCGAGTCATGGTACCAGGAGATTTTAACGTTTTGAGGTGATATTGCAAGAATAAGAGAGATGTCACCATGATCAATGTGTAATCTTTGAGGTCTGGTCGAGCTGATTAACACACACCTGAACAAATGAGTAGACTGGAGAACCAACACTGGAACGAGGCATAGTAGATTGATTTGCATTCCTTGTTATGGTTAACAAATACCTCTGAATTAAGATTTAGTTTACCATATGTTAAATTAATGATAAATAATGCGCTGAAAAATTAACGGTACATTTAAAAATTGAGAATGAGAAATGTTTGGTCCCTTGAAATAAAACATCTTGTGTTTGAAACAAAAGGATTTTAAAAAATCTGACAGAACCACATGTTTTTTTTTTAAGGAATAAAGAGGAGAAATGCTCATCGTATTTAAATGAGTATACAGTCAATGAGGTGCAGGAGCTGACTCCACAGTACCAAGATGATGCTTTGCAAAGCCAAGCTCACCTTCTGTCGCTCCCAGCCTTGATGAATATTCATATTTGATTGTTAAGCCTCGGGAGTGACAGCTGTGCTTTTGTCCACCACGCCACCGTGTTGCTCCCCTGTTAACATCAGTGAGACTGTGTGGTTTTTTACCATTTGGAATCAAACCTGGTAACCTCATAAAGCAGTCTCCCACACCACCCATCACAAAAATACAGACATCACTGTTTCAGTTTTTTAGCCATTTCAACCATCTTAGCTGTATTTTCAGAAATGTTATGTCCAATTGAAAGACACTCAAAGGAGCACGGGTGTCTTGAGTTTCGAGTGTCCCATTATTCCTGTGATCTGGGTATTATAATGATCTGGGTAATTTAATCTCTCCTGATTAGGATTAGGCTTCATTCAACTAAATCCACTGAACAAAGCTTGTCACATCAACACATTAGCTGATAACCCACAAACAGTAACTGAGATTCAAAAGTACAAACATTGTGTTCATGAGCATCACTGTGCCTAACTCGCCAATCTTTTCTCTTTGATATTAATGTTTTAGTAATATTAAAGATGAGGCAGATGATCCGGGTTAAATTATGTCATTACACAATTTGGATGACTCAGCATTTGTTCTTCTACTTTTTCTAATCACAGAATATTTGTAATAAAAGCAGTGTGGATGAATGTGCATGTATATGCCTGTAAGCATGTGTTCTCCGCTGCAGGCAATAACTGACCGATTGAATTACCCCCCATTCCCTGATGGGAATTACAGGGGTTGCACTGCCAGCTAATTTCATTCAAAGACAGTCGTGGTGCTGTGCAACCCCGTGGGTGGTGGAGGGGCTAGCAAGGGTGGGGGCAGGGTGTGGCAAGTGGGGGTGTTAGTGCAGGGGTCTGAGTGGGGGGACAGATAAGAGAATCGAGATGAAGTCATCTCCCTGGAGCAGTTTAATCAGATTGAGTTCATTCCTGTAATGTAACCTTGCATTTAAATCTAGCACAGCAGGTAAAAAATGTTCACGCACAGGAAGACAATTCACATGACCCATATATGTGACTCGTTCTGAATCTCAAATATAGTGTCTGGGCGTCATCTACCTTTATCTCTGTAAATATCACGGATATTGAAATATACTGAAAAAAGAATTTTGTGCACACACATGTAGAGTGGGATGACTAATGGTTTATTTAAAAAATAATTTCAGTGTGTCATTTTTTTGCTCTTTAATAAACCCATAATACAATTTCAGGTGTGAGAAGACTTTCCTGGGAAAAACAAGGCAAACAAACTACTCAAACATGGCATTAAGATTTAGTCACTTATTTCTGTTGGCCATCAATCTACATAACTAGCTTTGTGACAAAGTTTGGGGATGAAGGTAAAAGGTTTTCGACTTGGTGAATTGTATCTATTACTTTATCTGAACCACTGTCTTCCCTTATTTGATTTAACAAATGCGTACACACATGTACAGGAAGAGAAAAAGAGAGATTGGATCAGTTCAATATTAATTTCCTGTCTGTTTTCAGTGGGTTAGGCTTAGGGTTAGCAGGTAGAAGAGGCGATATTAGTGTCTTAGGTCTGCTGTATTTGATAGTGGCAGTTACATACTGCTCTTCCTGCTAATAGTATTCCATTTTGAACAGCTGCCCTTTTCCAAAAGCAAGCCCCAAAACAGTTTCATCTAAATTGTGTTTCTCTCTCTAAGTCCTTCTGCTTCAAACATCCAGAGCCACAAACTGCCTGAGCCAGTTGAGGGAAGGTTGCCATGTAACATATCAAAGACCAAAATTCTGGTCCAAGTTTCATCAACAGCTGTGATGCCCAGCAATTGGACATGTTCAGCGCGGTTTCCCCGGTGATGAACACGGTGTCAAACAGCTGTGCATCACAGGCAGCTTTCCTAGTCGTTTAAATGACCGACTCTAATGTTTCAGGGGAATGTTACTGTCTCCCCTTGATCTCGTAGCAGAGCGCACTTATTGTCTATCATCCCATGCATCAGATGAATGAATTTACAAAACACTAACCAAAAAGTTGACTCTCTGTGTCTATAAGATTAGCAGTGGATAAAAATTCCAGCATTATAATCGTCCAGAGCTAGAATTGGTTCTAAAGAAGAAAAAGAGTACACATTTAAACAAAGATCACATAACATGCCTAGTGTATTAAAAGAAAAAAAACAGTACAACTTCAAACTATGAGTTGAGAACATAAACTGAACAATGTCCTTTTTAATCTCTGAAATTCAATTGACAGACAGTGGTTAAAACTGAAAATGACTACGTTTATTGCTCTTTTTTGTTTTTAGTTGTCCATGCATGAAAAGTTGTTTGCCGAGAACTAAGTTTAGCCCGAAGGCCTCTCGTTACATTGTTCCACTTTAGCACCTAACAAAGTATGGTTAATGATAAATCTGGGCATTTGACTCTAAGCATCTCTTTGATTCAGGGTGTCTCCTCGGGCTCTTACAGATGTGTCTGGAGTGAAACAGAAGAGGGTCACATAGGAGGACAGCCTGGAACAGACAGAGGGTAATAAATGAAAGGGGATTTATGGAAGCTCTGGTCGTAAACACAATTGGCTGTGACATTGTGAGGGATGTCTTTTAGCACACGCAACATATGTCATGCACTCACATATACATACTCACACCCCTAACACATATGTACTGCCTGCTATGCTTTGTCTTAACTGTATCATTTGTCCCTCTTTAGAAATATACATAAAGATGAAGGCTCAGCATCACGAATGGGGAAGCTGGCTCGGAGCTGTTCAGTAATCTGTACCAAAGAACCTAATGATCATCCGTCCACAGCACCAACCAACACATACACTCAGGGTGAGGAGAAGTAGACATTGAGGGGAATGGTGGAGGTGAGGCCAGATGAGTAAGCAGCGTCCTGTTTCTTCTGACTAAACCACTACGCTAGGGGTCATACAGGCCCCTTGTTGTCATGGTAATGAGAAGTACAGGTTCTCTGTGTCGTTCAGTGTGCATGTTAGAAGAGACATTTGTTATGCTGGTAGCTTTCAGGCACGTGACCATGGAAAGCAAAGATTTTTAGTTTTGTTTTGTGGGAGAATAGAAGTCACTTAAAAAAAACAAGAGGAAAATAATCAGTGACCCTAAGAGCAGGATTTGGCTAAAGAAATTTGTCGCTGCAGGGCATTTTATCAACTGAAACAGCTGGAATTTCTGTCAAATTTTTTGGAAACAAATGGTTTTATGCACCTGAATGTCAAATAAAAACATTTCCCCATCACACTCTTCTTTCAACAAATATTGAAATTGATAGCCAATGCTTTTGGCAATAGCCAATACCCATTTTTAACTATGAGTAATAAAGATTGTCATTACAGATGCTACTTTCATAGCTCTCGAAAGCACAGTCCGGCTAATGTGGACTTACTGGCCGCATACCCTGTTTCACCACTCCAGTGTCCAGCATGTCTCAGGTTCCCTGTATTCTGTGAACCCCAGTGGCCTGTGCTGCTGCCATGCACTTTACTGGTTCCACATAAAGTCTACTTCACATTCATTGTTGGAAGGTTAAAATCAGGTTTCCTGCACGTTGGACTATGTGTCCACACACACGCACACAGACAAATACGTGCACTTCCAACTAAGCAAGCACCCCGATGTTAGATCCAGTATTTAACTGGGATAAAAAGTGGCCATGAAGAAATACTTCCAAGAATAAGGCTCTCATCCCCCCTTTCCTTTACCTCCAGGGCTCCGGAGGGATCAGGCTAGGCATCATAATACTCAACCCCATAGAGACTTTAGACCGTTGGCTTTCCTGATGGCAGCACCTGGCCCTGACAGCCTGCTCCAGTCAAAAGAAGAATTAAACCACACAAGCTCTGCGTCGCAGGGATCAGCTGCTCTCTGTTTCCAGTTCAGTCTTACAAAAATATTGTCTGTTGGAACACAGTGTTATTGTTTATGATTAACGTTACTGCTGTGATCTTGCATGCATAAAGACATTTTTCACCCAAAGGGGACTTTGGCTAATTATTTAACGAGCTGCTTAAAATAAGTTTGCTCTTATCACTTTTTTTCTTTGCCTGTCTAATTTTGAGGAGGCACCGGTGTTAATGACTGAAACAACTGCTGCCCTATTGCTGATTTACACATTAACTTCCAGGATGGCTTCTTCCTGCATATTCATCAATTCAATTTCATCTTCTTTGAAAACATAACAACACAACACAGCACAATAACAAAAAACTAAGGCATCTGGAAATAAACAGGCACTTTTAAACAAGGTTTAATCATTTGTTAGTATCTATTAATTACAAATAAATTACCCCTTTCAGGGATATGAATATGAACTGTTTTATTTTTCAACACAAGATGCTCTACTGTACCAAGAACTGGCAAATTTCCAGATATTTGAACAATAAATGCAGCTTGGCTAAAAAGAAATATTGCTTTGAAATCAAATGAAGTTCTGACTACTGTATGGTGTGAAATAAGACGACCAGGTTCCTTGCACAACTTTTGCTCGTTCGTTCAGTTTTTGTGTTTATTGCAAGAGCTTCCTGACTTTTTAAAGAAGCCATAATAAGGATGGTGCGACTCTTATCTGTTTTATTTCAAGCCCAACACCAGTGATTCGGCCACATTGGATCGCAGTTTGGGTATTTTTCCCCTGCTCTGACCTACCAAACAAGGATACTAAGTATCTTTGTAGTGGGATGGAAGAGAGGAAAAACTGCCGTTGAACAACGCGGTGAAGCTACAGCTCTTGTGCATGTTCCTGTACTGAAGGAAGCTGTGTGTGCGCCGCCCCGTCTGTGTGAGCAGCGTAAAGCGTAAAGCGGGTTGTGCCGCGGACTGGTCCGCTGTCAGCAGACTCACACATATGCACACACCCAAACACACGCGCACACTGGGTCATTCAAACGAGGCAGACCTGAAAAAAAAAGAAGGGGGGCTCTTTAATTGGAATTTTTCCGACGGATCCCTGGCGAGGACATTTTCAATTTTTCATCACAGCCTCTCTCTCTGGATTCTCTTCATGTGCTTTTTCTTTGCGCATAGCGCCCGAGCGCTGATGAGGTGTGTTTGAGCCACTGGGCCATTTGGGGGATTGGAAATTGACGTTTGTTGAATGGGAAACGGGAACACGGAGCCACCGTCAGCTCTCCCACCACGACCAGCAGGCGCACCTTTCCACTGTTGAGATTCGCTCACCTGAGACCGGAGCCGGTGTGCGCGCTCCGCCGGGCCGAGCGCGCTTCGTCTGGGAGGAACGGGCAGCATGGAGTCATTTTTTACGGAGGTAAGCCATTCATGTGATGTGTCGATGTAACGGAGCTAAACGCTGATGTCAGATTAGGCGTTCGTGGCACGAGAAAGCCTGAACTGGCGCTCGTCCACACCGCAATAGGCTTTTACGATTTATCGTTTCGATGCACGTCATGGCAGGTGTTGATGGACCACCGTCGGCATCACACCGTTTCCGACACGCCAAAAAGCGGCCTGGTTTGATTTAATGTGCATACGTGTATCGATTATACATATAAACCCCCGTTCATTCCATTATCACTGCAGAGCATCAGGGCCTGGCTCGGTGGATTAATTCAGAGCAGAGCCGCAGAAAAATTGGCCAAACGAGGGCTGACACGGGCTTTTGCATCCATAAGGCTGGCTTTCGGATTAAAGCCAATCTGCTATGGGAGGGTAGGCAGTGATGGCCTCCAGCAACAACCCTCCCACACCATACTGCTGTGGAGAGACCCTTTCCTCCGACTGTATATCCCTATGAGTGGGATGGAGAAGGGGATCCAGGGGTTTGTATTCTGGGCGATACAGGAGAGTGAAGAAGGACAGAGAGTGGTTCCTTGTTGAGGGAGGAGGAGCAGGATGAGAAATATTTGTGTGTAGACTCAGCATGTGAGTCAATAGGGGAAAAATCAACAACTGGTAAAATTAATCCAGCTAACATTGCCAGGCCGTTTGAGAAAATCTGGTATTTTTTAAATCTAATCCAGAGTAGTGGGGATGTATGGTTTCAATTTTGCACCTCTCATTTGATTCAAGCCTCTTACTTTGAACCTCTTGCTCCATTTTTGTTCCACATTCGCCACAAACAGTCTTTTGAAACAGTCTTCTCCTCTGACTTTGATGCCAATATCTTCCCTTTCCAAACTACTTATCCTCCCCCATCTTTAGTTAATCTGATATGGGTTTAAATGCCTTTCACATTGACAGTGATGTCATTTATCAGTGTGTGCAGTGGTTGTGAGGATCTATGTGAGAATGAAAAGCTCACAGGGGTCACTGCTCTTTATTTGAGGCCCTACTTTGCAGCATAACTCACCATAAAGATTTTTGATAATCAGAATATACAGCAAAATTTACCAACCACCTTTCCTGCTTCATTTCCCATCAGACTGTCTGTAATTCATTGATTAGAGTATTGATTCACAGACCCCTGTATGAGCAACCCCACAGCACCACACAGCACACACTGAAAGCCTCAGTGAGATCTGAAAATGGAGTGATTTATTGAGTTATGATGCTCAGGCCCGCTGCCCTGCATAGACTGCATATTTGATACCCAGAAGCTTGACTCCATCCAGTGTAGCCCAGAGTGATCAGTCCTCCTGGGACATATCTGTCCACTATCTACTTAGTTTCATTCCTCCACTGAGTTCATCCCTCCGCTCCCCAGTCTTGCAGCCCTTACTGCAAGCATCTGGTTACTAAGGGAACGTCCGGGGATAGATACCCCTTGACTTTCCCCCTAAAAACCAGATAGAGAGAACAGCTGACTCCTCCTGCCGTGGCTCTCTCAACCCAGGCAGAAAATGTGATAGCTGGCTGATCGGCCAAGCATGAAATGTCATGTGGCTTCAGACTACTGTATGAAACACACATATATCATATTTGCTTGAATAGCAATAAAATATGGCAGGTTTAGTGAGAGTATTTACAAACAAGAATCCAAAACTTTGAGTATAACAGTCAAACAGCAAAGGAAAGAGGCAACGGATTCAACTATGATGAAAAGTTAAGGGGGCATTGACAGTGTTGTGTTGTGACGTTATGTGAACCAGTCATAAACTTCCCGAAGATATCTTGGTTTTTTCCACTAAAAGAAAGACTTAACAAAACTGACACAACTGAGTTGTGACACGACTGGAACGATCCTGCATTCATCCGAAAGATCAGATATTAACACCAATGTACAGTCTACAAATATAGAAACATATTCTCAGTATCATCAGGATTTGCATAAGACCAACCAACATTTTGTAATTCAGGAAAATTGTGTTTAACGTTTAATCTTGACCATTTATTGGTTACTGATTTTTATTTTAACCAGAAGTAATAACCAGGGAAAGAAAGAAAGAAAAACCTTATTTTTGTGCCTGCCTGATTGCATTTAAGCTGATGGTCCAAGCTGTTTCCTCTCTATCTGACTTTCTCCTTTAAGTCGGTGAAACCGAACAAGCTGTAAATCTATTTACCCCTGAGCATTCAGCCACTACTGTACTATGCAGCCACAGCGTGGATAGCTGTTGAGCATCAAAAGCCTTTTCTTGCTGGGACTGAGGGTCGTTGCAAATAGCATGATTTATTTATTTTGATGCACACAAAACTGTTGGATATGTAATTAGTGAAACATTCATCCAAACTGACCAGAAAAAATCACTGTTATCTTTCGCGGTTGGATTTCGCAGTGTTTTAAACTGCAACAAAAAAAAAAGGCAGCCCTTTCTCTTATTTTGTGCAATTTAGCAGGGCCAGTGTTCACGCCTTGCGCCCCAGATTATGTAGTGTCTCATATAAACCACATTCTGCGTGGAAGGTGGTTCAGTGGAGGTAAGGAAGCAGTCACAGAAGATGTTTGACCTATATTCAGCTGCTCCAAACACATTTGCTCTGCTCAGGAGCTGCATCAGCTCCCCCTCTCTCTTTTCCTTTCCTTCTGATGCTCTGCCTGCAGCCACTCTCTTGGTGCAACTCCATCTCGCTCTCCCTCCCCCTTGTGGCAGCTCTATGTTTTATGTTTCCTTTTTTCCCCCTGTTTTTTAATTGCAGCTCAACCTCAGTCAAATCACATTAAAACCATTTAGCTGCGACTGAAGCATCTCTCAGAATCCATCTAGTCTCTTTAAAAGAGTTTGCACTGTGGCTAAATGGCCAACCACCGAATGAGAATTGCAATATTTATAATGATATGAATGGTCTCTTTTAAAAAGATCATGCTGCCAGAGCGTGTGTACGGCATCATATACATACATAAAATAAAAAAGCAAATAAATAAAAAAGCAAAGCACTTACATTTTATTCCTTCAATCCTTAGAAGAGGGCACTTTGGTCCCATTGTCCTAATGTCCTACCAAAATCCTTATTTATTATTATGAATAATGAAAGTAACTATACAATAAGGGATGCAATAACTTTAATATCTTTATATTTTTCTTTAATTATTTTAGTAAATGCACCAACACAGCTGCTTTGAAGGTGTGATGTACTGTGATATCCTTCTGCTTTCAAACCTTTGAAGTGTTCACTTTATGTCCTGAAAGACTGCACAGATGGATGCTTTAATTTCCATTCTGAAAACAAATGATACTTGCCAAATACCTTGCAGTGCATGCATGCGCTATGTTTTAGGAGCTTATAAAGGTTAACAAAGACTGAAATGTCCACCATTCACAATGGATCTAATAAATTAGTGTTATTATCATCTTTAGTTAGAGATGTTTAGTCATTTTGTTCAAGTCATTTTTTGGAGGAAATGACAAAACATAACATTGTTAATGAAATGAGATAGAATGATCCTAGAGATATTTTTTTTGCACATTCTTTATGCTACAGCACAAATTCCAAGCATCCACTAGTACTTAGATGAGAAAAGCTGTTTCCATGGTGTCCTGTCTCCACACTGTTACTGAGGAGTCCTGTTGCCAGGGTGTAAGTGGGGGGGGTGTGACGGTATTTTAATCAAAGATAACCGAGAGTGCAATACTAAGCTAAGTTTTCCAACAGGATGTGTACAGTATAAACAATAAACACCAAGAAAGTACAGTTAACAGCTGATATTATTCCCTGCTGTGAATTTGGTTGTAGCTTTTCACCCTCTTTGAAAAAAGTATGGTTTGAATCATTCATGTGTTTATTTTGCAATTCAGCACAGGATAAAAGATCAAGTATTAAATTCGTAAATCAGCCAAAAGAGCAGCACAATACATTATGTATGAGCTTCAACTTCATGTGTATAGAACAAGCTCTCTCTCTCTTGCATGGCTGGACTGATCTCTGCATTTGTGTGCCAAATTAGTCATATGTTCAGACATGAAAGTAAAAGAGGGGGCATTTTGATGGTTTAAAACTAGTAAGAATTGTTATCTGTGTTTTTAAGTCACAGTGAAGTAAAAAGTTATGTTTTGAATGGATGTTCGACATAAACCATTCAAAGTTGGTGTGAAAGGAGACAACTGAATGATGTTGTGATGTCATGAATATTTCTCTGAATATTTTGTGTCTTCATGCTACTCTGTCTGAACCAGGAAATGTGCATGGCCATCTTGCTAAAGATGGAATTGGATTAAGTAGGTATTGAAAGTAGATTCATCTATGGATACCGTCTGGATTTTGGACCATTTTGTGTGTACTTTTATATAAATAAACTGAGATCGTACATTGGATTGCTCTCTCAGTAATTGTCAAAAACTGCACCATAATCTCTTTTAGTGACAGATGTGACTTATATATAGGCAGGTGACAGCCACCCACGCAAGCCCACACACATAAACATCTGTCGCTCTCCTCCCAGCTGCCATAATCTGCTTAAATCCACACTGTCCTGATTGTATTATCACCTTTAATGGAATATTGCTGACACAGTTTAGGTCTCTTTGGTCACAGCAACACAGAGGTGAGTGACATGCCAGGAAAGACCAGGAAGCTCTATTGCTGCCCAGAAAAGGTTTAGTCTCAGTTTGACCTCATACCTGAGATGCCAGGTAAAGCTATTTTTCAGAACTCTCCCTCGAAAAGGTTAAGAGAAGACAGCAGCTAAACTTTGTACAAAAAGTGTGCAATGGCATCCAATTGAATTTCTTTCCTTATTTCTCCTATATTACTGTTATAATTAAGGGGACCTTTCCACATGCACTGTTCCCTTTTGTAACGGGTTATAATTGGTCCGTGACTATTGAATACACAGTTTAAGGATCCTGAGGTGCGTACACAGTCTGGTTGTATGTTAAAAGGAGGCCTCATCAGTATTCCCCCTGTCGTGTTGTGAGCATCTACAAAAGGGAGGGCTCTTCGTCAGAGGCTGCCCTCAGGGAGATGCGCAATCAAATTGTACAAAGGTCCATCCAATTGCCTGGGCTGAAACAATTACTTTATCACACAAATACGTGTTTACTTTATTTTGCATGCTCAGTAATGAAATATTATAAGATGGTCAGAGTTTTTGTCGTACTTCTCCCATTTTTTGGTCTTGGAATAAATAAACTCTCTGCTCTCTATTTTGCAATTCAAAAACCTAGTTAATAAAGCAGTGTCAACAACTGCTTATCTGCCACAAATTTTATTTCAAGAGCGACTAAAAGATGCATTAGTCCATACACAGTAGAGCTTTCCGTTAGTGCTTGTACTTTGTTAAAAACAGGTCACTGGAGGGTTTCTTGTCATAAAGGGATGTTGTTTTGATGCTTTGATATCAAGGATCAAATGGCATTGATGTCTGCAGGCCTGCTAACTTAGTATAATTAGATACTACATAAGGGGCAGGTATGATCAAAATGGATAACGCTAAATTCAACATGTGCTTTATTGCTTATTTTCTCCCCCTTTTTTGGTTGTGATCAAATATACCCTTTATTGGCAACAAATGACGCTTTCCCAAAATTCCTTTCAGCCAGCCATTAAATGCAGAAGGTTTGACCCCTTTATTAACTGCAAATAATGTCTCTTCACAATCTTACTAAATTGTGTTTACTGAACTTTTAGATGACGCTTAAGCTTTACATGTTTAAAATAGGATCAAAATTCATGTCTCGTCGTTAAAGGAAAAGGGATAAGAGGTTCTTAAGTAGATTACGTTTTTTTTTCAGTGTGGCTGAATCTTGAAAATGATTCTCAAATTAAATGAATACCAGATCTGCTTCCAGCTTAAAGAAGGGTTGTTTATACCATCGGTCATAACAATGACCAATATATTCTATTCTTAATTGTATCACTATATTTGGAGTCCAACTTAACCACCATAACTAGCACAAAATAAATCATCCCTACAGCACAATATTGTGGCACTCTTTCAACACTGGAGATCAGGGGTCATGTTTGAGGTGAGAGACACAATGAGGTTGAGCCAGACTTAATAGAGCTTGAAAAGGAGATAGATGGAGCTGGAGGCTCGACTTTAATTCTTTGTGTATAAATATATATCACAGTATATATCACAGAATGTAGAAACAATTGGGAAACAGAGTGCAGGAGATGGTGTTTTAGCTGCAGACTTGAAGGCACCCGAAGGATGGGAGTTTGTTTAAATGCATGACCATTCCTGTCTGTCTGGGTCTGTAATAAAAGGGGGAAGGGAGAAGGACACCAAGAGGAGGAGAGGATGGCTGTAAGTGTAATGGTGTGTTTTTTTTTTTTTTTACTAGTGGCAGGTCATTTATAACCCTCGTCCCCCCTCCCTTCACTGTGGTGAACATCAGTCTAGGAATGGAGACCAGTTTCTCTACAGAGGAGATAGACAGAGCGAGATGAAAAGCAGAAACATGTTGTGAACTATGGAGTACGGAGAACCCATGTCTTTATTTACTTATTTGTTTGTTTATCCGAGGTAAATTTATCAGTTCAAGTAAGATGTGGTGAAGTACTGGGGAACTGTGAATAACAGGCTTCAGGCTGGAGAGATCATCAGGTCTCTATCGCTACCCAGAGGTTCTGGGAATGTAAAAACTGGTTGCTTATGGCTTACTGTTTGATCCAGAAGAGGTTTTAACAGAGGAGGGGTGTGTCCAAGATTCAGGATTTCGTAATGTAAGACAATTTGGCAATGGCAGGAACTCTTGCAGGTCTTTATAAAGCAGCTTCACATCTGTGCAGATGGAAGGCAGGTGTTTAAGCAGGGGCATGCAGACTCTGCCCGGGACCTTTCAGATGCCTGCTCTGCTCTACCTGGAACTCAAAGTACAAACAAACACCACATCCAACGCACTTATGACAATATGTCTCTGCTTTGCCGTAGCAGGGTGATTGTATTACACAAGAAAAGTTCAATAACATGAGTCATGTATGAAGCCACCTCTACACTCTTTGTGTGGTTAGACTGGCAGAGTACTGTGGCAGCAAGAGAAAGACATGTTCAATATTAGATGGGTGGTCATAAAGTTGTGGCTGTTTACCGTAAAGTAATTTATGACATACAGTCAATAAGTAATACAGTTCAAGTAAATTGAGAGGCTACAGTCAGAGCTATAGTTGTTAATGAATACATATATGTGAATGCAGCAGATTTTAGCAGCAGGGCACAGTAAGAACTTAGACTTAACACACATTTAGTTATTTGAAGGTTATTGACTATAAATATACTCCTTGTAAATAGTATGTGACCTGTGATGAATATCACAACGAATGATACAGCAGCATATTATACTCTAAAGTGGTCCCCTGGTATATTTCACAGTACTTCAGTGGTGAATATCTTTTTTGCCTCCTTTTCTTGTCCCTACTCCTTTATGCTGTGCTCCTTTTTAGGGTTTTTAGGTCAAAGATCAATGACTTTCCGAGATAAATCTCTGTCTGTGCGAAGAGTCTGGAAAGCATATACTTCCTTACACCTACTCGATAAAATACAGTGACTTCAGCAGAAGTTAGTCTTTCATTTGTCCACCTTTATATTTACCTACTCTTACTCATTACTTCCTATATTAAAATGACTATTTGGTAGTGTTATCAATCAAAGAAACTGCAACATATCAGGGACTGTGTCAGCATTTAAACAATGGTACTATCCAGGTTACTGCTCCCACCTTTCAAAGTTTGTTTTGACGAGGGTTTGCTACTCTTAACTTTGACTAAATTTAAGTCTTCCTTTTGTGTAACTACTGTGTTTGTGTGTGTGTTTGTTGGATCCAGGGGGCCCGGGTCTGGGTCAGAGAGAAGGAGCAACTGTTTCCTGCCACCGTAAACTCCTGTGGAGATGGAACTCTTGTGGTTACAACTGATTATGGAGAGGTGAGTAAAGTAGGTAAAAAAGAAATCTGCAAACAAACATGCAAGCTATGACAAAGATGTCCAAAGATGGCTGTTCAAATTGGAAAACATTCTCTTAATATAAAAATGGGATAGTCAGCATCTCATGATGAGGCTGGTGTACAGTGTAAACTGCTTTCTGATGTTTAAGAGCACATGATTTGCCATCTGCATTTTTTAGTCACACAACGGTCAGTGTGATGGTAAAGCAGCTGCACAGGTTCATGCTCTCCTGTGCAGATCAATAGAAACTTGTGGCCATGATGCTCCAATTTGCTGCTCCAGTTCCTTCTTTTTCCTTCTTCTCCTCTTTATCCTCATACATATTCAAAATTCTTCCCTGACATAGATTCAGTACTCAGAGGAGAGCTAGAGTCAGTGGAAAGTGTTGTGAACAAAAACACATGTTTTTTTTTGTTAGATGTAAGACAGTGTTACCTGTAATGGTCAAATCCCAGAGGCTGTGCCAAGCATAGCTTTTCAACACCACTGGCACAATAGTTGAATTTAATGTTTAAAATCTCAGAAATGTCTGTATGTGTGCTCATACCATTTGAAATATTGTGCAGAGACACGCACACATTGCTCTTTGGATTTATTTACTTTTTTTATATGCCATATGTATTTGGCACACGCATGCCCATGCGCTCTAGTTGGCAGCTTTTAAAGAAAGAGCTAAGAATAGACTTGGCTGTTTTGCTAGAATTCAATAGTCTCAGTTTTTCCTTTATACCCTCAAAGAAAATCTGGACTCTCTTTCAATGACATGCAGTGAATTCATGATGTTGTGGCCTTTTAGGTCTAAACTGCCTAAATTCTGTTCTAAAAGCTCCCCCTCCCTCTTGTTGCAGCTGCCACAGTGTTCCTGTTTGACTAAATAACAGGGATGGCAGGCATTTCCCAAAATAGAGGTTACAGGAGCAGGCATTCTATTTGCTCTGGATTATGAGCAGCTTCCCAACCCCCATCCTGCTCTGCCTCTTCCTCCCTGTGCTTCCTCTGCTATCTGATGGTGTTTAAATGTTAGCGCTGCAGAAGGTGGTGAATATTTGATGGGAAATCAGCAGGATGGGGGGACTATATGCTGTTGTAACAGGATCAGACCAATGCAGTCCCAGGCTACCCATCCATCCCTGCTGCTCTGCTTATGTTCTCCTGCATGGTCAGAAATGCATGACCACTGAGTCCCACGGATGCTGGGGGCATTTTTGATACTGAAGAGTAAAACTGTGAACTATGTATTGCGACTGCAATTGGTTGCTTTGGGGATTTTGTTCATTTTCCTCCCTATTCTCTCTTACCTTTTCCATTGCTCGGTCACCATGGTTCTGTAAAGTAGTGACATTGACCCAGTTGAACACATCACAGATTTCTGTTCATATGTAGCTCGTGAAGACAAATTTTGTGTATGTTTGTGAGCCATCCAGGACCTTTTCAAAGTGACTGATTTCAGTGGGACGTATGCTTCGAGTGCCCAACAAGGATTGTGGGTTTTAGTGTGGGTGTTGAGTTAATGCAGGAAAGTGGGTCAGTTGTTAGAACATGTTTTTTGAAGTACAGATTTTATTTCAAACTTTGGTGTTTTCTTTGTTGATGAAGACGTTAAAATAATTGATTATCACACACAAACCTTTATGGGATTGTAGTTCCAATGTTTAAAATGGGCTCACCACTGATTTCCTTTTAGTAATGATTAGAGAAGAGCTGTCAAGAAAACTGTTCAGCTGCTCATAGTTGTAGTATCATTCTTTATGTCATTACCTAAAATCTGTGACCATGAGGGAAGGTCAAAAGGGAAATTTTACTGGAGAGGCAAGATCTAAAACAGTGTCTCTTGGTTTACAAAATCCCACAAGTGGAAACATGTCAGCCTTGGACCAAGACTGTAGCTTTTGTACCTTAAAGCAGAGTATTATTAGACCAAATCAGATTAGTGAAAAAATTAATGAACTGGTGGTGAAATTGGGTCAGGACAGGACAGTAGATAAAGATAGAGCAGATAATACTCTAGCTAAAATTAAAGCACACAAGATTACAGTTAATTATTTGCTTTTACAAAAGAATGTTTGTTAAATTGGACCTTATTATAACCAGTTAACAACCACAACATTTTTTGTCTGCATACTTCTTCTTTTTTTTTTTTGCTAAGACGATTTCTTAACAGCAACATTCTTTTTTTTTTTTAATTATTTTGTTTTATTGTGAAGTATATTTCAAATAAAAATTTTCCCATAAAAATGTGTTTTCCCTACACTTACATGGTATGCACTCGCTTACTCCGACATGCATCCGCACACACTAGTTACATTACCATGAGTTGGCTTTGTTTGACCTGGATTTCAATAGCTAGCGTAAACGCTGCAGCGAGAGCTCACGCAAGCACACAAAATGCTGCAGGGATGCGTTACTCGATGTCTACACTGGCAAAACGTCCACACTCTCAGATGCCCTTTCAATGCACCTAATGCAGAGTCCAGAAGGACATGCTTCGTTGACACAAACTGATGCAGTTGTGTGATCTGTTGACTTGCATTCCTCTTTGCAGCTTCACATCTCTGACCCCCTGGATTTAACTTACTATACATTCATCAAACATGTACATAAAGATACCGGACCACCAAGAAACCATTTGCTTTTCTGTGTTAGTGGTTTCCTTTGTCCCAGAGTAGTTCCTATTATCTGTGTGGAAATGCAGCGATCCCTTTTTGTATTTGGTTGGCAAAAAAAAAAAATGGACGATGACTTATTAAATGTGATACGTAGCCTAGTAATGAATAGGTTCTGAGGGTAATAGGATGTAATCATAGTTCATGCTTGATGTTTGTTTCTTTTTTCTCTTAATCCAGTTTTTTAAACTTGTTAGTCATTAAAGCCTACCAATGGTCCATGAAAAAGCCAGGTTTATCTTCACGTTTCTCCCTTTAAATGGCCCTATGCTTCTGTACTCTGATTTCTGGGATCAGATTACGTCCGTGTTGCCCAGGCCTCATCAGCCACGATAGGAGGCCTGACAGATAGTAACAAGGTCAGACAGGGAGAGCTGCAGGTACGTACAGTACAGAGTGATACTGTAGTTCATTCCGGTGAACAGTATATATAGGTCACTGTGCCCACAGGCCTCGTCTCCCTGTCTCTCTATTTTCTAGCTCTCTGGGCTGCACTCCTCACCGCAGCTGCAGCTAATATGTGAAGTCAGATGAAGAGGCTTGTCTCCCTTGGCCCTGCTCCTGAATCATGCAAAGCAGCTTCAGATATCAGAGAGCTTTGCAGAGAGAGAGAGAGAGAGTGCATGTACTGTATGTGTCTGAGCAAAAGTGTGTCCATACAGCAGGTGGAATGTGAAGCAAGAAGAAAGAAGATATAAGAAATGATGGAGAAAAATCAGACTGAGAGTCTGAATATTTTTGAGAATAAGTTATTTCATTATCTGTCTTATGTGTGAGAAGTTCTTTTGATCATTGTTCAGAAAAAGGAGAGAAAGGTATGATATACCTCAACCTGATCGAAATTTAGACTTAAATTTGGACTATATATCTGGTCTTAATTCTAATAGACATTCCTCTGTATGCAGTTGTAATATGTCACCGTGTATGTGTAGGAGACTGAAATGATAGCTTACAGACGACCTTCAGTGAGTAATGCAAACCTGAAGACAAATCAGAAGTGTTCCACTTTATTCACTCTCTTTCTCTCATTATTCTGTTTTTCTTCTAGCTCGCTCTTGAATAATAAATTATTGAGTTTGAAGCATTCCATTTTAGACTTTCTGTGTTCTCAGACCTATCAAGCGTACATCAACATCACATAGAGAATAGTTTGAGTATTTCTTGAGTTGTTTTTTTCTCTGCTAAAGTGCAGCGAGGAGCTTCACATGAAATGTGTGTTAAAACCCACCAGAGGGCGAATGTGAAAAGACAAAGACTTTTCATCTCACGTTTCAGCTGTATTTAATTTCAGTTACTGACATACAGTACTTTTCCACTTTGTTGGAGCTACTTTCTCATAATTTTATGGCTTATGAATCCTCCCAATACATTTTCTCTTCAGTCTTTACCTGCTTCTTCAGAGGTACACGTTTTAAGAACAGATTTTGATTCAGACGCAATTGCAAGAACCTGAATTGCATCACAGATAATTATGTGTTTTCATCTTGTAGTGGAAAATGTTATCCTATTTGGAAATCTCAATATTCATAGTTTTCTGGTGCTGAAACTGCCGTGTTTTCCACACATACATCTGAGGAAGATCCAACAACTTTGGGACCAGATGAAAAGCTACGCAGTGACCTGCTCTAAAGTGTTTTATTTTTACTTCTGCAACTGGCCAACATCCTCATTAAAAATGAAGAAAAAGTAAAAGCTATGCCCGAGAACTCTGCTACATGAATTGCTTCCTCTCCCCTGGTGCTAGGCATGCCAGTTGTGGAGGCATTCCTTCCTTATCGCCCAGGACACACTTATAAATTCTCAGATTTCAAATATTAGCAGCATTTTATTGATGAAGTCGTGCTCAGATAGACAAAGAAAATGAATAAAAACTCATTAAAGCAAACACTTCATTTAGAAAAAATTAACATCTTGCCATGCAAAAGGTGAAGACAAAAATGAATAAGGACTGAGTTAAATCTCAGTGTATTGTATCATGCTCAGTGAAAAGTGACAATTTAATCTCAGCTGTGTGAGAAAGGTCAGTGACTTCATGGGCTGGGCATCAACATTTGCCTTCGATGTTCAAGATTCCAATACATTTACATTGAGGAACTTGAGGAGGAGCAAGCAAACGGCAACACATTGCACATGTCGGACGTCCACAGCATCATACATCCAGACAGATGGCAAATGAGGATTCTGTGTTGAGCATTTATGCCCTGAGAGAGCTGTCTACATGCAACAACTCAGTGCTGTGCAAGACAGTGCTACTGGAGTGAAATAGATTTATTTGAGAACAGGATGCCTGAGCGCCAACAGCAAACCCTTCTGCCACTCTCAACAGATTCCCACCACATCTGTTCCTGCAGCACACACAACATAGTGAAAGCCGTCTGTGAGATGTTTAATTGAATTAAAATCCCACTATTGTAAGTGCTTTCGTTTCTGTTACACTGATCCATAAAATTTGTCTCCTAGTTGTTTGCATGTCTTTTGAGTCTACACAGTGGAAGCAGACAAAGATTGCAGCTTCCGTAGGTGACCTGAATTCACACTTAGCTGCTTTGACCTGTCAAGTGTTGCCACTTCAAATCAGTTAGCATTCTTGGCTTTTCCCCCCACTCTTGCATTCCCTTCTTTTTATTCCCACAACCTCACTCCACACCCATCTTGTCCCCTACTCTCCAGTTGCCATGGTAGTGAAGGACATATATGAGATGGGGGTCTGAAGCTCTATAATCTTATCATGTTGCATGACAATTAGCCTGTCTGTGCTGGAAATGGAAAGACGTTGCATCCTATTTTCTATGTGGCATGAGCACACTGACTTGCTCATTATTCTGAAAAGGCTAATTTTATCCATCATAAATAGCTTAACACCTAAAAAAACAACAGTTACGGCCTTATTTTACTCAGTAGCACTAAAAGCCAATACAGGAAATGTTTCAGAAATGTAAAAAGCATCTGCAGGCTGATATAAATAAGCGTAAAAAGGGATAAAAATGAACAGTTTTTCCTAACAGTTTAGTGCACGGTTTCTCATGGATTTTAATGAAACATCTTAAAGTCACGATGAATGACGGTCTGTATGTCTCGTTCTGAACAGGTGCTGTACCTACAGCAGGCTGAGGTCACAAGGGAGCGGGTCTACGCTATGCATCAGTCCAGTATTGATGGGGTGGAGGACATGTCTGCGTTGGCTGAGCTGCATGAGGCTGCTATTATGCATAACTTGTACCAACGCTATCAGAAAGATAACATCTATGTAAGTGCATTGAGACTGTCACATGTTTTCGTATGTGTGCATGGCTGTTGGAATGCCCGTGCATTTTCAACTCATCCTTTCACACACACAATGGCTTAAGATCAAATCTGGAACATACAACTGGAGAAATGTTATTGCTTAAAATATAGTAGTTTGAGAAGGGGGAAAAAATCCAAAACAAACCTGGAAACCTGGAAGATTACTGAATGGTCTGCCTTTCATCTAGATGATGAAATATCATGCGGATATCCCATAATCTGATCATAAAATGTCCCATGTGATCCTTTTGTGTGACTGTACCCATGTGCTTGTGTGTTATATGTGTCCTTCTGTGCAGATTTATGTGCACAGTCACTTTGTGCACTGACAAAATAATGTGAGACAATGGAGGTACTGACAGAGCAAGAAATTGTTTTAAAGGAAATTGTATCACCCCTCGACCATCATCACTCTGATTTGACCTCAGCTTTCTGATAAAAAAATCTTGTCACTTTTGCCATCATACAGTATCTCCACCCTGCTGTGGCTGCTCAATCTATTTGCGTGTCAGTCATTCTTTTATTTATGGCAATTTGGAAGAGAACCATAAAAATAATATGTGAACTGAGAAGAAAAGAAAGGAATAAAATTAGCAGATTATTCAAAATATAATAAGATGTCACCTCTTTGCTGATTTCAGACCAATATCGGCAGCATCTTGGCAGCTGTGAATCCATACAAAAAGATCCCAGGTCTGTATGACTTAGAGAGAGTGGACTTATACTCCAAGCACCATCTGGGGGAACTCCCCCCACACATTTTTGCTGTGGCCAATGAATGCTACCGCTGCATCTGGAAACGCCATGACAGCCAATGTATCCTTATCAGGTGAGTTTAGAATTCAGAATAATAATGGACAGAATTTTAGTTTTACTATTCCCTTGTCTGTTTCACTGAGAGAGACTGGGAGTTAATGAAATATCTCACCTCACTATCAATTTAGTTAGCCGGACCAGTCTAAGACATTGAAATGTCAGAGAAGGTCAGTGTGCCTGCCTCTAATTGAATTGGATTGTGAATGTGTGCATGTCTGTGTGTTCACTCCAGTGGTGAATCCGGGGCAGGGAAGACGGAGAGCACTAAATTACTGCTGCAGTTTCTGTCGGTGATGAGCCAGAACTCCGCCGGGACGCCTCCATCAGAGAAAAGCACGAGAGTGGAGCAGGCCATCGTGCAGAGCAGGTATGCAGGAGCAATTTGAACACTTAATTTAACAAATGTAAACAAGACAAAATCCCGAACATGTTAGTTTACATGTTTCAAAATTACTGAAAAGTTTCCTCTTGATAAAAGAAAAGAAACAGGATTTTAAACTTTAGCGAGTTTGATTCTTTGACTCTGTAGAGCATAAGCAAAAGTCGTAGGAAAGTTATGGAGTGTATTTAGACATCCCAGCACTAAACACAGAATATCAGGGTATTAAAATTTTAGGTAAATCGTGTCAAGTGTGGTCACATTCATGACAGCAGTTACGTAACTGAGTGCTATTGAGTGGACTTACGTGATCCAGAAATGGTCAGAATATAATTTTCTGCACAGGTTAAACATATATCTGTTTCAAAGTTGATGTTTTCTTTACAGTCCAATCATGGAAGCATTTGGAAATGCTAAAACCGTTTACAACAATAACTCCAGTCGTTTTGGGAAGTTTATACAGCTTCACTTTTCTGAGAGTGGCAACATCCAAGGAGGTTGTGTCATCGACTGTATCCTTTTTCTAACCGAAACAATTACATTTAAATCATGTGTATCCGAGAGCTTGGAATGTGTTCATAAAAAATAGACAGGTACAATAATTTAGCTTTTTGTTTTTTTGGTCTATCATTGAAAATCTAGTTCAAGCGAAGTTGTTGTTTCCTTGACTTTCCTCTTTACAGATTTGCTGGAAAAGGTAAGCATGACTGGTGATTGTCATGTACAGTTTAGATCTACTCAGAATGCATTGTGAGTTTAGCATTGTGTCTCACAAGGAAATGGTAAGAGTGGCTTTGCTGCATTCTTTTTTCTGTAGAACCGTGTGGTGCGACAAAACCCAGGAGAGCGAAACTACCACATCTTCTACGCTCTGCTGGCAGGAGCTAGTAAAGAGCACAAAAGTAAACATCCTTCAAAAAAAGCAATGTTCATTATCAATCTTTTTCATTTGTTTTACCCTTTCCACAAAGATCTTATCTATACTGGTCAGAAATCACTGTGCCTGCACATATATGTAAAAAAAATCAACTAAAATAGGCTCCTTGATGTCATTTTGTGGTTCCTGGAATGATTTGAATTCTTTGCCTAATGGCTATAATTGCACATTAATCCATCTGTGCACTATTTTAATCCTTTGGCAATAGAGACACCAAATTCAGCACTGTGCAAAAACTGTCTGTTATTGAGCACATCTCTTGAAATAACTATGTCTGTATAGCCTAAAGGTACATTCTTCTGTCTAACAGGTCTTTACTGCCTGGAGGATCCTGCAGAATCTTTCCACTACCTCAGCCAATCAGGATGCCTGAAAGACAAAAGCCTGAATGATAAAGAGCTATATAACAGTGTTATGGTCAGTGTGGTCTTTTTTCCTCTTTGGTTTTGACATTGGTCAAAATTTGTAAATCAATGTGGTTAGAAAGAAATCAAAGACAAAAATATTTATTGTTCTTTACCTTGCACAGAATTAATCCCAATGCTTTTCGTGCAAAGAACTGAAAAAAACTTTCAGAGCAGCAGCACCTATTCATCTATCCATCTTAATCTCTTTCGTTTTCTTGTCCTTCTGCAGGAGGCACTAAAGGTCTTAGAGTTTACAGAGGAGGAGATCAGAGACATGTTTAAACTGCTATCAGGTGTTTTACAGCTCGGCAATACCGAGTTCATGACTGCTGGAGGAGCCCAGATCACCACAAAGCAAAGTCAGGCATTTGTAATACAACAACAAAAACACACAAAAAAAGGTCAAACTGAAACGTGGCTTTAATGCATCCATGTCTCATGTTTCCAGTGGTCACTAATGCCAGTGAGCTGTTGGGCCTGGATACCTTCCAACTCTCTGAAGTCCTGACTCAGCGCTCCATAATCCTCAGAGGGGAGGAAATCTGTTCCCCTCTCACTATTGAGCAGGTCAGCATAACTACACACATTTTATTTTTCCCTCTTTTGATTTATCCCTGCCATTTCCCTGCACTCACACACCTGTCCCATCTCTTCCTCTGGTTTTCCTCTGTGTTATAGGCCATTGATTCCAGGGACTCTGTGGCCATGGCGTTATATTCTCAGTGTTTCTCCTGGATCATTCTCAAGATTAATCAGAAGATCAAAGGGAAGGAAAACTTCAAATCCATTGGCATTCTTGATATTTTTGGTTTTGAAAACTTTGAGGTGAGAACTGTCTTTTGAACATTCCTCCCTTGAGTCTTCAAATGACTACTTTTACTAAGTTGGTTCAAATGAATTTGACTACTACTCAGCACAATGGCTAAATGAGAAATCATTGATGTGGTATGTGTATATGTAATAAATACATTTCTGATCAGAATTAGTAGAAGCTGTTGAGTGAGTACTTAACTGGCAAACTTGTGCTTGATTCTCAGCTTTGTCACAAAAAATATTTTCTCTTTATACTAATTGTAAGTGCATTACTTATTCATAACTGTTTAAGAATCCAAAGAATTGCCTATATTGCCTCCATCACGAAAAAATAAACTGTACTCTTAAGAAGCTTACATATTCATAAAAATAACTGGTCACATTCGTATTTTCTTGACATGCTAAATGTTCTTGTATTTGCATCACTCTCCAAACTGAACACAAGATTTTTGAAGAAAATAAGAGCACGGTATGTGTCGCTTTGCTTGCAGGTGAATCGATTTGAGCAGTTTAACATCAACTATGCCAATGAGAAGCTTCAAGAATACTTCAACAAGCACATCTTCTCCCTGGAGCAGCTGGAGTACAACAGGTAAAGATGTGTCCTTCAAGATCCAACAGAGGCATGGAAATAGTCCATGGCACGATTATTTTAGTGAACGCATGCTTGGGTTTCTTTCAACAGGGAAGGTGTTCAGTGGCATGCAATTGACTGGATGGACAACGCAGAGTGTCTTGACCTCATAGAGAAGGTATGAACTGATAGTACAACAGTCCAATGGTAATGGTAAGATTCTCTCTGCCGACTCATCTAATATTTGATGTCTCAGAAGCTGGAGCTGATTTTGCTTAATCCAGTGACATGATGTTTTTTTCCCCCTCTTGTTCCAGAAACTTGGCTTATTGGCACTTGTGAATGAAGAGAGCCGATTCCCCAAAGGAACAGATTTCACTCTGCTGGAGAAGTTGCACAGCAGACACTCTGTGAGTTACTTACTCAGTTTCAATTCATTATAACTCACTGTATGAATTACAAAATGCTTAGCCGCTGAAGTGCAATTTATTTGACATTTTCTGATTCTTTTTTCCTGCAGACAAACCCTTATTATGTGAAACCCAGACTTGCCGATCATCAGTTTGGTATCAAACATTATGCTGGAGAGGTGGGTTATAGATAACTGAGAAATATAAGTGTCAATAAACTGTGTAACAAATCATTTTAGGTGCAGAATAATGATGTCTTGCTTTTACAGGTTCTATATGACGTTAAAGGAATCCTGGAGAAGAACAGAGATACTTTCAGAGATGACATCCTAAACATGCTCAAGGACAGCAGGTACTAAAATCAGACACATAAGGAATGGTTCTTTTGTCTTACCAACATGTGTTAATCGATCAGTCACACCTAAGGGCAATATTTTTTAGTTTTTTTATTAAGCTGGTGTAAATGTTTGTTCAATTCCATATACTCATGTTGGAAATGATGGAAAAAAACGTTTGCAGTCTGGTGAAAATCACAAGTCAAAAATGTTTCGACAAAGTATGTATCTCTTCCTTAAAGGCTTTGAGAGGACCCATTTTTATGTTTTACATGTCTTTTTATAGGTGTCTCATTTGTTGTGACCCAACTAAGGGGTTTCCACTCTTTTTTCTGTGGTTTCTTTTGCTCACAGACTGGACTTCATCTATGACTTATTTGAGAAGGTTGGCAGCAGGAACAGTGAGGAGAAGATGGGAACTGCCAGACGTAAACCCACCGTGAGCTCCCAGTTCAGGGTGAGTGATGTCTATGCACTCTGTAACAGAGGATGGTCTGGGAGAGTTCTTTGGTAGGCTCTCATTACAGATGGAGGGCTGAGAGGAATATTATGTAGAATACAATAAGGTCTGAGGTACACCAACAATCATTTACAGTATAGTTTAGTTATTTTTTACTGCTTATCTGTTTCATTAAATCTAAAGTACGTAATTATTAACTGTATGGTAAAAGCATGGAAATGTTACTTTGATTTTCTTTGTCTCCTCAGGACTCCCTTCATGCTCTCATGGCCACTCTTAGTGCATCCAATCCGTTTTTTATTCGCTGTATTAAGCCCAACATGGAAAAGGTCAGCCTGTTTGTACCTCTAATTAATGCCCCTCTATTAAAACATGAATGTACATTAATGAAATGTGAAATTTTCTTTTTTTTACCCTTGTAGAATCCAAATGTGTTTGACCCAGAGGTGGTCCTGAACCAGCTTAGATATTCTGGGATGCTGGAGACGGTGAAGATCCGTCGTGCTGGGTTTCCCGTTCGCAGGACATTCAAAGATTTCTTCTCACGGCAAGCATCTGACTTTTCATTTCTGCCGCTTTTTACCCTTAAAGGCTGGATTCTTTGTCGTTATCTCATGTGTCGGTTCTGATTTTGTTTTAGGTATAAGATCGTTCTGAAAGACAAAGTACCGGCAGCAGGAGACGACAAGAAAAGAAGCACAGACCTTTTAACTAAGTATGACAAGGTCAAGAAGGAGTGGCAGTTAGGCAAGACCAAGGTAAGACTAAGAAAAGGTTTGTGTGTTGTTGTGCGCACTCAAAACTAAGACTAATCTTTTTATTGTCTACTGTTCATTTTGTAGGTGTTCATGAAAGAGTCTTTAGAACATCATTTAGAGAAGGACAGGGATGAAGTTCGGCGCCAAGCTGCCATGATAATCCGGGCACACCTCCTCACTTTCTCTGCAAAGTAAGACCCACCCTACTTCATGTTTTAAGGTTAAGGATGCAAGTATGAAGACCTAAGCTGGTTCTAATTGCTTTCATTTGCTGTCTTGCGCGCAGGAAGCATTTCAAACAGGTACGCACCAGTGTCGTAACCCTCCAGAAGCACTTCCGGAAACACATCCAACGTAGGCGGTTTGTAAAACAACGCAAGGCAGCACTGGTGCTTCAGAAACACCGACGGGGTCAGGTGGCACGGGCCCGCGTTCGAAAGCTCAGAGATGAGAAGAAGAAGAGGGAGGAGGAGCAACGGAAGAAAGAAGAGGAAGAGAAGAAAGCAACGGGTGCGGAGGGTGAGGAAGGCGCAAATGCTGAAGAAGACAAGGCAACAAAGTCCTCAGAGGCAAGTGCTACATTTTTAGGATGATTTACGTCAATACAGGAGAAAAAGCCAATCAAGCATCTGGCTCATGTTTTTTCTTTTTTTAATGCAGAATAAAACAAATGTTTGTAAAAATGACACTTGAAGCAACATTTTCTTTTAAACACCCCCATCTTTCCCGTGTAGGAAGAAGCTCGTCAAATGGAGGAGATCCTGCAGCTGGAGAGAGAGATCGAACGCTTGCAGAAGAAGCGAGAGGATGAGGTGTCGCAGCTCTGCGAGTCCTCCAAGCAGGAGCTGCAGCTACGCCGGGACGCCGAGCTCAAACGGATGAAAAAGGAGGCGTCCCGCAAGGCCACAGAGCTCATCGACCTTCTGAACTTTGGAGGCGTGGACCCTTCGCTGGGAGCCGCCGTAGCCAAGCCTGCCGCCGAGGCGAAACCCCCAAAAGAGGCGGGCGCCAGGAGAGCTGGGTCCAAAGAAGAGGATGTGGATGAGGGCTTTCACGCCGAGGAGGAGTGCATCCCTCTACCGGACTTCCCTCCTCCCGCCGAGTCAGATGCTCCTGTGGACCAGGACATCTTTGTCCAACTCCCTCCTCCCCCGCCTGCTTTTGCAGAGGGGACAGTCCCCCCCGCACCACCTCTGCCCCCACCCCTTCCCACGGACGACACGCTCGCTGGAGGAATTCCCCCTCCCTCTCTTCCTCTACCTGGAGACGGCGCTTCTGTTCTGCCGACTCCTCCTCCAGCACCACCACCTCCCCCAGGAGAGGGGGGGAAGAACGACGGAGCCAAGGCAGAGCCGGAGAGGAAAGTGAGCATGGTGGATAGCCTGGTGGACGGAGAGGAGCCCATCTACAGCATGCCGGCTGACACGGAGTCAGACTACGACCAGGAAGAGGAAGAGGGATCTGTGACAGCTGGAGATGACAGTTCTGTGTCTGGAAGCAACCGCGGAAGCGCCGCTGTGACCGACGAGGAGCACCCAAGGAAGTCAACGTGCACAAACGCCAGCATCGAGTCCTACAGAGGCAGCTCTGACTCTGTGAGGACACACACTTACACGCATCCTCACACGCGTGCCCGCAAACATGTATGAGCAGCTACACAGTGACATCCTCAACATTTTACTCACTCTTCTGATATCTGATCGTCTGTGATCATTTCTACTTTTGAATTAAGTATGATCGTATTGGTAATTGACTAATATTTTGCATTATGGCATTGCAGTATGCTGACAGTGACGATGAACACGATGGTATGATGGACACCGATGAAGAGGTGACAAATGGCAGAGTGACTTTGCTTAATGGAAATGCACCACCATATTTCCACGGATACCTTTACATGAAGGGTGCGTATATGTCGCCAATGGTTTCTGGAAGATGGTGGACCTTTCTAAAGTTTGGGGCTTTTTTTGGCCTTTTTATCATGAGGTGTGAATCTGGCTGATATAAATTATGATGATGCCCTCAATAACTCAAATGTCACCAGCGGGGCTTCTTCTCTGACTGTAATTGTGTCCCTGTGTGCCCCTCTAGCTGGTTTGATGATCCCGTGGAGGAGGCGCTGGTGCGTGTTGAAGGATGAGACTTTTATGTGGTTCCGGTCCAAGCAAGAGTCCCTGAAGTCTGGCTGGCTTTACAAGAAGGGAGGAGGCCTCTCCACTCTCTCACGGAGGTTGTTGTAGTTATTACTGAGCGAAGCTGCATGCTAATAAAATTAAATCCTGCATTACACGTCTGATTTAAGTGCACTGTAGTACAATCTGATGACATAGATGTTAAATTAAGTTATTTAGAATGCTTCAGTTAGATCAATTTGTAGCATTCAAATGCTTTTATAGGAGTCTCATGCAGGCTTGAATGCATTTGGACGTTTTTCTAACAGTTGGAGTTCTTTTCTCTAGCTTCCTAATTTGAAGAACTAAACGCTTTACAAAGTGAAACTGTGAATGTTTTACTGAATCCACTTTCCTGAAACTTTGCTTTGTTGTTCATACTTCATTGAATTTTTGTAGAAAAATGTAGTGAGTTTTCCTTTTTTAATTTTTTTTAAAGATAAAACCATGTGTTGTCACAGCGAACATTAACGTTTTATTTAAATTACTTTTAAGTTACTATTTCTTTGACCCTGTGAAAAAGGCATTTATGCCAGAAGCTCAGCACCAGACATCAACCTCTGGAATAGAGAGAAAGAGATCTCATGACTTATTCGCTCATGGTCTCTTCTTTATTCTACACCAGGAATTGGAAAATGCGCTGGTTTGTACTAAGAGACAGCAAGTTGATGTACTATGACAATGACAGTGAGGAAAAGCTGAAAGGAACCATCGACATTCGAGCAGCCAAGTAAGACTCCAAAATGAGTTAACCCAACTTTTTCCTCTAGCTGACTACTTTATGGTAATTGCTGCACTTCTTACACACCTATCCTGTTTTCTGAAGGGAGATTGTAGATAATCATGAAAAGGAGAATGCTCTGAACATTGTGACTGATGAGAGAACGTACCAGGTTTTTGCCGAGTCGCCAGAGGATGCAAGGTATGAAGGGGTCCACTGCGATAGTACAGATCATTTAACCAAGCTGTTGTTTTCAAAACTTAATATGCTAAAGCACCTTTCTCTCTCTGTAGTGGCTGGTTCAATGTGCTCAGTAAGGTGAGAGTGTGCACCCCTGAGCAGCTGATGGAGATGTCCCACGAGCAAGCCAACCCCAAAAATGCTGTGGTCAGTATTCAGACATGTAAACCAATATACCATTGACTTATGACTTCTCTCTGTTTTGAAATGTTGTCATCTTCGTTTGTTCAGGGAACTCTCGATGTAGGATTGATTGACTCCGTTTGTGCATCAGACAATCCTGATAGGTAAGGTGATGAGAAACAAAGATAAATGCAGGTCACTTGGTGCTTTTAGCCTATTTTTTGCTTTAGATATAACTTTTTCGGTGATAATAGTATCTATATGTGTATTTATGTATGTACGTAAGTTTGTATGAACAGAAACAATAAAAAAAATGTTCACTTCCGTTTTGCAGGCCAAATTCTTTTGTCATCATCACGGCCAATCGTGTGATTCACTGCAACAGTGACACACCAGAGGAGATGCATCACTGGATCAGTCTGCTGCAGAAACCCAAGGGAGATGCAAGGATAGATGGACAGGAGTTCCTTGTCAGAGGTAAGTGTCGTGTTTATTCTTATCTGAAGTTAGATTTTACTGTTTGCTAGCACCTGTGGAAAATAGCCATCAAATATTCATAGATGGCCATTATGATAGGCTGCAGTTAGTTAATGCATCAGAATGTAAATATTAAATATGAGTTGTGTAGTGTTGTTGCTAAAATGTTTCATTCATACATTCACTCATGCCTGCATTCCTCTTAATATGTCTCTCTCACTTTCCTCCACTCATGCCTCATCATGCTCAGGCTGGCTCCAAAAAGAGATGAAGACGAACGCTAAGAGCACCTCCCTAAAGCTCAAGAAGCGCTGGTTTGTTTTAACCCACAACTCCTTGGATTACTACAAAAGCTCAGAGCGAAACTCCTCCAAGATGGGAACTCTGGTCCTTAACTCCCTCTGCTCTGTCATTCAGCCGGATGAACGAGTGCACAGGGAGACAGGTGAGGAGAAAACTAAACGAAGGAAGTCCCTCAAAGGGCACCTTTAATAAGGGATTATCCATAGGATGTTCAGGATTTTTTGGCAGATTATTAAACACGTTAAAAAAAACTACTTTGTGGATTTACTTAATTAGATCAAGGAGATCACCGGTGAGTCATGAAATGTAATTACCCCTTTAATACTTATGTTTCTTGGTTTATAAATGCTGATATGTTCCTGTTTCCACAGGGTACTGGAACATCATAGTGTATGGGAGGAAGCATTCCTACCGCCTTTACACTAAGATGCTGAATGAGGCCATGCGGTGGACAGCTGCCATACAGGGAGTTATAGACAGCAAGACGCCGATAGAAACACCAACTCTGCAGCTTATCAGAGATATCAAAGTAACACAGTCACACAAACACGTTAAGAGAGAGAGCTTCATTATAAAAGTAGAAATATATATTTAAAATGGGTTTCCATACATTGTGTCCCCCCAGGAGAACAGTTTGAATCCAGACATAGTGGACCAGATGTACAGGAGGAACCCCATCCTTAGATACACCCAGCATCCTCTGCACTCCCCCCTGCTGCCCCTCCCTTACGGAGAGGTCACCAGCTGTGAGTAACATTAAAATCCACTTTTCCCTTTCCCATCTTTCCATCCTTTTCCTCTTCCTCACCACACTGAGCTTTGAAAAGCTTTCTCGTTGGTGTTTTTACGCAACTTGTAACCTTTTACATAGGCACTACAAAATTGTATTTAGTTTTGTAGATACCCTCCCTGGGTTTTCCTCATGAATGTACATTTTTCCTTCTATCTTGACCGTTGTTCCCTTCATATCTTTCAATACAGTACATAGGCAGCAGGGCTACGCCAGTCTGCAGGATGAGGCGGTGCGAGTTTTCAACTCACTGCAGGAGATGGAAACACTGGCAGACACGGTGCCCATCATTCAGGGCATCTTGCAGACCTGCCAGGACCTGCGGCCTCTAAGAGATGAGGTATATTCTGCTGTACTAAAAAGATCCTCTACCCACAGAACAAAATTTAAAAAGTTTTTTCGACAGCCTGGGAGTGAACATACCGAAGTGTGTAATTCTCATGTAGTGATAATATGATGTTTCTATATTGCTGATTCATACTTTGGATTTTTTAATAATTTTTTTTTTCTTTCCATAGGTCTATTGTCAGGTGATCAAGCAGACCAATCATGTGCCTCAGCCAAACAGCCCAGCCAATCGGGCACACTGGCACCTGCTCACCTGCATGAGTTGCACCTTCCTACCCAGTCGAGCCATCCTCAGATACCTCCGCTTCCACCTCAAGAGGTGTGTGTCTCCCATATCAATACTTCCTCTTAGACGGATTGCTAAAACAAGAGCAAGCTGAATGAAATCTGTATATTTGGGATTCAGGGTACGTGAGCGCTACCCCGGCACAGACATTGAGCGCTATGCCAGTTTCATTGGAGAATCCCTGAAGAAGACCAAGACTCGTGAGTTTGTTCCATCTCAAGAGGAGATTGCTGCCCTCCTGGTGAGACAGGAGATGAGCACCACGGTGTACTGCCATGGTGGAGGCTCCTGCAAGATCTCCATCAACTCACACACCACAGCTGGAGAGGTGCACACACACACACACACACACACACACTGAAATGCCCTCACATTCATGTCTTAGATCATTTTCACATATCTTTTAAAAAAATGTTGTCCTATATTGTAGATTTTTTTTACCATTTAATCAAAATGAATGTCAAAAACAAAAGTTTGAATTAAGTAAAAAAGCAACAGATACATTTTTGCATCTGCCTTTGAAGTAAAAACATACAAGAAAGACACTCTGAGGAGGAAGTGTGTACAAATTAGATCAGAAATTGTAGGTAACTGTGCTAAGAAGAAGGGTAAATCTGTTTTGAATATTGTTGCAGGTTGTTGAGAAGTTGATCAGAGGTCTGGCCATGGAGGACAGCAAGAACCTGTTTTCTCTGTTTGAACACAACACCTTTACTGACCGAGCTCTGGAGAGCAGAGTGATTGTGGCAGATGTTCTGGCCAAATTTGAGAGGTATCTTCCTGAACTTTAAATGGCAATTACATCCAGTGCTTTACTGTATTTATTCATATAATCTCTGCAGGTCATTTTGCTATCTGTTGTAACTGCTTGTGTGCTTTATCTGTTCAGACTGGCAGGCAGTGAAGAGGAGGAGGAGGAGGGAGAGTGGAAGCTTTACTTCAAACTATACTGCTTCTTGGATGTCGAGAGTATGCCAAAAGAGGGAGTGGAGTTTGCCTTTATGTTTGAACAGGTAGATTTACTGAACAAACATAATGAATGACTTTGAAAGCATTTGTATTTCTGATGCTGTCTCATTAATGTATTTACCTTTCCAAAGTTTTTCCATAAATATTTTTAAAGGTCCAAGTTTGCCTAGCAATTTGTAATTTGTTTTTCCTCAACAAGACCAAATCTCCACCCAAGCAGGATTAAGCAAATTATTCTGATGTATCAGACATGTGACTCAATGTTCATTTGGATTATTTCATGCTACATATCAAAAGTCAAACAAGTTTGTAGCTGCAAGTTTTTTTTTCAAATTCTGACGGAACAACTTCCAGTCATTAAAGTTCACATCAGCCTGTGTTTATATCAGGAAGTTTTATTCCTGTGTGTTAGGAAAACCTCATTCTTAGTTGTTCAATATATAGACTTAAATAGTGTTAATTAACCCAATAAAAACTGTAAAATATCATACCCTCTCTCTGTTTCTCTCTCAGGCCCATGAGTCATTGATAAGTGGTCATTTTCCAGCCTCAGAGGAGACTTTGCAGCACCTGGCTGCTTTGCGTCTCCAGTACCTCCACAGTGATGGGGCAGGCCGGGCCGGATGGAGCCTAGGAAACGTTTATCCGATTGGACGTCTTCGCAATCGCATCCTGCACTCCACCAAACCGGGTGTGGCAAGTGGAGCTGGTGGAAGAGGAAGTGGAATATCAGGCGATGGAATTGGTACAATAGGACAGGGCATTATTGGGATGGGCACAGAGAAACGAAAAACTCCCAGCTTCCTCGATGGCACACTCAGGAGAAGTTTCAAAACAGGCTCACTGAAAAAGCAGAAGGTCAGTGGTAGATGTTTTATTTGAACTAAATAAAGCAGGCAAAACACTCATCTGAATAGCTTTATGCATTACTTTTCCTATCTGGCTGCTGATGTTCTAAAAGTTGTAAAAGCTCTGTCTGTTAAGTATTCTATAAACACAGAATCTATTTCTCAGCTTTACTTTTAAACCATGATATTAAACCAATACCCCAAAAATCAGTAGAAATTAAGGTTTCTTAACTGTAGCTTCCCGACCTAACTGTGCTCTTAAAGTCACATTTCTTTAACCTTTGTGAGAATTGCATTGGTGTTTTATGAATGTTTTAAAATGAAAAAAGCATCTACATTTTCTTGTTGAAAAACCTCCTCAATGGCGCCCCTCAGTGTCAAAATATTTCACTGTGAGACATGGCAAGGAAAGAGAAACCCATTTTCAAGTTGCATCTCTCAAACTATTAGGAGTAGAGTTTAAAAGTAAAGATGATTACCTGATATTTAACTCGTACTACTTTTGGATCACCCATGCAAGGGGCCTCTTTCTAACAGTGGACATGTAGACGGTGATTGTATTTTTAGTGTTCCAGATGTTTTGACGTGCAATTTGTTCACAGCCGAGATTATCTATGTTGAATGGCATTGGTCAGTTTTATATAAATAATACACATCCACATTTATATATATCTTAAATATACAAATAAATACTTTAAGCCTACAAATTGCTGTCTGCTCATAACCACGCAGTGATGCAACTCTGAGTTGCATAAATCTCTGCACTCACGGGAAATAACTCCCTAAATGAATGAGTTTGTTGAGTGGATTGCTGTTTGACTGACTGACACTTTAACTGAGGATTGTCCCGACTGCTCCAGGTGGAGGAGGAGCAGATGCTAGAGATGTGGGTAAAGGAGGAAACGTCCGCCACACGCACCAGCGTACTGGAGAAGTGGACGCGTCTGCAGGGGATGCCGCAGCACCAGGCTATGCTTAAATATATGAGCATTATTAAGGAGTGGCCAGGGTATGGATCTACGCTATTTGATGTGGAGGTGAGAATATAAGATAGCCCAACGGAGTTCAGCGATATGCATAGATAGAATATTGGGAGAGTAATGTCTTTCCTCTTTTCTTGGTAGTGTAAAGAGGGTGGTTTTCCTCATGATCTTTGGCTGGGTGTGAGCGCTGACAATGTGTCTGTGTATAAACGCGGTGAACCCAAACCACTGGAGACCTTCCAGTACGAACACATCACCTTCTTTGGAGCTTCACAACCCTGCACCTATAAGATCATCGTGGATGAAAGGGAGATGTTCTTTGAGACTCCATTGGTAAGAGTTCCTTATTCATCTAATTTGTTGTACATTAATGGACCATAATTAAGATTTTTATGGATACACTGAGAGTGTTCTTAATTATTTACTTGATATCTGGGATTTCTGGGCTTTTTAAAATCAGGATGGCACTAATTTATCAATTTTTACCCACTAGGTTGGAGAGATCACCAAGATCATGAAGGCCTACATAAACATGGTGGTGAAGAAACGTTGCAGCATCATGTCTGTGACCAGCGTGGCCAGTTCTTGGGTCAGGTGATCTGCACTAACCAATCAAAGCTCTTGGTTCATCCATCAAGCAGCACGAGACGCCTTAGCCAGCCGCATTGGTTTGCTGTTTTTGATGAAGGCAGTCGCATCAACCAGCTAATCCTCCAAGTAGAATGAAGTGCGGTGGAAGAGCTCCGATAGCTAAATGAGGAGAAGTGGACACAGAAGTCAAATGCACACTCTACTGGCTGCTGTTTCACATGGGATTAAAAATAAGCATGACAAAGAAAGCAACCTGGGGCTGTCACATCTAAATACATAACCCTCAGCTGTAGTCCTGCATGTAGATGTTCAAGCACACTCCAAACTTCTTTTGGTTTTCCTTTCGGAACAAAGGAAATTCAGTCAAAACAAGCACAACTCAGCCACCCAGTCCCAGTCGGTCCCCGGTGACTCCTCCACCCTCTCTGCGCACTGCCATACAGAAGAAAGCCACACTTTCTCAGTTGAATTTCTTTTTCTCTCACTCTTCCTCTACTTTCAAAGTCTCTCTCTTTCTCTTCTTGTCTCTTCACCTAAGCTGTTTTTTTTTCTATTTCAATTATGTTGTAATGCTTAACTATTGTTCTTGCTTGCTTTTTTCACAGTCGTTCTCTCTCTGTCTTCTCTCTGTAATGTCAACACTGTTGCATCTGACAAAAAGGACTTGGTGGAAAAGACTATTCTTCGTTGGGCAGCTGCCCACCAAACCACACAGTGTTCACTTGCTCCCTTGTCAGTACCCCTGTATGGCCACAAAATGAAAATATATCCAAAAGCAGTGGCTTTAAATACTGTGAAGAAAAAATATTACTGGGAGGAGAGAACCAAGGTTTTACATTGGGGGCTCTCTAATTGTATTCAGATTGTGTGAGGAGTTAAATTTGACTCTACAAGGTGATGGGTGTTGTCCAGATTAGAGCAAACATTTCTCATTTTTATGTACTTATAACACAAGTTGCATTAATCTGTGTAGCCACAAACGTGTACACATAAATTAGACTAACATATTGTTTTGTACTGTACATCACGCAATATGGCAACAAATATTTAAATCCTTGGTGGACACTTCTCTGTAAAGTCTTTAGACGCTATTCTAAAAAGAAATATGTCTCCTGTCATGTAAAATACATGCAAGTATGTTTCGAAATGCTCCTCGTATGTGTGAGTATGATGCTAGTGTTCATCATTCTCAGGCTGTGCCATTAACTGTTGAGCTCACTGAAAAACTGTTCGTGAAAACACAGCCCATACACAGACTGGCTGCTATTACGGTCCTGTTTTCGCTGTGTTTGATGAATTTATCATAGTTGTTGTCTGCTGGAATCACAGTTGGAGCCATGAGATTATGTCTACCCTTGTCTTCTCAAGCTGTTTTGTCTTGTCTTTTTTACTCAGGAGACTTCAGCAAATATGTGTACAAGCTCAACTTTTTCTGTGTTTCCAGCCTCTTAATGAAAACATTAAGACTTTTATTTCTGATAGTATTATTATCATTGTATATCTTAACCACCCTTAGGTGCGATGTCTGGATTGCTGCTGTGTGCGTGAATGTGTTCAATGGTGTAATTCAAACTGGTGGAAAAAGGAAATGAGAAAAGAGAAATGATTTTACTGACTGTATTGCTTAGAGATATGCTGTATTTACATGACTAATACTTGCAAAGAATGGTGTTGTAACTGTGAGTTAAAGGCAAACTTGTGGGATAACAAAGGAGGGTTAGGGGTTATTTATTACTTCTTGTACTGTATGTATTGCAATGTTTATTTGGTAAGATTGAAAATATACTTGACTAGTATGTATATGGGTCTTATATGGGTGTAAGAGGAGAAGAGACACTGACTATGCCAACAGCCAACACTGCTTTGTGCGTTTGCGTGTGTTTTGGGGCTGAGAAGTGGAGAAACAGTTCTTCCCCTGGACAACTTTTTCCACACATCTCATGTCCATCAGGGACACTTGGATAGTAGTGGCAAGTGCAACCCAATGTTCCAGTATAGTCTATTTAATTGGCTGATTAAGTTTAGCTCAGGTTTCTAAATTACTTTACAAGGCAATAACACGTGTGACTCCAAAGACATTTTAAATTGGTCTTTTCACAACAGATATTTCAGAGAAGTTGAACTTCTTGAGCAGAATATTTCTGTTGTTTATCTGAGGTACCACACACTGTACAGGGCTGTAACAATGTAGAAATACTGAGATTGTGAATCCTTAACACTAATACATTTACAAACACATACAAGCACAGACTTACAAAACATCTGGTTACAAAATATTTAATTATACTTTCATACTCAAATACAGCGTCTAACAACACGAAATTAGCCTAAAGTATTCACCCTATGAATGGTTTTATGACCTCAGTGTTTTCAAGTGTAAACACTTCCCAGGGGACACACACACCCTGCTGCGGTCCAGCCAACAGAATAATCAGAACTAACTCTGCTTCTTTCTTAAATTTGTACATTGGGCTCGTACGTGCAAAAAGAAGAACAAATTACATCAGTAAGCCATAAAAATGAGCTTCTTCTCATTATTCTATATCTATGGCTCTGTCACAGGTTTAAAAGAATAGATATAAAGAGTAAGACGTCGCCCTGTTGCTGCTGAGGTGTGGTCTGGTTGTAGAAAGTCAAATGAGTTTAAGAGTTTAAAGTAGGGGATCACTGTCTTCAAGGGCAACTTCATCATGAGAGGGTCCTGAAATCAGCCGCAGGCGGCCTGAGGGGCCCGTTCTTATCTTTTGTTGTGCATATTATCATCTTCGCATATTAAATCATAGTGCTTGTTTAAAAGAAAAAGAGAAAGAGAGAGATATGTGTGTGTTGTACTTTTTTATTTGTAACTGGCTTTACAAAATTATGCTCTAATAAATTATTGAAAACGGTCCTCCGTATTGAGTTTGATTTAGCCTACTTGGAAGAGCAAACAAGATGATTTAGTTTAACTTTCTTTCCACAGTTTTATTAGGTCCGTCAGCTATGGATTTGCGCAGAAACAGGAGACAAAAATTGACACCATTTAAACATTTTTCTCTTAAATTAAACAATTAAGATTGGCAACAGTTTGGAAAACTAGTTTAGAAATATGAATATGATTCAAGAAGCAATGCTCTGTTTCAAAAGCCTGCTTTCCGCCCCTGACGACGCCTACCTCTGCTTTATGTTCAGTGCGTAACGAGCGTGCGTCACAATTAGCGCTCAGTTCCTTCTCGTCAACTTCGTCTTTCGAGTTTCTGTCGTCGATCCGATCAGTCAAAACATTTCTTCCTGTTTCTGTAACATTTTTTCAAAGCTTGTCAAACACAGCGCCGCAGTCTAAGGCACGACACTGAGAATAGTCTGCGTCGTGGAAGCAGGACTACCTGGAAAATGGATTTACGGATTTTGTTCCCTGCTCTCCTTCTCGTTCTCGGTCTGGCAACTGTTTTTGCCGACTCCACACCTGGGGAAGGTAGGAATGGGCACTGCTCATGATTAATGGCAGCTAAAAAAAAAGAAATAACTTAACCTTTTCCTTCGGACTCACTTTTAAGCGTCTTTATTATCCTTTTAAAAGGTTAGAAAGGTAACGAGTCCTAGATTCTTAAAATATGAAAATGTTCTTGTATCCTTTTACTTTTGCTCATTGACTCAGTGTTACCAAGATATGACGTTTTGATTATTCAATGGATACGAATATGGGCTTCTAAACATCTACTTCTGAAACTACATATAAGAGAAAGATAAACATATGTGGAACAATGGAACCTCTTCAGGTCCCTCCTTGGCCCTTTTAGGGCTTGACTTCTTTCAGAGTTTAAATAGCAAAAGAAGCAGCAACAAAACAAAATAACCACGAGAGATGGAGGCTGTTTTTTTTACAGATATATTTCTGCCTTAGCAAATAATTCATCTTTTGTCCATGTGTTGTCTCCTGAGAGTAATGTGACTGCTCCAGATTGTGAGTGTTTGCTGTGTTTAGCCTCCATAGAGAATGTCCCAGGAGGATTAGCCTGGTTACAAAAACATGAGTGCAAACTAAACCCCACCATTCAAGTTTTCCTTAAATCTCTCCTATACCAAAGCCACTTGTTCTTCCTTTTATGAAGGCTGTATTTCTTTTAACACTCTACTAACCACTTGCAATTATACAAGTCATCTTATTTAAACGTATTAAACAAGTTTTTGTTTTTGCAGTGTGTGAGAAGACAAATGCGACAAGCTGTGAGGAATGTCTTAGAAATGTGTCGGTAAGACCAAGCAGAGAGCTTTTCATTTCTGCTCAGCTGACTTTAAATTGTGCTCATCGATTGTTTGTCAGGTGTATATGTGTGTGCATAATGGAAAAGTATCCCTGGTGGAGGAACTGCAGCTGGTAGCTCCTCCTCGGCCCCTACACCTGTTAGACTGGTTTGAGGAGTAACTGATATGACGTCCCCTCCCAAACCGCCCCTTCTTGTATTGTCTCTTTATCATTCAGTTCATCCCTGAATGGCCTGAATACCTCACGTTTCATTTTTGCCTTTTTCTTATCATTTTGCAGTGCCTGTGGTGCATCACTACCAAGAATTGTGTGACATATCCAGTGAAGACCATCCTCCCCCCCCACGCACTCTGTCCGCTCAATGACGCCCGCTGGGGGCTCTGCTGGAGTAAGAAACACTTAAGACACACACTGATGCATGGCTTACCACATCATATCCATGGCAACCCAATGAGTGGTGTCGATAGCAGTTTTAATAGTTTGTTTTATTGAAAAGTCCTTTGATGATTGTCTGCACTGGTTTTTGAATATTCTTACTAATCTTTAGACTAAAGACCATTAAAAGTTCAAACTGGTCATTCACTTCGATGTCTCTTCAGAGGAACAGAGTTCCCCCAAGTATGGGCGAATGTCTGGGACACTGTTCATTCCTTGCTTATTGGACAAAAACTTTGCCAGTTGTACACCTCTGGTACTATAAAATTGAGCTGGCAGTCAGTTACTTTGTTTTTAGAAAAACCTCTGACAATACCTAGGATACAGGCTTTTACTTCGCACCATTACATTTGTCCAACATACTTAAGTTTAAGTAATTAAGATTAAATTCAATGTTAAATATTAGATTACAAAATTATCTGTTGAACTTCTACTTTTTTTTGTTTTAAGGTACACTGAGCACAACTTTTAAGAGAAACACACCATGACCATGAAGGGTTAACAGGAAGTGTCAAAAACATCAGCTTTTCGTACATATTATGTGCACAGTTATCAAATAACTATCAAATTCTCAGTAATATGGGTTTTGTTGTTTGGTTTTGTGCTGAGTTTATTCTTGGATCATCTTCATCATTGGCTCTGGGCCCCCTCAGTTTTTAGCAGGAAATCATTAAGATGAAACTACCAACCTAGTTAATAAGAGGAGCATGTACTAATCTCAAAGCTGATATTGAGTGACCCAGCCAATATGAATTTTACACAAGAAACACTTATGTTATATAATTAGCTCAGTTTTAAGATTTTTTAAAAAGATTTACAGATTTATTAAAAGCTATTTTCTTCATACAGGTACCAGTGAAAAAGCTGTGCTTATTGACCTGCTGCTGTTCAGCTTTATTCATTCACACATATCAAACTGCAACAGCTCTCCACTATTAATGCACACTGTCATCAAAAGTAATCGAATTAGCTGAGAAAATATGCAGTGTTTACTCTTGTGTAACCTTTTCTGTGGTAAGGTTAGGAAAGGCTAAATTTAGTTCGCCTGGGGTTTGTCCTATTGTTTTGATTATTGTGAACCTCACGGCAAAGTCTGCATGCATTTGGGGCTAAAAGTCCTATCTGCCATCAAGGGAAGGCAGAACACTTCTATCATGATATAGATGCATACATGTTCAGCTCCAGAATGACTATCTTAGAAAATGCCCAGGAGGGATTAAAATAAGAGCAATGAGAAGACAAGACTTGGAACCTGTTTTTCTATCTTGAAGTACAATCTGTTTCTGCTCATTCCCGTATGACGTTGTCATTCCTTCTTTAGTGAACTTCCAGACACTGATAATCACCTTGGCAGTGATTGGAGGAGTTATTATCATCGCCTTCCTGGTCTGCCTCTTCTGCTGCTGCAAGTGTGAGAAATTTGGGTAAGAGCCCAGCGGGTTATGACACATCGCAATCACAAGGGAAAAAGTAACCACACTCAATATTTACAGAGTTACAGAAACTCTTTTATGCTAATTTATTCAACAGTGCCTATTGGGTAGTTGAAATGGTTGGAAATGAATCCCTATTCATGCTTGTTTGTAAATGTAGCTACAAAGTACTTTCTTGTCTGAGCTTGGGTGTGGTTACATTAACATTAAGCACTGCACGTCAGTGAATCGTTGCCTAACACAGATCGTCTGTTTGTGTGTTTTAAGATCCCAAAGGTTTGAGGCCAAAATGGCGAAGCAGGCCACTAAAGTTAAAACCAAGCAGGAAGAGAGGTAAGATTTTTTAAAACAGTTAACAGTGACATTGTACTTCTAACAAAGTTTAGTTATTTATTTTCTTATCTTTTTTATATTTGTAATCATTTAATTACCTGATGAATATGTTTCAAATTTTCAGCAAAAACACAATATAGATATCTACTATGTTGTCTTAACTTTAAAGGCTTATAATAAAGCACAATTATTCTCACTTGAGTCAACCATTGAATACATTATGGCTTGTTGTAAAATTCTCTTTTCTCTCCGCTATCAGGGCACAAATTTAATAGTCCTAGCATGTGTACTGTGTGGTTTTGGGCGTCTTTATTATCCTTTTCCTTTCATAGCATAGTACAAATGAGGAAAAAATGCAGACCTCATATCTGTGCAAACTAGTTTGTGGCCACAAAAGTGGAAGTGAGAAATGTTATTAGTCTCAGTAAGACTCAAAGGTTTGTTCTGCTTTACAGGAGGGCTGAGATGAAACAAAGACATCAAGAAATCAGGCAGAAATACGGTGAGCCATTTCATACTTGTATGTATGTGGGAGGTCATAGGTGTATGGATAATATGTAGTGAGAAAAGTTTTACTTGCAATGATTCTGGGCTCCTTCTTGCTTAGAGATACATTTGTATCAAGCCCTCAAGTGGGAAATATTGAACCCAGGAATGCATGTTAGGAGTGCTTAAACAGGGTCCAGGCGGCAGCAGAAATAGCATGGCTGTGAAATAAGCTGCTTTTTCTTCCTTGTGGGCTTTAAGCTTAACTAACTATCTCCTGGTGGTGATGATCCTTTTAATCTAAGCAAAAAAAAAAAAAATGTGCATCTCCGAAAACGTTTAACTATTCATTTAAGTTCTGGACATTGTGATACTTATCGATGAACTTTTCCAGGTCTAAGTGGGCCAAACCCGTACTCCAAATTCGCATGAGATCACTGAGCTGAGACTTTCCTCCATGGACACAGCTGATGCATCGCAGCCTGCCTTTGGTTATGAGACCACGTAGAAACTACGAATGAATGTAAACTGTAACTATGGAAATCTCCACAAAACTGACAGAGTTTTTGTACACACAGCCTCTAGCATCGTTCAGCTGATGAATATTTCCATTTAAAAACTGCTGCTCTGTAAGAGGCTGGAACCAGAAACTGGAGTGTTGTTTAAAACTACAGTTCTCTGTCATATGGCTCCTACAATGTCAATATACTTATGCTATTTATTTGTCTTTAGTTTATTTGAACAGAATGTGTAGATGTTTGTTTCAGACCTGAAATATTCTATCTTTTTGCTTTAGAAGAAATGGCTTTTGCTCCTAAATTGCAGTTATTAATGAGTTAAACTTGAGATATAATGCTTCTTTTGTACTTTGTGTGACTTTTCTTGTTTCAAACTTCTTAAGGCAGTTTTTATTTAGTTCTTATTAAAGGGTTTTCGCCCCATTTTAAATGGTGTTTTAACCCATGGCTGCAAAATTTATTGATACTTTTTTTTTTTAATGATGGCTTCATCTTTGATTGTTACAAATTGTATATCTTTCCTGTGAAGACAACTAATAAAATACTTTAGACTGGTTATGACTTCTGTTACTCTAATACCCACATTTGAGTTACACACTGCATTACACTCTACCTACATGTGAGGCAAACTGCAGGTTTAAATCTAAAAATTTTACATTTTACTTGCTCTGGTATCCATGTGTACAGTCAGAAGGTGTTCACATTATTTCCCTAACACACTAAATTTTGAGATTTTGCTCAATGCTTAATATAAAAGATGTCTACTAAAAATACTGTTTTGGATATTTAAAAACATAATCTTTTTGTTTAAAGGCATGATTTGATTATTTCAGTTTTTATTTTTAATGGCATGATTATAAAACAAATTTGATCAAATCAAGTGTTTAACAACGAGATAGATATGATTTTTGTTGTTTATTTTTGTGTTTTCAAGCAACAGATATGTTCGAGGTGGCTAACGTGACCCCCTTAAGTGTAACACTAAAGAGTTTGGCTTCAGTTTCAGGATGTAACACCACTATCATAAAAGAGTTCCTTCTTAGGAGCGCTGCTTCTGCATAGTCATACACATTAAATTGTTGGAATGATACAGATGACATAAAAAATATCATGTGACAATGTGATCCAGGGCTAGAATCCCCAAAAAATGTAAGCGGTTTCTCAGCCCATGGCCTTTCCAGGTCAACTTCATACAAGGAGATTGTCATTCGGTAAAGATAGTGTAGTTGCGTACTTTTAGTGTTGCACTTAAATGCTCACTCCATAGTCTCTAGAAGAAATTTTTCTAATATTAAACTGTGCCATCAACTTTGAATTTACCCAAATTAACAATCCAAATAACACATTGTTCAGAAAACTTATGTGCCCAAACATTTTTTTATAAAAAAAATTTATAAAAAAATGCCTCAAGACAGGTTAGAAAGACAATTTGGCTCAAAAAAAGCTTTTTTTCAACATGGATACAACCAAAGAATGTGTCGTGCCATCAAACCTTTCTTCTCTGGCTGTCAACACGCCTGAATAATTTTAGTAGCTGGTTCAAAAGAATCTTCATCCTTTGGAGAAGAGACATGGAAGCTCAAATGACCCCCAATTTGCAGCCCAAACCAACCCAACATGGCAATATTTGCTGGATCAAAGATGACTTTTTAAAGAAATGAGCCAACTTTTTTGTTAAACTTTTGTAATTGCGGTTTATATTGCATTTGCATGCAGTGTTTTTTCAATTCATTGTGTGGACTTTGACTACATGCTCTCTCGGTTCGCGTGATCGAGTATTTAGGATAGATGCGCGCTCCCGCGTCCGCGCCCCCGCGACAGAAAAACCACGTGGACTTGTCAAACCAATTGTGTATTTGGAACAGCAGTTCTGTGCGCGTACCCGCAGTGGGGGGAGAAGAGAGGACAGAAGGCGGCAGGAAGACAAATAAAGCCGTGTAACAGAAGATTGTGAAAGTCGTAACACAAAATACTGCAAAGATGTCGGAGGAAAAGCCAAAGGTAAGACACTGAGGCTCAATGAGCTCTTTATTTGATACGATGGCTGGGCCAGGCTCCTGCGAAACCATTTCTCTGATGTGCAATCTAAAATGGCCTGGTTTGCACGTTTCTCTAAATCGGCGCAATGTTTGTTTCGCAAATGAATGAGCTCCCGCACAATCGTACTTACCCTTGAATGCGCTTATACCGTACGGTACTTAAGGAATTAGAGCATAGGTAGTCCCGATAACTCGTGTTGCGAAGGTTGTAGGTGGAAATGTCAATTGCACCATGATTGTCATTTGCGGGTTTTTTTTCCCTTTGTCGAAACGGGACCACGCTATGTCCGCAACGCTGCAACCGCCGCAGTGGCAAAAGTGCGCAAACGGGAGGTGACGCACTCGTTTAAAACCAAAGTGGCGGCGCAGTTCTTGCTCCCCATTTTGTGTAAACGCTCATTTGAGGGCAGCGGGACGAAACGGAGCGGTTAGCCGGCAGCGAGGCTCTCCATCCGCCGCTGAAGGGCTGCCGAGCCGCCCGCCGTAGCCCGGAGCTAGCATGCTAACGCTAGCATCATCCGGGGACTGCCCCACACACAGAGCCCAGAGCCCCAGTTTCTTTTGTAACCTGATTGACCAATTAATGACCCCCCCCCCCCCCCCCCAACTTATCTTATCAATGAGCACATGTTACAATACAAAGCATACATCGTTTACACATGCTTCCAAAATGTGAGGCAGAGGAGGATTTAACACCAAAAGTGAGGAAATCGTGGTTAGACACACACATTTTCTCTTATTTCATATGGTCAACCAAACTGTTTTGAGTCTTGATATTATAAGGGGAACCATTTTTTGTTGTTCTGAATAAATTAACTTTTTTTTTCTTTGTCAAGAGTGTTTCATTCCCTCTTATGTGAAATGTAATCTTAAGGTCCAAACTATTTGTGAGTTTCTGGTTAGGCTTTACTTAACCTTGTGCTAGTTTGGACAATATTAAGCCTATTTGTCTCCGCAGGAGGGAGTAAAGACCGAGAACGATCACATCAACCTCAAGGTTGCAGGACAAGATGGATCTGTGGTCCAGTTCAAAATAAAAAGACACACACCGCTCAGCAAACTTATGAAGGCGTATTGTGAACGGCAGGTAAGCAGAAAACCAGCCGGGGTCACTTTTTTGTATAAACCTGATTGAGATATCGCAATGGATAGGCTGAATATTGTTGCAAAGGTTGCATGTTCATCCTGTGTTTGTCTTCGTCTGTAGGGTCTCTCAATAAGGCAGATCAGGTTCAGGTTCGATGGCCAGCCAATCAATGAGACGGATACACCCGCACAGGTAGGATCATGCACTAAACAGCTTGGTATTCCCTTTAACCCTAATGAAAATGTCTTTTTCTTTCTCCAAGAAAAAGCACAAAAACCCCAACAAATGACTGAGGTTGTATAATGCTGTTTGCAGGATGTCTATTTTCACAACCTGCCTTACATTTTCTCACTCTCGTTTGTGATCCTGTGTTGTCAGTTGTTGGATGTGTTCGTTAATTGGAGCGTGTTATCTTGCTTTTCTCAGCTGGAGATGGAGGATGAAGACACCATAGATGTTTTCCAGCAGCAGACAGGCGGGCTCTGCTAAGCCCAACCCACCTCATTGACGGCCACCTTCAGACCACGCCCTCAACCACCTTCACCGTCTCTCCCTCCTGATTGCCCCCCCCCCCCCCTCCCACCCCCAGCTTATTATTGTTATTATTATTATTGTTATTATTATTTCCTCAGTTTAAAGCTGTCCGTCATAATGTTTTGCCAGGTGTGTGGTGGGGCTCCTCAGCTGTTAATGTACTGTCTCAGTCAGGACTGAACTTCTGTGTGTGTCTTTCTGCTGGCCAATCAGGATGACCTTTTCCTCTTGGCCCCGCAGGCTGTAATTGGACCAATAGCTCATCATCATCATCATCAGCTCCTACTGTTTTTTCACTTCTTCGGTCCAGTGAAAGTTTAGTATCGAGTAGATTATAATGGTTTTCATCCATTGGGGTTTGAGGCTCTGCAGTTTTTTTTTGGTTTGTTTTCCTCTCGTCCAGGGGTCCCAGTTAGTAGACAAGAACACATTTTGAAGTGAAAGCACTATCTGAACTTACTACACACCTGCTTATCATTTCACGTTGCTTTCTTGTTTGTTTTTTTTCTGAATCAAGACCCCTGTTTTTCTGTCAAACATGTATTTTAATTCTCTTTGCATTTTAGGTGCTTCTGCAATGTTTTTGTACTTTTCGCCTCTTGTTTTAAGAACTAACACCCACAGGGCTTGTGGATTTATTTCCTTTCTTTCTGTACAGAAGTATCAGTATGGGTGTTAGATAAAATTGTGGAGCTTGGACCAATGATCCAAAGACAGAACGTTGGCTTCATGTTTGATGTACATCTCTCTTAAGAGCTAAATGCAAGTACAAAACTGTTCCACTTAAAGGTGTTTAAAAGCTGAATTGCATCAATGTATTTTCGCTTATTCTTCCTCCACAGTTAATAACTCAGAATGATTACTTGTAGGTATCCGTGGAGTACATGGCAACTTGCTCAGGCAGATAAAATCCTTTATTTAGGGAACATAATAAGAACTTTCAGGTGCATCCTAGTTTGCCGATGCCTGGATGGGGGGGGGGGGGGTAGTCCGTGGCTATGTAGATAGTCTTTCCATCAGAGTACATAACATCCCCAATCTTTCCTATATAATGATTGACTTTGCCAGTGACCAGTCCCTGGGAAGTTGTTCCTCAATGCTGTTGTGGGGTCAGCTGTCTCACCTCTGAATTGTTGTTGCACATGTGGACTGTCCGGCCGACTGCCTCTAGATGAGCTCTGAAGCTGAACAGATTTCCAGTCTAAGAAAGGATTTCCTCCCAACACCACACATCAGACACTTCTCACTGTTATTTCAACTGCTGAGACAAATGTTGCCGGTGTGTATTTAAAATGTTTCGCCGCAGTGTTACGGTGAAGACATCTCAATTCTCGAGTGTCTTTACTCTTTTTACGGTTTGAAGAGAGATGCGTGTGTTCTGTTGCATATCAGGACAGCATGGAAGGTCAACCAATGGGATTTAGAAGATTAAAGTGTTCTGTGCCCACTGGGCCTCGTTCTTCATACGCAGGTTTACCAGGTTGGCTGTAATTCATCCTTCGTGATCCCACACAACAAATGTCTGTTCTTGAAATGAGAAGAAGTTGAGCTCAGCACCTGCAGAAATGGAAACTTGTTCCGCGGGTGTTAGATTGTGGCAGGTCTTTTGAAGTTACGGTTAAAAGACTGCACCTTTTCTTTCAGGTTCTAACAGATCGGTTGTTTTTGTAGTAAGAAAGGTTAAGCTGAATTCTAAACACGCTTCCCAACAGCGAATATGGTCGTACACAGTTGAAAAAATTGTTTACCTGACGGTGTCCTCGGCCATGTTGGAAAAGTGCAGTCCTTTTTCCTCTTGTGTAGCAAACGATTTCCTTCCATGTGTGTGGGTTTTATTTTTGTACGCGTACTGTTTAATAGTTAGTCAATGCCAGTATCCTTTTTTTTTTTTTCTTCTTAAATGACTACATACCTGATATCAAGCTTAATTTTTGTTGTTTATTTTGACCAGTGGGAAAGACATTTTTATCTGAGACCCAAACTCCCAACCATCCAGTCGTAGACATCTGTTAAACTGCATGGTACAGAGACATGCTAAGTCTTTGAGCCTCTCGCCTCTGCACGGAACAGTCACAGGTAACGATTGTGATTCCATCCTTCTTCCCACAAATAAGAGCACAGTTTTAAATGCCAATAAATCAGCCTTCCACCTTCATTGTAAGAACTGAGTTAGCTGGACAGTGGTCTATGGCATTCAGCTGAACTACACTGTAATGTATGAAGAACGGGGTCCAGGTCTCTTCATGTTATTTGTTTCTCTACTGATTTGTACATTATTTGTGGTCTTTTACTACTGTATACAATAAATATAGTTTGGTACTCAGATTTTCTGCCATGTCCGTCATCATTTTTTGTATTCACAAGTGGGTCAGTTGGTGGGGGAGTTATCCAATCTGTTGTTGGTGTTGTAGCTTTCAGTTTTATTAACTCTGTTTGAATGTCACCGAACTGTGTATAGTTGGTGTATGCTTTGCTTTCCAGTGTTCCTTGACTGAGATTATGCAGAAATATTCATGTGTTGAGCAGTAACCACTAGGTTGCGCCTCTGAGTCATGGAAATCCGTGGCTTTCATGGTAAGCATAAACACATATACACATAACATATACACTGGAACAGTTTTCATCACATTGTATGTATGTGTCTGTGCATATATACATATCCAGCATGGAACAAATAATGTGGCTGCATAGGAAATACAGTTACCTCCACTAGTTATGTGGAGATGTATGTAAAAAAGAAAAGATTTTGCAAGAAATGCACAGATCAGTAAAATCTAAATCGCTTAAATCAAATTTTTTACATTTAAACATTTTTAAAAACGTAATTTTTTTCTTGTCTTAACCAGACATCTGATGTGTAAGTCCCAATGGAACAGTGATAAGATTAGTAGTGGCACTGATGAGTCAAACCAGGAATAAGGAAAAGCATGCACATGTGAAACAGTCTCCATCAACTATTCTGGAAGCTAAAAAAAGAAGTTTAACACCCACCTGCTGCCAGGACCAGCAGGAACACAGATTGATGAATGGATAAAGAAAATGTGTCAGAGTAGGTATCTTGCTACCTGATCTCGGTCGTCTGTGATCCTAATATGAATGTGGAGACCAGAGACGGAGAGCATTTGCCTTGTAAATATGCTGGCTGGCAGGATTCTAAATGAGATCTGGAACAAGCTCTAATGCACATTCCTTTTATGCAATTCGTGAAACCACAAAGCCTATCAACTTGAAACCATTCCATAATTTTGCTGTGCAACTACATTTGAAAACTGTATGTGAAAAGCAGTGTGAAATAATCCACACAAGATCAAATCAATGCAAATTCTGTCAATTGCAAAGACAATTTTCCTTAAGTACGTTATCGTTGAAAGTGCAAAAGTAATCTTAAACAAAAAAGAAATTGGAGGTCAGAAGAATGGATTTTGGCTTACATTTTCAAAATAAAAAAGACCTACAATTTTCTTTCTATCTGCAGTCAAATGTTGTCTCATTTGACAGTGTTACATGAGGTATGCATGTAAAAGGTGAGCGGCTCACCCCTTTGGCTGAGCTGTGTTGTCAGATTTGACTGGTTAGTGATTTGCATACCTCTAGTGTTTAAAAGGAGGTGCAGGTGCAAGACTCACCTCACAGATGCCTGGATTTCTCAAAGCACAGATGGTGGATCTTCCTAATTCTTTAGCTGAAGTGCATGTGAATCAAGGTAGCCTTAAACTTCATGCTTTCCAACAAGACTTCTTGACTGGATATTTACTCTGAACAGTATATAGGATGTTTACTGTTGTTATACTTATCATCTCTTAAGATAGAGTGAGCAACCAATACTCTATTCCAAAACGTCTTGAACAATGGAAACACTCCTAGCTGACGGCAACTGAAGCAAACTAATTTTCCACCATGTCGACGACGATATCTGTACTGTTCATCATCCTGAGTTTATGTTTCTCTAACTCCACCACGGACACATTGAGACAGTGTACAGGTTGGAACATTTTATTTATTTTCATCTTTTCTATCTTCAACTTTATGTTCCATTAGCTATGATATACAGTTAGTAATTAACCAGTGAATTGTTTATGTGAAATCTGGGTAACCCCTGCAGGTAAAATTCTTTGGGATAATTCCAGCTGTCTATGTCTGCATAGTGGGAGTGCTTGGCGGTCTGCAGATGTGTGTAGATTTGTGTATCACATTAACTTAAATTGACATCCACAAGCAAGTACAGACATTGCATGTGGTTGACTATACACATTATGATAGGACAAGGGGGGGGGGGGTAATTTTTCTTTCTCATTAACTTGAGAGTATTGCTTCTCTTTTAGTCTCTCTCTCAGCGAGAGCATGTCAAATTAAACATAACCTCACCCACATTTCATTAAGCTCGACCACCTCCTGGGGCTAGTTCTCA